TATTATTTGTGTAAATTACGCTTTGAAATACATATTATATTACACCTAGCACATTGAAAATCAAATGACTAAAATACATTTAAATAACTATATTGAAATCACAAACAAAACACTGAGTAAAACGGAAACATTAATTGTAAAATCCCACAAATTAATCCAATAACCCAAACATTTATATTATTTGCTGCAGTAAAAATAAAAAAAAGCGATTTAATTAATATAATCCAGTTGTTAAGCTGCAATGGCAATAAATTGTTAGGTAGGTACAAAACATATTTATTTGCATACATTTTATTTTATGTTATCCACCTTCCTTTTGCACGAATCAATTCAAATCAATAATTAACAAGCATCATATTGTTAGCGTATTAATTTTTAATCTCAATTGAAAAATCGAAACTCTAAATAATACTTTAAATTAGTCTTTCTACCGATTGCCATTCCTTTACCTTCACCTAATTAATAAAATATCTAAATACTTCAGTGATTAAATATCCTCAGATTTGGTCAACACGTGATAAGTAAATTGCCGCATGATTTACTCTCCACCGGTTTCAGATGTAATGCGGGAAAAATCTCGACAGAAGAAAATCGTTTCTACCGTAGAGGCATCCATTGTCTTTGTAGCGAACTAATTTATTGATAGTTTGCAGATGATCTTGAAAATTAACATTGTTAACGAAGTGTTATTGGATAAAGCCGTGATTACTTCGTTATAATGTTATCAATGGGGGTAAATTTGATTTAGAGTAAATAAGAAAAAAGTTAAAATTTCCTTGCTATGGATACCTCTACACAACGAGAAAATTTGACGTTAACAACGTTGCCGGATCAGTCTGGTTATATTTACTTGATATGCTCATATGAAGCAAAATTGAGATGCGGGGTGAATAATGTCATGAAGAGTGACAGTTTGAATCGTATCACTTTGAAATTTTTCCAAGAGCCATATTCAAATCTATTTCTGAATAAAATATATCTTCTCTTGATAGACGTTTAATCTTTATGGCTTCTTCGGGTATGATATTATATTGTTTTAAGTAACCGTAATATTTATTATTTGCGTAAAGTATCGGAAATAAATAATCATTAAAAGTATTATAGAAAACTTCGGGAAAACTTCAGGAAAATTATTGTGTTTTCCAATATTATAGAAGTAATAAAGTATCTACCTAATTGTAAATTAAATGAAAAATTCAATTGCTTCAATTAAAGTTAAAAATGGTGGTAGACAATGAATTTAATTCGAAGGGATCGTCGATTAACGTATAGCTGCAATAATTAGTTATTTTTGTTCTAAAAACGGATATAGAATTGGTTATGAATCAATAACAATTCGTATCAAAAATAGAAACAGCGAAAGTAAACAAACAAGAGTTAAAATACCGAAGGGAGATTAATAAACAAAGGCGTCTGGCATCGCCGCGTCCTCCTCAACGTGAATCTTTTTCCCTCTCAGTTGGTAGCAGTGCGACGCCGATCGGTAACGAAGCGTCGCGGCGAATACCGAGAGCGTCGGCCGGGCGCAGTCTGTGTGTGAGTCGCGGCCGAGTGAGAGTGCAGCCCCTGAAGTCCGTCATGGGGCTCGAGGGGGGGGAAGCGGCTCCCCTCTCGTGATCCGCCAACATTTCCCGCTTCGAACTGGTGGAGAAATGGGGGCTGACCCCTGTCCTCAAACCGAGGCAGGACCCACGGCCCCCCGAAGGCGCCAGGTATGACAAACAGCGGCCACTCCCGCCGTACGCACTCCTTACGGATGCTGCTCCCCCCACACACACACACTCACACACATATACACGCAAACACCTACACTTGTACGAGAATCAAAACATTGTGGGATTCTTGAATGCATCTCTGGTTGCCCTTCCATTGTTAAGGAGTTTAACCTCGACCTTTATCGTTTCCATGTATAAATCCCGCATGGCTTCACTCACCTCCGGAGTCTGACGAAGATGTCCGGCTTTTTAGGGGATGGAAATCTTCTTCCTTTTGATATCACAACATTCGCTAGTGTTTGTATGAATCGCTGGAATTCGGCCAAAGTTCATCTGCAATACAGTTCTAGTGCAATATGTGTGTGTGCCGCATGCACCACAATCCGACTCAATAACACCATGTATTTATTTCATTCCATCATCTGAATCCTAACCTTCCTCCAGGCAACAACATCCTTGCCTAAGGTTGTCCGTTTTTCACTGGCAAAAGCACGCACGCATCCGTTTATTTATATTCTATCGAATTGACCATTTGATGGAATGAGTTTCCAAGATGATCAATCAGTTGTTCGTTCCTCATTCGAATGGTGCTTTATACAGGTTGTCTCGAATTTGATGTACAACGAAAGTAGGGCGTGGTGGAGTGATGATACAATATGAAACAAAAAACACACACAGAATCTTATGTGAGTATTTTATGACATAACCTAGGATAAGGTGTCAGTAGAACAGAAGTCATCTTTCAACGCTTTATTTATAAAAAATTACTATTCTAAAAACGTTTTTCGAGTTTTTAAGTTAGTTTACATTCCCAGTAGCATCCGATGTTTGAACAATGAATACAAAAAATCCAATATGTAAATAAGTATTATGTAACGCCATTTTCCTCATGCCGATGTTACAGCTGCTGTTTTTGACAGATTTTTCAACACATTCTTTAGTGTTTACCACTTCTGAAAGTTATTTATAAAGTTAAACGTTGTTTGAATGTTAAAATCCATTTATTTTTATCTAATATAATTACAAAAAGGGTGCTTTAGTCTTTTGTAATCCTTGTTAATAAGAATTTAGTACCTATTAAATATTCAAAAAATTTTAAAATCCGAGTACTAAATCTTGAAAGGAAATAAACGATTATTTTCGCAAAATTTTAAAAATACTTTCGAAGTTAATGTAATGTTGAAAAAATAAACTATCGAATCAAATATACTTATGTAGTTATTTAAAACAGTCTGATGTAAATATTTCTGGAAAATTATTAATTGAATTTAATTTACACGCGTAATAAAAGCGCGTTGATTTTTGATTGACAAGATATTTTTATCACATCTAAGCTCGAAATAACCGCGTTTATTATGAGAATATTTTTATAGAAAAATGAAAAATTTTAAGCATAATTTAAATTTCATCCAATACGCACTACTACTTTTAGAAAAATGTTCAATTCAACTAAAAATTCCTTGAATTTATCACCAGTAAATTTAATAGAAATTTTATATCCTGCTGGCCATGTTTTATAGATTATGCAAGCCATGTTTTAGTAAACATCGGTCATCGTAGGCAATAAACTATAAATTTATTCACACTAACACTTATTATTTTTTCCTAATGTCTTCAAATACTAGGAGGAACTAAATTGTTCTTTCTATTAATTTTCTCTGAGAATAAGTTCTTAAAATGTCTTTTTATTATCCATGACAAAGAATAACACTTTTTTAATTATGTGTAAAACATGGCTTTGATTTATTATTAAAAATAAAAAATAATTTGTTCTGGTACTGTTCGGTATATGCTGAATGTAATTTTGTGATTTAATTACCTGTTAAATGTGCTCGTTTTTCATTTTTTCACGGTCATAAACACTTAAGCAAATTTGTTAACCACAATTAAATTTATTTCTGCGTGTTATACTTGTAATATTACAACTACTTCATTTCTAATGTATTTATAAGAGTATTAAACAGTTGAAAAACACACTATAAGATAATTACAATAATTTTAACATATTTCAGAAAAATGTCAAAGAAATGCAAGAAAATAAATAAAATAAATTAAGTGCACCTATGCTAAGAAAATTAATCAGGTATTGAGTTTGATGTTTTATTGAATGGCCCTCAAAACCAGAACATCTTTCATCTATAAGAGAGTGCGGAAAATGTAATCGAGTCTACGTGAGTGTAAATAAACTAATTAAAAACGGAAGCACTCGAAACTTTGAAGATTATTTGCAATAACATGAAGAACTTAATAATAATCTTAATGGTATTGTAAGATTAACTAGATGTTTGACAAGCTAAAAATCTATAATTATTTAGCGATTTTAAAAACATGATTTCCTTTGAAACCTCATTGTAACTTTAAATTTTAATTAGCTTGTTTATAAAGCTCCTCGTAAATTGTGTATAGATAGTACTGTAGACAGTTCTCAAAAGTATTTTTAAAAAGTACACACTAATAAAGTAGCAACAAATAGTAAATAGTAGTACATGTAGTGTAAATATGGTATATAAATATGCCCTCTATAAAATCTATTTTAAAAAAATGTAGATATTTCCATTGTCCAACCAAGAGTAAACAATTTCGTACGGCTTTCCATCTCGAACGTGAACAATATCCGGAAAAATGAAGCCAGTTATAGTCCGGAAAATCCTCTATCGTTTCTTGGATTGGAAGTCGAAACAGGCCAACCTGTGACGTCATTCCTGACCTCATTAGGAAAGGCCGGTATACAAAGTTCATGATGCAGTGCTGATGCCGCCGTTCGATGTATCTACGGCACGGGCTGTTTTTGATTCACTGCTACATTTCGGGAACAACGAGATGTAAACGTGGTTTCTCATAAAACATTCAGGTTCAATTTATGAGGATGAGTCGCTTTATTTTTATAAAAAAATCGAATATTCAGAAAAGCACTTATTACCTACAACGGGTATTAAATACAGCAAGAAACTTATTACATTTAAAACATTTTATAAACAATTTAATTTTGTCAAGTATAGTTCGAGTATAATTATAAAATGCTCTATTTCTAACAGTTGTTTCGAGATCATCGATACCACAATATCCCATTCATCACTGTCATGTATTAACGATATTCTATTGTAAACTTAAAAATAACGATTCGTATGATACTGTGAAGTGTATTTTAAAATAAGAATACGCTAATTTGAGCAGATGGATATTAGCGAAAATGAATCCTCGTATTTATCACGTTCCTTATGGAATTTTACAGATATTATTTTTATCTATACAGGGATATTCTAAACGATGATTATCTTATTTCAGGTCGCTGCCCAAGCTCAGCAGCCAGGAAGAGGACGGGCACACCCCCCACACTCAATTCACTGGTGTTGCCCATTTCGAACCCATCCCGCATGATCACGACTTTTGCGAGAGGGTTGTGATAAATGTAAGTACTTTTCATTCCTGTTCGATTCCCGTTCCCTTGGAAGTTTATGCAGATTGAAAAAATTCAAAAAACGTAGACTTTCGATCGATTTTATCGCAGGATATTTTGCTTAAATTTTATACGCACCCCTGTTTTATTGCTCGAAGCACTCCAATAAAAAAATCAAGTTTAAATGGTTTTGGTGGTTTCAGAATCTTTTAATATTATCTGTTAATAATTAGTCTTAAAGTATTTCATAGGTTTCTGTTGAGATGAGATGAATTCGATGAATATGTCTATTAATAATTCCTTGATAATTAGCTTCCCTAATCGAATTAAAATGGTAAATATGAATATATAGAAATGGTTAATAATGGTGTATAATTTTCTGAGGAAACAATAGTTTCCATAACTAATCACACTCATCGGAGAAAAGGGCATTCAAAAGAAAAATAATATTTAAAGTCGGCGCCTGAGTCTAGCCACTTACAGGCTGGCAAATGAGCTAAAATTTCATAAAACAAAATAAAACAAAACGTTTCGGAAGCTAATTACCTACTCTATTAATCTACTAGGTAGTCCTTTTTGTTTTATTATGTTAGTGTCTAATTGAAGCATGCAATTATAGCCCCCTTTCGATATTATTTGCAATTAAATAAATGAATGGTCTTCAGGTCAGCGGCCTCCGATTCGAGACGCAGTTAAGGACACTCAACCAGTTCCCGGACACTTTATTAGGTGATCCGGCGCGTCGCATCCGCTACTTCGATCCTCTTCGCAATGAATACTTCTTCGACAGAAATCGCCCCTCCTTCGACGCCATCCTTTATTACTACCAAAGCGGCGGCCGATTGCGACGGCCCGTCAACGTGCCGCTCGACGTCTTTTCCGAAGAAATCAAATTCTACGAATTGGGCGAACTGGCCATCAACAAATTCCGGGAAGATGAAGGGTATGTATACATTTTTTTTATTCCATTTCTTGCTACTTCGTTTTAATTCTATTAAATACCTATACTATCAGCTTAAAATCTTCACTACATCTTCTGTCACACGAAATTCACCTTCAGAACTTTACATTTAAAAAAGGTACAAACATGATTCGATTGGAGAGAATTTGGTTGTGGATTTAACCAGGATAAAGAAAGAGTAGTTATCATATTGGTAGAAAACATGGAAAATATAAAAATAGACGCATTAAAAACGATGGGCTTCCAATAAATTTTGAGAAGTCAAAGAGATAAAGAATGCTAAAAAGACTTTGAAGAATGATAGAAAGATTTATCTAAAAATTGGTTCCTTAGTTCCTCTTAAAACCTCTAGTACCTACTAGCTCAAATTAGTAATTGGTTAAAGAAATAATGAAAATTATTCATTGTAGGTTCATTAAAGAAGAGGAGAAGCCTTTACCGTCTCACGAATTTCAGCGGAACGTGTGGCTGTTGTTCGAATATCCAGAATCGTCGCAAGCGGCGCGCGTGGTCGCTATCATATCAGTTTTCGTTATTTTATTGTCGATCGTTATATTCTGCTTGGAGACTTTGCCGGAATTCAAGCATTACAAAGTGTTCAATACCACGACTAACGGTACGAAGATAGAAGAGGACGAAGTGCCCGACATCACGGACCCATTCTTCCTCATCGAAACTATCTGCATTATATGGTTTACGTTCGAATTATCCGTGCGCTTCCTTGCGTGTCCGAACAAATTGCATTTTTTTCGAGACGTTATGAACTTTATCGATATTATCGCCATCATTCCGTATTTTATTACATTGGCCACCGTTGTGGCGGAAGAAGAAGATACTTTGAATCTGCCGCGTGCGCCCGTCAGTCCTCAGGACAAGAGCACCAATCAGGCCATGTCGCTGGCCATTCTTCGCGTCATTCGGCTTGTGCGAGTCTTCCGAATCTTCAAACTCAGCCGGCACAGCAAAGGACTGCAAATTCTTGGACGAACGCTGAAGGCCAGCATGCGCGAATTAGGCTTGCTCATATTCTTTTTGTTTATAGGTCAGTATAATACATTTTTTATTACTAAAATCTTTATCTTGCATATACCAATAAATTATAAAAATAGAATGAGTACTAAACCTACTAACATTATTTTTAATAAATGTTCTAATCAATTATCTGCTATACTCACTATAGTTCAAAATATTCTTCAAGATTCTCCAAACATTTCTCATAACACTGTTCGTTCACAGTTTATGGTTAGTGCTACAGCTAGTTATTGATATTAACTATTTTCTAACTAGTGATATATTTTAACGTATTAAAAAAACGGCAATGATTTGTTTGGAAGAAAAATGTTGATTGACTCGCTTGGCCGAACCGGCCTCGTGTTCTTAATCTGTTCCAGGCGTCGTCCTGTTCAGCAGCATCGTATACTTCGCCGAAGCGGGCGCCGAACAATCGTTCTTCAAGTCGATACCGGACGCCTTCTGGTGGGCCGTCGTCACGATGACGACCGTCGGTTACGGAGACATGAGGTACAGTGTCCCGAAAATCGCGTGACTCACCCTTCCTCCTCCTTGCAGGTGTCGTGCTGTTCTCTAGTGCTGTCTACTTCGCGGAAGCCGGTTCAGAAAATTCCTTCTTCAAGTCTATCCCAGACGCGTTCTGGTGGGCAGTGGTCACCATGACGACCGTGGGCTACGGCGACATGACGTATGATGTACAAACCTAATTCAAATTTAGTTGCCTTCCACCGTAGCTAAACACCGCGACACCATGACCACTAGGTCAGGCTTGGAAGAATTTCTCTTAACGTTTTAAATGAATAGAGAGGTTAAATGCGGTTAAGCTGGGTATTGAATCTTGCTCTCTTTTTTTAATTTCAATTACCTAATTGTTTAAAAACATTTGATTGCAAATGGAAAACTCATCATAAAATCGTTAAAGTACAAGTTCCTTATGATTATTTTACATCAATTTGTAGTTTTTTCTATTCCATCATTAAAACGACATTAAAGAAACTATATCCAATTTCAAAATCATCGCTTTTATTTTAAATTTAATTATTTCAATATAGCTAAATTCCTAATTGATTGTTCTATTTAAAAAATTATCTAACTCAGCATATTCGTATTTGACTTCCATTTCTTCGACGCCTGCACCTTCCAGAAAATTCTTTGCTCCGAGGACGCGTCCGGTTCAATTAGACTACACTATTCCACATCCCCCAAAAAACCTTACTTTGATGTCGTAATGGCTATTGATGTGCTCTCGATGTTGCTTGTTTATATAATTGTCTGATCATTGAGGACCAAAGAATTTTCTACGATGCCGGAATTTGATTGTATGACTGACTGATCGTTTTTCTACGTACACATTAACCAGGACATTGTCTGCAACTAAAAAATACTGTGGTACCAGATATAACACATATTGATATTCTTAGATCAACTTAGAGAAGCACAGAAGTTAGATTGTAAAGAAAATATTTTTGTCGACAAAAAGTTTGCTTGAAACCATATTTCCCCTGTTTATCAATACAAGCTTTAAACAATAAATATTTTCTATATTAATCTTGCACTTAAATATTACATTTGTTATATGAGAAGAAGATTTAGGATTTTAGGTATATGATTAAATTTAAAATTTCCATCTCTTCTTCACAAATAATAATGTAATTTATGCACAATTAGAACAAAGTACGTACAGTTTCGTACAGTAGAATTATAGTTATTTGGAATCTTAGAAAACAACACTTTTACACACAATATTGAATAGTTTAGACTAAAAACAACACACAACACTAATTAAGTTGAGATTGGTTATGTTCGTTATTCTTTATTTTCTATTCTGCCACTGATGGGCTATGTGTTATGAATTTAAATTCATCTAAATAGATATCTAAGTCTGCCATTCAGCACGATTGGTCGTTTCTAGTTTTTACATTTATAGTATTTTTATATACTCTAACTCTAATTTCTGCAAGTGCTTCATGAATTATATTTAAAGCCTTTCAACCTTTCGTAAAATTTTTATTAGGTACGGTCTTGATTAGCTGATGCTTAGTGCTTAGTCTTGTCTCGAGGTTGGGATAAATACTGGAATGGTTTCCTATGTCATTTCAGCTTGGTTTTTATTCAGAATATGATGTATTTAAATTCTTGACTCCTCTGAAAAAGCTAAGGGCAACCCTAATTAATTAATGTAAAAAGGATTAATTAAAATAGAGATGGTCGCTTACCTAAATATGTTGATCGTTGAATAGGAAGTTTGTTCTTTTTTATATACACGAATACAGCGTCATGTCACCTTTTGTCCTCCCGCCTGCATTTAAATTGCTTTTGTGACAACTCACAACCTGTTTATTCATTAGAAATAAATTCGTTTTTCTAGTGAATAAACTTTATTATCTAACTGATACGTCTTAAATTGGGCAACACATCAATTTTAAATAGTTAGGCTTTAGCTAAAATTAGCAAATTGCTTTGTCGTTGAAGCGCTTTTCTCCTTACTACTTTTGGAGTTCTTACGACGGGTTATTTCTTACATTTACACGTTGGTAATTTGTAGTTGGGATAATTTTATTGTCATCATTCATTGGTTTTGCCATATTCTGCCTTTTCTGCTTATTTTTGATTATTAATCCGTAGTTATTTCCTCTAGAAGTTTCAGTTACCTACCACCATCATTCAATTTTTAAGACAAATTGAAACATTAGCCACTTAAATATGTTTGGTACCCTTACAAAAACTGTACCTAATATAGGATTGGAGACTTTAAGAATCCTAGACTTTGCGCTATTCTATTCGAATAGAATTCTTCTTTCGTGTATTTTACAATTTTTTGATGATTTCGAGATACATTTGCGTGATGTTAATAAGTTTTTAAAATTACAGATTTTTTAGTTTTTCACACTTATTGCACAATACAAAATTTACTAAATTTTCTGACTAGTCAGAAACGACAAAAGATTTATTTTGCCATTTTTTATTTGTTTTATAGTTTGCTATTCGATATCGTAGATAAACTAGCGCTCCACTTTCGAGCTTTGATTGTCTCGCTTTTGCCGCTTATCTGGTAAAATTTGTAGAACTCTAGTGCATTGTTTTGGGAACGCAATATTAGCTAGTCAGCATGCTTTTATTACTATTTCAACCTTTATCCTTTCACATCCTATTTTTTCAACGAAACGAATGAGATAGATTGTATGTAGCTTCACTGCGACAACGATACTACGAAAGTCCAACCACATTATAGTTTGTGTTTCACGAGCAGCAAACTTTTACTAACTGATTGGTTTATGTCTTTTCCCCAAGATATGAAAATCAATATACACACGTATATAACAGGGTATCATAAAATATTTCCAGGCTTCAAGCTCCACGTTTCTTTCGTTTAACGTAGAAATGTAGGTATCGTAAATTCCCAAGCGAAATATCTACTTAAAATTCTTAAATTCTGGTTAGGTCGTATCAGCTCGATAAATTTAGCAGGTCGTTGATATTTTCTTCCTAAATGATGAACTAATTTGGTTGGACTGTTTATGAGTTTCCGCAGTTTCTCGATTTAATAAGAAATTTCTGTTCGCAGGCCGGTCGGAGTCTGGGGGAAGATCGTTGGGTCGCTTTGCGCGATCGCTGGTGTCCTGACCATTGCGTTACCAGTGCCTGTCATAGTGTCAAATTTCAATTATTTCTACCATCGTGAAACAGATCAGGTTGGTCATCACCTCTCCTTCTATTCCTACGTATTTTACACTACTTTACACACTATCATTTCCGCCACAACAGTCTTTCTTTAACGTGAATTCCTTGTGTAACAGGAGGAGATGCAATCGCAGAACTTCAACCACGTGACCAGCTGTCCGTATTTGCCCGGCACGCTGGGCCAGCACATGAAGAAGAGCTCGCTGAGCGAGTCGTCGAGCGACTTGGTCGAATTGGAAGAGGGACTGATGGTCACGCGCGACCAATTGTCGCAAAAACAGAACTGCAACCCGCGCCACAACAACAACATCAACGCCATGAGCATCGAGACTGATGTTTGACTACGAGGTATGTTCCCTTTAAATCGGTGATTTCATCCGGAACCGTTCGCTTATGAAGTGTCTAACGGTGTAGAAAAACTATTTGAAGAAACGTTTGCATGAAGCAGGAGTGACAGACAAGGCACAGCTTGTGTTAGTCTATTCAAGGTCTATTCCAATGAAAGGTCACAGGCTGACTATAACACACTTCAATTTGGAGATTTTATTGGCACTGAATATTTTGGAATCCTGCTATTTCGGAACAGAAGATTATTTAAATTTTTCATCTCTTATCTTTTGATCCCAGTTAACTTCAAAGTGCCTAATTTATTAAGAGGGAAAATCTTCCAGTCCAAACAAATTTAGATTAGCGCATATAATCCGCTTGTATCTATTTTTGGTGATTTTATTGATCAAGAAATAAAAATAGAAACCGCTAAAACACTTTTAATACTTCTTTCTTAATTTATTGTATATGTTATATTTGTAATGAGTGTTTCGTTTTGTCGTGGTAAACCAATTTTTTTTAAATGGAACACCCTGTTTTTAATTTATTGATGGATTTTATGTTGATTTATTTAAAAATATTGATAGATTTTATTTAAAAATACACATTTTGGTAAGAGTTAAAAATACAGAATCACTGCAAATTATACTTTTGACGACTAGGCGTTTCCGGTTACGCGACTCCGGTGACGCACGTCCTTTTTGAAAATTCATTTTTTTTTTAGTTTCGTATGAATAACACGTTGTTACTAATAGACCAGTTGGAGAATACAAATTTTTATTTCAAGTCATGAGTACTGATTAATATCCTATTGGCATATTTTTTATGGATGGAAATAATTAATCGACTTACATTACCTGTTAAAGGTTACGGAATGAATAATTGAATGAAGTTCATATTATCAGAATTATATGATTGTAATCATAATCATATTCAAATTTTTGCAAATTTCGAATGGAGTAGAGGGCCTATAAAAGTAAAATCGAAGCATAGTGTGTAAAATTATCTCCTAATGTAAGTAAACAGTAAATATTTTCATAAAATTTCTGAAATTATGGAGATAATATCTTCAACTATAAATGCATATTCATGAAATTTACAAGATTACGAATAAAAAACACAAATAATATAATTTTCTTTTAAAGTTTACTGTAATTTTTCATGTAATTTGTCGTTTATACAATTGTTCTTCAGGTCGGTATTTTTTGTAATGCCATTGGTAGTTATTTTGCTGCTCTTCTTATTATACGCCTGCTTGTAGAAATCAAAGAACATGAGGAAAAATAGGGTGCTTTGTGAAATATTCCACCAACTAATCGCAATGGGTAAGCATCCGAATAGAGCGGCATGAACGTTATTCATCAAACACAAAACGAACTGGACCTGAAACATATATTTTACTGGTACAATACTATTCACTCGACTAATAACTTTCTATTATTTTTTGGAGGAATTGTTTATTTGCGATAAAAACAATAATCCGATAAAAAGTACTTAAGTAACTGTTAAGCAATTTACGTGTGAAATTCTTACAATTAATTTCTTCTATATTTGTTTTCGTAATTCCAGTAAACGCCTACAATTTTCTATTATTGAACTTCCGCGTTTCCGTATAATAACATACAATTAAAACAAAAATGATCATTTTAAAACTATTACAACAATAGTCGGGTAATTAAAGTAATTGCTGATATTAAAATTATCTATTACAGCTATCGCTAGGGGCAACATATTTTCACCTAATTATTTCAGCTTTGTAACTCCAAAGAATAATAAATTTATCTTTTTAACAATACTTAGGCCGATACTTACCAATTGTAATACAGTAACGTATTTTTTCCACCATAAATATTTTTGCATTTCTGGTCCGATTGCGCTGAGCATGTAATACGTATACATTATGATATGTATAAACGAATTAATAAGCCCTAAAAATGTCATCGTACTGTCTGGAACATATTTAACGGCAATCCAACTGCCTATCGGCATTATGCAATGATGGTACAAATGAAGATTTGTTACTTGGTTATCTTTTTTCCTCAAAACGAATAAAATCTGGAATACAAAAACAAAATAAATATTGTTTGCAACTGTTTACAAACATTTAAATATCTCCTGTGAATTATTTTCAAATGGTAATACTCGATATTAACATAACTTACCGTATCCATAAATTCCGTGAATTTTGAAAGATAATACATGTAGGCTACAAATATTATCTGAAAATAAAACAAACAGCATTAACGTTTTTGTTAAAGTTATAAAATATTGATACTTTACATTTTTATCAGCCCTTGGTTTGAAACATTCCAAATTATATTTCGAGCCTAACCATCCTCCTGTTAAAAACTGAAACAAATTTCATAATTGATTAGTTTAGAGTCCAGAAACTTTAGGGAGCATTTCAAACAGATAAATGGATGGATTAGAGGTTGGGTTGAAACAATTTTATTCAGACTAGTGAAAACACACAGTTAAAAAAATGTACTCACTCCATAAAATAACCACGTACTATATAAAACTTGAATAAAATTGTAAAATATTACAAACTTTTTGAGTTGAAAAGGTTTTCTATCTTTCATGTATCCTGGCAAGGTAACCTGTAAAAGTAAATTACTCAATATACTTGTTTATGTACTTTCTTTAATTTAGTTTCTTCTTTGTATAATTGACGAAATAAATATAACACTACTTACTTTGACAGAAATTAAATAAATTGCAGTTAAGATAACAGTGGGAATGGGACTAGACATAAGAAAATAATGCCGTATTCTCGGATCTGAAATAAAAATACAATTTAAACATAACTTTAACTTTTAAGGGAATACATACCTTCATATTTGTTAATTATTTGATGAAAACGGTCCAGAGAAACATACGATTCCATATTGAGTATATATTAATTTTCCAGCGATTTTACCTGAAATAAAACAAATCTATATTTGAAAAAAGAAAATAAAAATCAGCGAAGTCCTCTTTTCTAAACAAGCTAAATAAGTAATTTTAAAACAGTTACGATTAAGTGTATTCCAAAAGGGAAACTATACGCAAAGGGGGATTAACCCCCTCAAAAATTATAATATATAAATTTATTTCATAAAAGTACCTTGTAAAATTTAAGATGCTTACTGACGGCGGACTCATTATTTTTTATTTTAAAACCTAACGTACCTATGTATTTATTATAACAGCGCAGATACCATTGGTAATTAAAAAAAACAGCGGTAATTAAAAACTAATCCATCGACATGAACTTAATAATACAGCTCCCATTAAAGAATCGAACATACCATTAAATTTTTAAATATGTTCGATTAAATAAATACTCCGTGCACAAAGTATATGAAATGTTTGTAATGGTATTTAATTGTTTCCAAAAAGTCAATCAAAGCTAAAACTTGAATTTGTATTATTTTTTGTTTGATTATCCGAGCAGTTCGTGTAAATAATTAAAATTATAAAAATATTTAGTGGTAATACTTCTCTTATTGAGCTCGATGGGTTTTTGAAATTCCGATCAATTTGAAAGCAAATTAGTACACAAAAATTTAAGCGCTATATCAATCCAAAAAAAATAAGTAGAAACAATTTCAGCATTTTACTAAATTCTAAAATGCTGCAAAAGGCAAAACAACAAAATAATATAAAATAAATTTAAAACAAATTTTAAATGTTAAATTAAAGCGATTACATATTCAATTTCGCACCAGCAAATAAAAACTCGTCATACCCTATTCAATCATAATAAACCAAAAATTGTAACACCAACCACTAAACTTCAACTATTAGTAAGTTAAGTTAAATAAACTTATAATTGGACTCGTCTTATTATAAGCGACGCTGTGATTAAACCCCACTCTCAGGTTTAATAATTTAATGAGATTTTTTTTTATTGTTCATACCTATCACGCTTGTTCGACATACCGTACTTAAATATTTATGATTTAAGTATATTTAATTGACGACACCGAAATTTGAACACCGTCTGTGGCGGTTAATCGACTCGACATTACATAACAAATACCCGAGCAAGTTAGTACTCTGGATGACTGTCTGTTGTTAGGCCGGATGTAATTGAAAATTCAAGAAAATACTCATTGTATTTTAATCAAAATAGAGAATATTATTATTGCTTTTCAATGCTAAGTAGGTGATAAAACGTCGATACGATTTTTATCAACATGTCTATTGCTGTTGATTAGCCTTTAAAGGGTCCAGTACACGTTGGACCAAATGAGACCAAGTTGAGACCAAGTTAAGACCAACTACTTGGGCCATCGAATTGGGTCAAGGTGTACATTGGCCAATTGGTGATTGAATTTGCTAATTTGTGATTGGCGACCAATGTTGGTAGACAAACCGATTGTTGTCGGTTTTCGTGCACAAATCAAAGGATCTTATGGTGAATTTCAAAACAGACTGAGCACTCGACCAACGTGTAATCACTATTCCAACTTATTGGCTCAATTTTGGACCAACTAGTTGGCCAAACGTGGAGGCCAAAGGTCCGGTGCACGTTTGGCCAATAAGTTAGTTGGGATAATAGTTGGCTCCAGTTTATGTTTGACCAACTCTTGGTCCAACTTATTGAGGCCAACTCATTGGTCCAACTAATTGGCCAAGCGTGTTCCGGGCCCTTTAAATCGGAATCTATTTGAATGATGTATGTCCAATCGTCGACATTGATTGATCAACGTTTACAATACAGTTTTTTAATAATAGCGCATTTGATTTTAGTGACGGATGCGCTGCGCCTTCAATCGCTGAACAACTTTCCCTGCCACGCCAACAATTGTTATCCCCTAAGCGATATCCGGCACTGCCCTTCGCCTTGCCACCCACCGTTATCTTCTGCATCAGAAGCAGTCACGAGGAGGACACCAACATCGGGTACGACGGCATCGTCGAAAAGGAAACGAAGGAAGCGGAATAGCAGAAGAAGAAGAAGAAGGAGAAGAAGGAGGAAAAGAACGAACGTGCTACCGATATGCGGCGCCGTTTGCCGCGAGTGCGTGTGCGCAGTGATCCGTACAATTTTCGAACTGTTACATCAAATTCCTAGGACCTTTACTCGGTACTTTTGTACAACCATTACGATTGTTTTTGGGTGAGATATCCTGCCAAAAAATATTACATAATTACATAATAAATACCTATAGATAATAAATAAATTTTAATGATAACGATTGAGTAACAACACCATTGGCTGTTGGCGGCTTTTATGCTCGGATATAGAGCGCTATCTCTAATTACCTTATATTTCTTTATTATACGCACTAATAATTCCCTTTTTTTATCTAAACCCTTAACAATAAACGATTTAAATACAATACAATATTAATTCTAAATTAGAAAATTAACAAAATATGACTAGTACTTAGAGATATTATAAACTATATCCGATCAATGTACCCGCTAGACGGCGCCGCGATGAAAGCTGTGTAGTGCTCACACCGAACTTTTCATTAGTTACCGGCACTGTTTTAAGTGCTTGTATTTTTGGGCTGTGTGAAGCTTCATACCTAGGGTTGGATTAGCTTTAGCCCTTGTTACATATCCACCCGCGTAGACGAAACGGCCGGGCGAGTGCCGAGCAGAGCGATCGGCTCCGCTTATTCTCTAGTCTGCCTCGTAAATAAAATTATGTTCGGCATTTTTTGAAGACATATCGTTATTGTAAATACGTCTCTGTTAAATTGTTAACCGATAAATATGAGATTTATGTGTGAATGGATGTAGAAATGATGGTTAAATTAAGTGATAGGGAAAGGAAGGAAATGTTATAAATATTGTTCCATTTATTGTTTGTTAATTTTTAATGGAAGCTTCCTTCACCTTTGCAAGATTATATGATGAAATTATTTTTACTACGTTTCCATGTTTTTCCATAAATATTCCTTATTTTGTTGATTTGATACCAACTGGTTTTTTTTTCTTAATATATTTTCATAACATATTTTCATAATATCTTTTTTTAATAAGATAATTGCATTTTTTGCCATCTTTAATTACATATAAAAAAATCAAAAAACAAATGTTTTCACAGTGTGCTGGTATAAATATGTTGGTACTTATTTTTTAATTGCTAGACTTGTTCATTAAAATATTTCATGATAGTAAAAGATTTAATTAAAATTTGTAATAACATTGTTTAAAGTGATTATTAACAAGCTTTTAATTTAATGAATGACTAATTAGGAAGAGTAGTAATTCCAGTACAACAAAATTAAACACTATTATTCCTCTAATATCATAGAATTAATAAATTAATTGATTCTGATAAACTTTTAGAATTTAAGAAATACTACGCGTATTAATAATTGAATTATTTAAATAATGGGAAACTTTGATCAAATTCATCAGTTGTTCTTAATTTACATTTTAATTACATTGCAGCAGAAATACTTATGCAAAAATACTTTAATTAAATGTGATTTTCTTCACCCAAACTTATCTAAACTAACTAAATTATTGTACAAAATGGAAAAGTAGCTTCTATTCTTTAAAAATCAAAAATATTCTTCCTTTACCCTGTCTAATTTGAAATCAATTTGCATAATATTTAAGCATTAACTGTTGGCATAAATTGTAACAAAGTTTGGAGCAATAATTTTTGTGTTTGTTCATACCGAACCGGTTAAATTTGTTGTTTTGTACTTAACTTTGCAGACGTTAAATGAAAAAGTATGTCTTAAAATGTATCACAAATTCGGGTAAATTATCAAAATAACTTTACCTAGAACTTCTTCCTCCTGGAAACATCTATTTTCCGTTCGACTTCTAAGCTAACCGCTCTCTTAGAAAACTCGTAGTTCAGATAGTAATTATTAACTTACTACAATTGCTAAACTTTTTTCGAGACGTAGAATTCTTTACGATACGTATAATAGCTTGATTAGGAATAGAATATCAAATGGTATCTTCGAGGTGTATATCTAGGAATTATAGTATACTTCTAGAATAAAAAATATTAACAAGTTAATAACGGTACCAAAAAAAACATAGAAAATTGAAGTATATAATCAGGTAACTTCTGCAATTTCTATACAAAATAGTTATATTATTAAATTTCGAGTATAATCGAATAAAAAGTCCTGTAACTTACACGTCTACAATCATCATATTTTATAAAAAAAGTTGCACATTGAAGGGACCAATGCAAACTCAATACGAAACGGTTTTCCAATACATTAACTAATTAATAGGTGTTCTAATGTTGATGTTTGTTTTTCGATTCTGGTTCGACTCGTATGTATATTTCTTATTTCTATTTTATCTAGGTGTGTATCTGAAAATGTGCAACATCAAACTGAATTATTCCAGTAAATAAATCTTGTTTATAAATTTGGTATATTGTACAATAAATTAACGTTTACTTTTTTAAATATTAGACGTGTAAATTGTCAGTAAAATATCGGATAAAGGTCAATTTGCACTACAACAAAGAATGTCAATAATCATTCTAGCTTTAAGCGGGTTTTTATTATCTGTGCATACTATTCTCTGCAACTTCTCCATGATTAAATTATTATAAAATGAAATTGAATTAAAATGGGCTAGAATATTATTAAATTTTCTGTAATAGTGCGAATTGAACTGTATTCTAATTCATGTCGAAAAATCCGTACATGCTACAGTACGTGCAAATTCGTTCGACATTTCATTTAAGTATAGAAGTTCTAGGTATCTGTTATATGAAATATGAAACAAATTTCGAAACACATCCACTCAAATTTATAAAAAATTATAACTAGTTTAATAAACTGACTTGAATTGTAGGTACGTTAAAAAATTGGTTATTTACTTAATTAGTAATTTATAAAGAAATCGTTAATTTTCTAATAACCTAGTAAATAAAATTAATAGGTAATTTTGTAATTGAAAAAACAGCGTTTCTGCAAGTGCATTATGTTATAAAAATTCCGCTGAATTTCAGAGTAGAGTGATAAATTTTGAAATTAATACTAACTTTAACTAAAAATATTTAACTTCTATTGTATTTGGTTGTAAATAAGAGGCATTGTCATCCAAGGCTCTTTCTATACAGATAAAACGAATATCTATCTAGATAATATACACCAAAATTTGATTAAAAATTGACCTGCTTTACCTAATCTAATAATAGGCATTTTCTTTTTGTGATTTTATACGTAAAGTTAAAAAAATAATCTGTAAATATCTCTTTTATGACATAAAATTTATAAAACGTTAGAGAAGCGTAATGAAAATTTGTTTTCAACTTGAAATCTCAAGTTTAATTGCAATAAAGTTGCATAGCAATATCGAATTAAGCTTTGTGCAATATTGAGAATTGAATTAATTTTGTGATACATAACGTGAGATTTAACTTTTAAAAGCGGAGCACCGCTCTGCACAATCGGCCGGGGAAAAACAGCCAGGATTCTAGCGCTCGCTCGGTCTTCGCAATATATCACTATTTAAATCGAATTCGAATGCTAATAATCAATACTGTGTAGATAATCAATAATCAAAAAATTAAAAAAAAAACACCGAAACAATGATTTACCAACGACGCAAACGACGTCGACAGGAATCGTGGAAAACGCGCATTGATTAATTCGAATGTCTTATTACTATTACATTTACAACGAATTTAACAAATTACATGCAATATGTAAGAATGTAAAAAGTGCGTACTATCTAAACTAGCCAGTTCTCTGCTGATATGGAAATTATCTTCTACTTGTTTAGCATTTTAACAAAATAATCGAATTATTTTAAAAAGCCAAGCGTTTTCCACAATTTGAGGCTAATTAGTCAAATTGTCTTCGACGATTGCTTCAATACTTGTGTCAGAGAGTAAACATGTGTATTAATATTACAGCTGTTTTGTTCGTTTGCGTTGGTTTTGGGATGGCGAGAGATCGATACAGAGTCTTATGAAAAAGGAATTTTCATCTCCTTTAAAAAAAATTCTTATGAGTATCTACGATACCGTTAATGTAAAAAAATACTATAATTTTAAAAAGAGTAACGTGAATTAAAATGATTTAGTAACCGTGTTAGTTTAATTACTGTTAAATTTGATTTGCCATAGTCATAAGACTCTTTATAATATAAGTATAGGAAGTTCCCGGCCGCTCCTCTCACGTCTGGAAACCAACAGACCTAATCAAGTGTCTAGTACGGCGCTGCTCATTGTCATTTTATTTTGTGAGTCAGTATGAATCTAGTCATGTTTGTTACAATTTAAAATATTTTATAAATGTTGATTAATATACGACATTCCTATTTCAATTACGTTGTTTGCTTTATTTCCTTTTTCCCCACCGAATTCGACCAAACCTGATCTGGTTAATCTATTTACAAGGCAGGAAATTAGGTAATAATAAATTTTAGGTTTTGGATATATGTATAAGGTGTTAATTAATTGAATGCCAATAATTAATTTTTAGAAGAAAAGTTTTTATCAATATATGCCCTAAACAGGATTAATTTTCGAGCTACAGCTATAATTTTTCTTGTTATAAGTACTTACCCCAAGACCCGATTTTATTCAGCACTAAATTGTCACCTTAACAAATTAATAGGTACTTTCAGATGTTAATTACTTATCGAATGAATTTAGAAAACATTTTATTCGATATAGGTACAAATAAATATATTTACTGGGTAAGCGATTACTTTAGGAATTAATATTACAGCGTTTTGAAAATAAACGCGATTTTTCTAATACTCAGCACTTATTTTCATAAAAATGCAGGATTTCAAAACATTTTTCACACTTTGGTAAAGATAGTAAAGTTTACGTTGCCCAATATACAGCGTAGGTAAAAAGTATATTTTGCATATTTGTAATTTCGATAAATTTTTAAATATACTTACTTTAAAACTGAAACAATTCTTTAAACTAAAGAGCAACACCACAACACAGGCAATACAGAGAGAATCCTTAAATTTCCCTCACTTTAAAACATTTATATATTATAAAACAATACGCTTGCTTACTTTGAATATATTTATTTTAATTGCAAATGAATGTCTTTTTTGTACACAATACTTTTGAAAAATGTTAATGTATGACTTTGTTATACACAAATAAGGTTGTTCTACGAAGAATTGCCAAAGCTATATTTGCGCACTTTGTTGAGGATATTGTATTTAGTTACGTCTTATTTAAAAGAGTATAAGTAAATAATTTCAGTTTGAAAATACCTACTTTGCAATTACTCATTTTAATGAAGTAGAATTTGATCCGTAAAGGTAAGTATAAGTACCTATACTAATTAGTAGGTATAAAACCTAATAATCTAATTAAATAAATGTTAGGCGAAAATTTCCAATGCCATTATAATTTAGCAATTCGTTTGCGGCCGGCCCTGACCAAAACAACTGAAATCGAATTTAATTATGGAACAAGATCGGGATAGCCGCTCGTTTCCTATGGAATAGTTCAGATATTGGCGGTGTATTTGAGAGGTCGGACTCGCGAGACGAGAATAGCACCTAATACATCAAGTAGTCAGTTAGCTACGAAACGATTCACTAGTGTTTTTGCTTGCCAGTTTGCTTGATTTTATTTATAGCTGTCAACATGAAATGTTAAAAGAAGTTTACATTTGGTGCGTAAAATTATTTTAGTCATGTGTATGCATAAGTTCAAGATGTCCTTTGCCTGTAAATTGATCTTTCTACTATCTATTTTCTACCATTCTCAAGTACCTTGTACCAGTATTAAAACTATTATTCGTATCTGTCCATGTAATACTTAAATCATTTTATTGTTATATTAAACTATAAGAAAGTTAAATGGATCTTTTATCCATAATTAGGAATATGTTAATGTAAGATTAAATTATGAAATATTTTGTAGGTTTTATTTGGTACCTAATACCTTTTTAATCTAATTAATAAAAAATATCTTCATTACAGCATGATATTTAAAAGACTTTAGTTTATAACTAATTTTTAATGATCCTAAGATAGCAATATTACATTTTAATTATCATTTAATTTATCGAAATTAATACTACTAATTTTTTTTCAATCTAACGGTACTAATGCTATTTCTAAACTTAATATTTCTATAGAAATTGAAACTCATAGCAAGCATATTTCAGTTAGTAGTCATTAAAAATAATAGAGTTACCTTTTGTACTCTGTACTAGTCTGGTAGTTTCATAAAACAGAGAAAAAATTGCAAACTGCATGCAACATTTCGTATAAATGAAGCATAAATTCTGGCTAACCGCCCAATTGTGATTTCGCATTCCTCTAATTTTTATTATTAAATACTAATTGTTCTTACATATGAAAATAATCAATTGGATTTGTTTCAACTTGGGCGCAGAGGGAAAAATATTAAACATTCCCTATCTATACATCGTTGGAAAAATCTATGTAATTATAAGACTGGGAATATTAAATACTGCAGGTATCATCATAAATAAAAAATGAACGCCTTCAATTTAGGTACGGTGCTCCTCGAAAACAAATAATTTGGCACGAAAGTCAAATTACTCTTAATTTGATTTTGTATTAAAATATCAGGATTTGCTAGCTGTTTCGTGGGGAATATTTTTAATCAAAAAACTAAATTTAAGCTTTCTATAATGCACTAACACATAATTATATAGCATACATTACACAAATGAAAATGAGTATACATTTTTTGATAGATAATTAAAAAATAAGAGACTTGCACCCTATTCTCTTAGCGTTCTCTTTGGCAAAAGATCAACAGTCTGATATTTGAATTAAACGAACTGACCCACTCTTAATTTAGATCGATCAGAATCCTTCATTTTTCACATTTTTATTAGAAGTTATTGACAACCGAACTTCTATAAGTTAGAGTCGATACCACTAACATTATATTTTGTTTCAGATCGAAAAATGAGTGATGGCATCTCAGGAAAAGACGAAAACTAATGTAAGAAAAGTTTTAAAAGAAATGTTGATTTTAAATTTAGCTAAAGAAATTATCAAATCTTTTGATCATAAAGATCTTATTTTGTTTTACTTGCATTGTATAGGTAAATTTACATTTTGCTGTCAAGCTTGTATATTTTGATGTTATAAAATTGAATGAATGTGAAATTGTTGGAATTCTCAAGAAAAACCACAATTCCACATTCAATAAAGCCGTAGTATTTAGAAAAAATAATGTAAATAATGTTTTTGTTTATAGAAACCTAGCACATGTTTAACACCAACACACATTCAAATAGAAGCAACGAATTACAATAAAAATAGCAACTCAATTGGCGATGGAGATGAAATTTTCCCTAAGAAAACCAGTACGTTATTGGCGCTTATCTTATTATTCCTATTTGCATAATAATTATTTTTTCTGCTTCAATTACTATATCTTTGCAAACAGTTAAATTTAATAAATGATCCACTCTAGGTCATTCTTGCGTTACATTAGAACTAGAAGCTTTCGTGCAGAAGATACCCTATAGTTGAAAAAGAAAATCATTACTTTCAACAGTATCCTAAAAATGTATGTAAGCGCATATTTTATAATCGGTACGCTAATAATATCTGTAAATAACACAATTATTGCTACACAACTACAACACTTACGAAATAACACAGCATTTTTACTAATAGTCTCATTAAAAGGATTCCCTATATTGCAGTATTTATATTTATTACAAATTTAGGTCGTTGGAGAAATTCTTGTAGCATGGCAGAAGTATACAGCTAGCGCGCCCGATGAACTTAATCTACAAGAAGGAGATGTCGTCGAACTATTGGACATAAACGATCCGAACCCAAGCAAGTACGTTCATTTCTATTATGGTTAATTGAAAACACAGCAAGTGTGTTACACAATTTTTATCATAATGTTTACCATTGACAATTTTGTAATATTTTTTCTTGTGTTTAAGGCGTTTGAAACTCGATCCGGAACTCGATAGCGTTACCGTGGAAAATGTACTCGATAACACAGCTGCAAAACACAAGCTTGCCGTCAAGCCTAGAAGGACCCATACCAGCTCTAGACATTCCCCCACTAGATTAAATATAAATCAAAGGTAAATAAATTGCATCAAGTTGAATGTTTAACGAATTTAACGAAAGAAGAATAATATTGTATCTACTGTTATTGTAGATGGCTAGTGAAACAAGTTAATGGTAGTAAAAAGCAAGGATGGGTCCCATGCAGGTGTTTGCAAACCGCCGACGATCCGACCATGAGCTCGACTGGATTACCAGGAGATGCCGAATTTAGAAGACAGTACGTACCTATAGCATTTTAATATTTCTCAAAAAACGTCGTTAAACTATTGCCCCAAATGCACACAGAAGTCTTAACAGCTTGTATAGGTAATAAATTTTCTTCTAGAGCCGTTGTAAAGGAGCTGATAGAAACAGAAGTCGAATTCGTTCGGGACCTCGACATGGTAGTTCAACGATATCTTATTCCCTCGGAATCTGGGAAAGTACCAAAAATTATCAAAGACAATTTTGACATCATTTTCGGCAATCTGAAAGAAATCGCCGAATTTCACAGGACGTAAGTACAATGTAAAACAGATTCATATTTTACAGTTTACTCAAAGTGTTACGGTTAATTATTTGATTGAAACCCTTCTAAAAGGCTTTAGAAACGGTATTAAAAGCTGCTAAATACTATTTTGCCCAAGTCCTTATCCTTACACTCTTTTAAAATTGTACGATTTCACAGGACATCTTCTGGTTATAGCTTACTGTCAAAATTTGTCCAAGAAATAGTTCCCTAGCGAAGAGTTTCTCACTCGTATTACAGGAAATAGCTAGTTTTAATTTAGTTCAATTTTTTATTTCTCCCTTTCAGCGTGTTAATAGAAGGAGTGAAATTCAATGCGAAAAATCCAGTTCTGATTGGAAAAACATTCTTAAGATTAGAACGAGATTTCGATAAACACGTCGCTTACTGTCGAGACGAACCCACTGCACAGGAATTTTTGGATACTTGCGATCGAGCTTTCGATTATTTTCATGTAAGTATTAAGTTTGTTCAGAAATGTTTGTTGTAAGCTTGTTTTATTAAACACTGTTTTCACGTTCTTGGTCAGCTATAATTAGTGAAGCATCTTTAAATATTATTGGAATATTCAAAATTTAAGTGAGATGTGTAAATCTCTCTGGTTTTCTGAGTATTCGAATTACTGCTTGCTGCTTGTTGTATTTACATAATTATTAGTATTTTTTTTAATTTTAATACAAGAATCAATGAAACTTGTCAACAAATGAACGAATTAAAAATAGAAATTTGAACCAAGTCATAATTTCGCGCGACTATTTCTGGAAGACTGAAGTGGAAAATATTACGTAAATAACACCCACTATAGCAAATGCCTGAGTATATGATATACTAAATATTTGATCTCGATGGAGTATACACATATGTATAAATAATTATATGAATATCGACCTGAACGTAATGCATTAGGTATGAAACTATTCGTATAAAAAAGTTCATTGAATCAGTTATTACCAGATTTATTAATTAAGTAATTGTGTAATTAATTGAGAAAACAACAAAAAATCGCGTGGTCGGTTTATTTTGATTAAAAATTCGACGACCGTACGTACCCACTGCAACTCGAATGTTCCTCATTTGATATCTGAGCAGTGCTGGATCGTTTCTATGTATAGCGTCGCGACGTCGGCGTCGTCTCATCTCTCCCAGTCAGTCGAACCGCGACCTTTAAGTCCGCCAAGTGGTGCACCGCCGTTTCTGCACGCGATTTTTCACCCTCGATCCACAGGTAGGAACGTTACTGCGTCATCGTTCGTGACGTTTCGTTTACCTCTGTCTTGATGCATTTTTTTCTGTGATTGTTATTGTGTGTTTGGATTACGGAAAATGGAATTTCCGGCGCGGATTGCTGGTGAATTTCGATTTTTTTAGAAGCTTATGTCGATTTGAAATCGATTATGTCACGCGTGCTGACGGGATCCAAAATTATTTTTATTGGTTCGTTGCAGGAATGCGTGATGTAAAACTAATAATAAAAAAAATGGGAGGTTGTTACTCTGCGAACAATATCTATTTTTAAGAATTGTGGCATCTTAACACCAATGTCAATATCTGCAGAAATTAGGTTGTTCAGAACGAATCCTAGAAAATTCTGCGTTGATCATAATTTGATCCACTTTTTAAAACTATAAGAATTTAATAAAATAAAAATAGGATCTATTTATAAAGTAAAATGTTTACTCTATAATTATTTAGAATAAAACTAAATAAATAAATTGATTAAATTAAATGAAATAGGAACAAGAAAATATAAATTATTAGTAAAATGCATTCAAATTTTGATCCTAAAATTCATGCTATCAAAACAACAAATTAAAATTTGCCTGATTTTATAATATCATTGTAATATTATCATCTCATTTAGCTAGAGAATGAATGATTCAGTAAGTTTATTCTTACTCTTATTACTAAGATCGCGTATATCGCATAGTTGTTATTTTTAACTGGCCGATTTGCGAATTTCTTATTTTACTGCTTAGTGAAAAATAGGTTAAAAATATAGTCCACTCTCAACCTATTTTATAGTGGAAAATGAACGGGTTATAAATTGTAATTTTTATGTCATTTTTGATTTATATTCGTAATAAAACCGTTTCCGATGAATTAATAATAATTTATTCATATTTTAATAAAGTAATTAATCTGATATAAACTAATATTAAAAAAACTTTATTGTATGCCTTTTTTAGAAGCTTGTGTTTGTATTTTACCACTGACACAGTAAATTTTTAAAGCATTTTTGTGTAATGAAAGGGTAATTTAAGAAATATTTTGGGCACATGAATACGTTTTCATTTTAGAAATTCTAACGTCTAATATTGTCAGTCATGCATTATTCGTTTAATTGAAGTTCAAAACTGAAAACTTGGCTCGATAAATCCTTGTTTATGAAAAGTCGCAACACTTTAAAATATCTTAGTTGAATCTGTAATGGTTTGAATTATTAGAATATATTAATCTAATGATTGCCTTAATATAATAAATTAATTAAAATATATTCTTCTCCACATTGTATTGTATTGTATCAAAATGGAATATACTATAAATTAATTTGGCTAAATTCCAACAAAAACGTTTAGAAATACCTCCGTGAAAATAGTGATGGAAAAATAATATGAAGAAAACAAAAATAAAGCATTAAGAATGCTTGTTTCATTGTATTGGCTTCTGAATAAACCGAAAGTCCTATATTTAATATAAGCTCTGTCAAAGCTTAACTTTACTATACTTGACGCGTTTGGAAGACGGAGTAATAAACACATTAATCAGCCGAAGTCCACCCGGGGTGTAAACGAGTCGCCGATATCACTCACTCCTCATTGGCCGGCCTAAAAGTTGATACTCTGTGAATGGTTTTGAGTAATTGTAGGCGATGTGCGAAATTTCTATCGATCGAATCGATCATTGTACAGGATTTTGCCGTACAGGGGTAGGGATATTTTGGAACCGCCTGACATTTTTATTACTCCGTCTTCCAAACGCGCCAAGTATAGTAACTGCGAAAGCACTAAAATAATTAATGAATACATTATTTTAATACAAATAAAATGCATAATTAAAATTAATCGAAAGCTGTTTCAAAATGTAGGTATTAAGTGTAAAAACGTGTCAAAGCCATTTAGATATAATTTGTTTATGTAAAGTTTAAATATTCAGTAATTTAATTTAGAGGAACACAACTTACCTTTTCATTAATAAACCAAACAGAAATTGAAAAGAGCAAAGTACAATGGCGCTATGGACTAGTACTCCAAAATGTATTTACCATATTAAAAGATTTGCAAATTAGAAGTCATTTAGTTATTTTACAAAGTGATTAATGACGTAGTTTTAATAGTTTTGGCAGTTTGTAATCCTAATGCAAAAAGATAAACATGTACAAATGTGTTATTCAAGTTAAAAATAAATTCCTCAAAAATAGAACCATTTGTTGCACAAGCCAATATTCCAGTATGTATACTATGTATACGTTTTTCTAATCGCAATTTTTTTTGTATCGTCTGCAATACTATTTTATTTCAGGACCTATCGCAACGCTTTGGTGACGATAAAAGTATCGCCGAACATTTGAAATTACCGATACAACGTATCAACGACTACCAACTTTTGTTAAAGGTACTTATTTTTTAATTAAATAATATGAAAATATATGTTTCTAAAAGTCTTTAATTTAATTAAAATACTCTTTGGTTTATACCATAACTTTTTTTTACATTAAATATGATTTCTTCTACAATAGAGTGTGTCATATAGAATGAGCTTTACACTAAATAATAAATTTTTCTAAATGTAAATCAATAAAATCAATAAAAAGAAGACATGAGTTAATTTTCAATGTCAATTTTCGAAGACATCTAAAAAAATTTAAAATTGTTCCTGTCAAAAATGGTATAAAGTAAATTGTTAGTAAAAAACCAAAAAAATGGATTCTCCCAATTTTGAGAAAAATATGATGGAAGTCAATACATGCATTTATTATTTCGGACTCATGGCCATTTTATTTTTGACGTACTACATTCTCCGGCACGCCTAAGAAGCGCTTATTGCATTTGTTAGTCAATATCGTTCATGTATCATTCCTATCGATCATTTCCTATCCTACAAAGAAGTAAATAATGGTACTATTTTTTATAAATTTTAAATAAAAGCAATAATATTTCAGGAGTTGGTAAGGTATAGCGCTTGCCTTGGCGAAAACCACGCCGATCTTCAAAAGGCTCTAGATTTGATGCTAAGTGTCCCCCATCGAGCGCAAGACGATAAATTCATCTCTAGCATCGAAGGGTACAAAGGTAGCATCCATAAGTTAGGAAGGCTTCTTGCTCACGACAGGTTCAGCGTCACATTCGAAGACGTTACCAAAGAACGTTATCTGTTCTTGTTTAAAGCGCGTGTATTAGTCAGCAAAGTAAGGAGAATATCCGAAGATAGATCCATATTTCAAGTTAAGGATACGATAAGGGTGAGTTCGAATTATTCAAAATTTAGTTAATAATTACTAAAATATGTTTTTATTTTAGCTTTCACAAGTAACAGTTAAAGACCATCCCGAAGACAAATACGTGTTCGAACTTATCGATAGAGTCGGTGGACAAACGCTCGTATTAAAATTACATCGAGACATTAAAGAATTTTGGTTGAAAGAAATCAGAGAATTTTCGAAAAATCACGGTATGTTATTAGAAAATACTAAATCCCAAACAACAATTTTTTAATCTTCAGGTGAAAGTGAAGAATCAGGTAGCGACGAACAAAAATCACCTAAAGAAGAACAGAACAAGAAAGGAAAACAGGCTGAGTCTAAAGCAAAAAAACCTGGAACTGAAGAGAGTAAAGAACCTGCTCGTAAATCATCAATTCCCAGAAGAAAAGATTCTAAAGGTGCCAATCAAAAGCTACAGGAGAGTACCGTACTTGTTAAGGAAACAACACGAGAAAATAAGGAAGTTGTTCGAAAAAGTTCGATTACTAGAAAATATTCGAAAGAAACCAACGAACAAATAAAATCTGTAGTAACAGTTGAAGCTCAAGAGAAAGGAATTAAAGAAACAGCAGTTGTCAACAAAGGAACTAGTGAAGAAAATGGTAAAATATCACAAACTGCAGTAGTAGTTAAACAAAAAGAAGATACAGAAAAAACTAAACTATCACAATCTGCAGCAGTAGTTAAACAAAAAGAAGATACAGAAAAAACTAAACTATCACAAACAGCAGTAGTAGTTAAACAAAAAGTAGGTTCAGAAAAGACATCGGTTGAACTTCAAGAGAAAAAGGTAGTTGAGGAAATAAAAGAAATAAAAGAAAAACGTGAAGTAGCAGGAGAAGCTAAACTCATCAGTAAAGAAGCAGAGAAAACTGACAAATCAATAGTAAATCCATCCCTCAAAACCACCCTCCAAGATAATCTTATTTCCGAACTTAAAGAGAAGCAAGTTAAAAAAACACCTCAATCGTCACTTCCGGAAGTTTCTGTAACAGCCGAAACTACATCAACTACAACTACCACTGATTACATCAAATCAGAAAGTGAAACTCTTAAGCAAGTTACTACTCCAGAATCCGAAGCCGAAGATCACCACCTCAGAAAAATACAAGCGGTAGAACCGCTGATTGAGCTTCACAAACCAAGAGTACTTGAAGAAGTTATTCCATACGTAATCAAACCGCCTCCAGAATTAACACCTGGTAGTGCTGTTGACAAATTATTAAGTGTAGAGAAAGCGGGCGTTAGTGACATTATCTTAACCGATTTCAAAGTAGGAGTTGAATTCAATGTCGAAGTAGGAGACGAAATGAGCAGAAGGTATACTTCATCAGCTCGTTCAGGTTAGTTGGTGCTATTTTATAATAAAGGTGTTGTCTTACTAACTACTAGTTTCGTTTTATTTCTATATTAACTAAAAAATTGGTAGATTTATTTATTAGCTAGCCATGCTAACAAAAAGTAACGAACTCTTTTAGGATCATTTAAGAAGTGGTAAAAGTGTTAATAAGTAAACTTTAATTGCTAATGCAAATCAGGTGAAGCTTCGGCAATTTTCTTTGTGCTTTTAATAATCCATCTACGCACTCACACTATGAAGAATACACAGACATTCACATTAACTGACAATAAAAAATATTTCCGCTTGGCAAAATTGGCGATTTCTCCAGCTTCCGCAAGTTCACTTAATCGAGAAACAACCTCGACCTTCACGAGTTGTCTTCGTTCGCAGAAGGTGGTTACGAATCCTCATACACCAGAAGATCGGAGCTCGGGTCCTATTCCACCGATGGCGGTTCGTCGTCTAAGTACGGTTCGGACTACAGTTCGAGCAAATACGGAGCAGATTTAACTTCGAAATATGGGGATTCGTCCATGTTGACTTCCAGTTACAGCTCGAGGCGAACGGGGGACTTGGACAACGATTACAGTTCGACCAGAAAGTCGAGAATCGCTGCCGATAGCGACGATGGAAGTAGCTACAGCTATTCGCGGAGGATCGCCAAAACGGGAGACGAAGACGCTGGGGATGCGTACAGCTCGTATTCCAGGAAAACTGCTCGATCTATTGCAAGAACGGAAGGTACAGGAGACGATGATGGCTACAGTTTTTCGAGACGTAGCATCAAAAGTCGAACAGAAGGCGTGGGAGATGGTGACACATATTCGTTTAGAAGATCTGTAAAATCATCCGTGGAAGGGACAGGTTTGGAACCATCAGAAACTACGGATACGTACAGTTACACATCCAAACGTGGTCTAGGTGCCGATTTAGGATCCAAATATTCGAAAAGATCAGTATCTATAGAAGAAGAAAAGAGCGACACTGAAGATTTGCTATCGAAATATTCGAAAAAATATTCTTTGGGTAGTAAGTTACCTGAAGAAGAAGAGGATAAGTATGCTAAATACACTAGAAAATACTCCAGGACGGACTCATCGACAGAGCGAAAAGCTTATGATGAAGATGACGATAAGTATAGCAGGAAATATTCGCGCACTACCTCTAGGGATAAAAAGTCGAACAACGAAGAAGAAGAGGATGCTTACGAAAAATATGCTAGAAAATATTTAAGGAAAGATTCCACCAATGACGAACAAAGTAGCGAAAGACGATCCAAAAAATACGGTGAAATTGATGACGGTAAGTTAACTAGGCCAATTAAAATTATATTCGAATGAAATAGAAAATACTATTGATTTGTATTTTTTATTGTCGGAGACACAAAAAGACGATTTCACAAGATATTTAATTGCCAATTAAGCATTTATTAATTATTGTAATTGATCAATAATGACTTAATCGCCAATTAAATGTTATGAAATCTGAACTATCAAAAGAAACAACTACAAATAAATACATCACATTTTCATTGTCTAGTAATAGAATCATACCATTTAATAAATAATAATAAACCGCTTTGGTAAAACATGCTTCAATCTTTCAGAAGTATCTTCTTCGGTCAAAATTTCTAGTGAGTCGACTATCAAACAAGAAGGCAGTGCCATCGAAGCCGTTTCAACTAGAGAACTGAAATCTGAATCGTACGCTAAAAAATCTGTAGAAAGTTCCCAATCGGAATCAAGATCAGCAGTGACTATTCAGTCATCTTCGGAAGCAGCTGTTGAAAAATCAATAGAAAGCGCTTCTAAAGCCGCAACTGAAACTGCATCTGAAGCTGCTTCTTCAGAGTCTTCCTCTAGAAGAACAATCAAAACTGCTACGGAAACTGAGGAGAAGAAAGCAAAGAAAGAAGAGGAAGTAAGCATGTCAGAATCTCGTAAAGTCAAGAAAGAAGAAATTCGCGAAACCCTTTCTGCTGATGAGAGAAATGTAAGGGAGAAATCGGCCGAAGAAAAGCTGGAAGAATTGGACGGACGACCCAAATTTATAAAGACCATCCACGGAGCAAGCATTGAACGTAAGTTTTTTCTTATCTACTTACATATTTTTTTTCTTAAACTGTATAAAACTACATATTATCTTCTATATCATTCATAAGCACGCAGCAATGCTTTAGTGCACTTTATCGATGTACTCTTTTCAACTTTTTTATTCTATTCCTCTATCTTAACAAAACGTGGAAAATGAGGAACTTTTTAGAAAATTAAAGGTTACATTTACAACAAATTATAGAATATTGGAACTTTTTTAAAATTCGCTTTTGACCTTTAATCTCCTTCCTTCTGCACCAGCTGGACAGAGAGCACACTTTGAGGCGACGCTAAATTCAAAACCAAAGTCTTTCGTATGGCTCAAAGACAACAAGCAATTAAACGGCAGCAATAATTTCTCCGGGCGACTGCAGTTCGGTTTCCACGAATTAACCAACACTTTTCAAATTACCATTAATGATGCCAAAAAAGAGGACACCGGAATATATTGTGCCGTTGCTAAAAACGATAGCGGAGAATCGACTTGTTCGGCACAGCTAGTTGTGCACGAATGTTAGTACGAATGATAACACTTGTTTTCTTTTTAATAACTTAAGCTTGTTTTAATTTTGTTTCTATTTTCCTTTTCTTTTTGCTTGTTTCATAACTAACAATCATGTATGGATGTGTTTAATTTGAATTCGATGGAATTTTGATCATTTTTTATTTGTTGGTCGAGTCCACATAATTTTGTACACAGAATGAGAAACGTTAATAATTTTCTACAATATTTATACACCAAATCACAAATTTAAAATAGCCGATAAAACGCTAGCTATATTGACAAAATTAATTTTTTGGTAAAATTTGTACTTGTTTTGGTTTTGGATTATTCAATGTTCATTCTTCATCAATATATTAATAAATTCATTAACTTTAGTGACGACAGAAGAAACAATTTCCAAATCTAATGTAGACAAACCAGAGTTCGTAATATCAATGAAGGACGCAGAATTATTAGAAGACACCTATCTTCGGTTTATGGTGAAAGTGATAGGTGAACCACATCCAGACGTCGCATTGTAAGTGCATAACATAAATAATTTAAATAACATACTAAAAACATTATTTCCTTCAGCTTCAGAGAAGGTAAAAAGATACCGGAAAATTCCGAGAAATATCAAATTATCAAGGAACACGCCGAAAAAGGTTTCTACGAACTGGTTATACCTGTTGTTAAAAAATCCGACGCGGGATCATACAAATGTGTAGCCACAAACAAACATGGTGAAACAGCTTCAGAGGCTAACCTCACAGTAACCGGTACGTTTTATTTTTTCTCTTCGACTTCAGTAAATTTATTCAAGCTATTTGACTACTTACTTAGACAACAAGCGAATATTCGAAGAAATGCCTGAAGGAGAAATCCTTCCACCAGGCGAGAAGCCAGTATTCCACTGGAAGAAAGACGGCATCCCCTTCGATCCGGACGAACGTTTCAAAGTTCTGATGGGCGACGATGAGGATTCCTTGGCTCTAGTCTTTCAAAAAGTCAGACCAGACGACGTGGGGTTGTACACTTGCGTTGCTCAAACTTCCAGGGGCCACATCAGCTGCAGCGCCGAGCTGACTGTGCACGGTACGGTGAACCAATTGTTCAGGGAACCGGAGAAACCGAAGCTCACCGTTATTAAGAAAGATCCCATCGTGAATGTCGGTGGATCCGCAATGTTGGAATTGCAAGTCAAAGGCTATCCCAAGCCGAATATTAAATTCCAGCACGAAGGAAAGACCATCGAAGCGAGTAAAAAACATAAGTGAGGAATTGTTTGTATGCTCTAAGCTTGGGAAATTATCGCTTTTTATTTCAGGATTCTCTACGAGGACGAAGAGACCGTTTCTCTTGTTATTAAAGATGTTCAATCCAGTGATGCTGGAAAGTATACATTCATTGCTGAGAATGAATTGGGTATCGATACAGCTGATATGAACCTAACTGTTAAAGGTAAGAAGTCTAATTCTAGATGCAATTGGAAAATATAGTTTGTTGTGCAATAAATAAATTTTATTCTTGGAAGACTTACATATTATATCGTGTCAATATAAACTGCTCGTCAATTTTAGTTATTTACTATTAACCAACAATATTTCTAATATACTAAATAATCATAAATACGTTATCATTCATTTTTACAGCTACATCTACAAAACAAGAAACAGAAACACAAGATTGTTCACTCACCATAGGTACATAAATAGATACCAATCGTTGTCTGTCTATAGTCTTCTTCTAAATATTTACACACATTTCACTAACAACTCATTTCATCTAATTACTCTCTACTAGTGATTCAGCTTTTAGAAAGATCTCTTGTAGGTATATTTGCAGCGAATTTTCTATGTGTACAAACCGATTTTCAGAAAATTCGATTTGTTCTGTGAAGTGGAGTAATTAATTGTTGTTTATGCATGTCATTCACGAAAAAGGTATTCACGGGTTTTTATTCTATTATCCGTAAATACCGTTACATACATTGATAATATTTTTTTACAAATAACCATTGGATAGATAGTAAATTCACGACCTAGGGTAATAATAAATTCTTTGCAGGTCAAAATATTTACTGTGGATATATGTTGAATGATATACATACCTACATAGATTGCTCCACTTCCTATACTCTATATTCAGATATGATTACTTTCAGCATTAACTATTTTTGACTATAAACTTATTTTTTTATATTTCTGGAATGTGATCATTGATTATTGTATATTAAAATTTCAGCTGCTCCAAAAATTAAAACTAAAATGGAAGATATTTCCGTCCATGCCGATATCCTGTTAAAAATGGAAGTGGAGGTCGAGGGTATTCCTAAACCTACAGTACAATTTTACAAAGATGGTAAAGTAATTAAGCAAACGGAAAACATAAAAATTATCGAATCTGGTGAAAAACACACCCTTCAAATCGAAAAAACATCGCTGAAAGATTCAGGTATACCAACAAACAGCTCCTGAAAATACGAATATTTAAAAATATTGTTTATTTAGGTTCCTATTCGGTTGTTGCGACAAACGAACTGGCTCAAGTATCCCAATTCTGGAATTTGGATGTATATTCTAAACCGAAAGTGACCCAAAAAATGGGATCAGAGAAAATAATATCGCAAGGTCAGAACCTGGAACTCAAAGTGAAAGTCGAATCCGAGCCGAAATCAGAAGTAAAATGGTTTAAAGACGAAGAGGAAATCCAATCAAACGAGCACTACACTGTCAAAGAGGACAATGATTCTTACACACTGAAAATAACAGGTGCTGTAACTACAGATGCTGCTCGCTACAAATGCAGAGCTTTAAACATACACGGTACAGTCGATGATGAAGTCACGGTCAATGTCAAGAAACCACCAAAAATAATCCAAGGCCTAAGAGATATGACAGTCGTTGAACACGACAAAAACGTTACACTGGATGTAAAACTTGAAGCTTTCCCCAAACCAACAGTAAAATGGTAAGTCACGGTGAATCTTACGTGAATGTATAATATTTACTCGCACATTCAGGTACCTAGACGAAGTCGAAATTAAGGAAACCCGCACGGAATTCACCAGATTGGAAATGGACGATGGAGTGAAGCTCGTTATTAAAGAAGTCACCAGCGAACTTTCAGGACAATACACGTGCAAGTTGAGCAACGAATGCGGCGGAGCCGAAACCAGCGCCAAATTAACCGTTAATTGTGCACCTCGCATCATAAAGCACCTCAAAGACACCACTGTCGAAGAGGGAGCCACGCTACATTTGGAAGTCGAAGTGGAAGGCTGTCCGTCCCCGACTGTGAAATGGTTGAGGAACGGCCGCGAAGTTTCCGCAGACGCTCGTATCAAAATTAGCAAGGATACTCAAAGACATGAAACTTTCAATCTGGCCGTTAATCTCATCAAATACGAGGAGCAAGGAGAGTACGAAGTTATCGTTACCAACTCGCTTGGTACCGTCACCAGTAAAAGCATTGTTACCGTGCAGAGTAAGTCACAGTTAACTATTTTATTCGCATTTAAATTTATGAAAATGATAGTCTGTTGGAAATAAAAATCTATTTAAATATTTCATAAAAATGGTCCATATAAAATAAGTGCAAACTGCTATAAAAATTGAAGTAAATATTTTAAGGTAAGTGATAGATTTCCCCGGAGTAAATGTTTTAAGCATGTTTGCAGTCCCTTGTTTTTTTAAAGATTTACGAAAAAATCTTAAAAAATGTCCATTTTTATACTGCACACGTCGTCATTATATGTTTTTATAATCCTCTTTACCCATCTAACAAATTACAGAAGTTACACATACGGACGCGATCGAAGAAACCGAAGAAATACCGAAAGTCGAAGTTCTAGAAAAACCGAGTGTTGCTAAGGAAGCAGAAATCGAAGAAAAGATCGAAGAAGATATCGAAGAACCGAAGAAACTTGATGTTAAAGACGTTGATGATAAACCTAAAGGTAGGAGCTGATATTTTAAGAGGAAACCAGTAACGTTATTACATTATTTAAATTCATTAAGGAGAATAATCGTGCTACTGGTTACTTGATTAGTTTTGTAAAGCGAATATATTGGTTTCTTACAAAAATATTAAAATTTTTATTTGTGCTACACAAACTACTCTACATATTATAGTAGTAGATATGTTAATATTGCTTAGTAGTTGATTTATTGTTTGTTTTTGGCAGGAGCTTTTTATGTGTTTTGTACTTCTCAGTACAGCAATTTTGAAATATTGCTGGTTACAATTTCATTTACCGATTCATATTTCATGATAAGACACGTTAATCTTAATATACATTTCACACAAATAGGGCATAAACTTGGCAAAATTGAAATTTGTGAAGAAAGAGAGTCCGGTGCTGAACCGTTAGTGGAGGAACCGGAATCGCCTGTTCCGAAAAAACGAGCGATTGTCGCTGTAGCCGAAGAAGCGGAAATTGTTGATGGGGAAGGAACAAAAAATGTTGAAGAATACGAATTACCTAAACCAAAACCTAAGCCTAAGCATTCAATTTCTATCGAAGAAATTCAAGAGCCAGCTCGTTACAATGAGGAAGAGCAAACCACTGGAAAATCTAATACTCCTAAGGTAGCTTCAGCAGAAACAGCAGAAGTTTGTGATATCACAACAGATTCTAAACCTAAATCAATCGAACCCAAAGAATCTGACAATTCTAAAAAACTCCAACGAGGAATATCAGCAACAAAAGACAAAATTGAAATATTAGAAGCAGACGAAGATACCAAACCAAAAACTGCTAAAAGTAAAGAAATCGATGAAAAACCTAAACTAGCTAATTTAGCGAATGTCGAAGATATTGAAATTGTGGAAAAGAAAGATCTGCCACGGAAGCTATCAGAGAAAGACCTAAATAACGATGACAAAGAAAATCACAAACGAGGCAAATCTGCTATTATCGAAGAAGCTAGGCTTACGGAAGAAGATGTTAAAATTCCTTTAAAAACGGGAGAAAAATCAATAAAGAGACAAGAAAGCCAAAAAGGTACACGAGACTATGACGAAACAGACGAAGTTACCGAAAACTTGCTCAAACGAGCGCAACAGCAAAGAAGCTTGGTGGAGGATCTATCCGAAAAACCGGAAGCACATCAAGAAGATATTACTAATATATCAAATAAAACCCCAGAAGGTACAAATATACTTCTCACTGCTTGATACATAAACACTACCTATAAATTTAATACTTATAAGGCACTTTTCACAAATATTTATACTTTCCTATTATCTCTATTATTTCCTGTGTTTAATTTATTGTAATAACTTTTGTCTTGTTACAATTAACAGCAGGCTTGCTTGAATTAACATCACTGGCACTTCTAACAGGCTATAAACTACATGCACATCGGTAAGTATAATAATCGGGCATCTAAAGTTATTAATAATACTTTCGTTAATATTGCAATAATCTGTTATTAAATTTTATCAACAATGAAACTTATCCAGTTTTTATCTGTATACCCTCTTAACTGGATTTAATGAAACCATATTTTTCTGAACAGCTGAACCAATAGTCCTGGCCACTAACATGAAAGACGGTTCTCGTCCTGAATCCTTGGACATCACTTACATCGTTAAAGGATTCGCCAATCCTCCACCCGTAGCTACTTGGACTTTAGATGGAAAGGAAATAAAGCCGGATGGTAACTTGAGAATGAAAATTAGCCAAAACGGAGAAGAATTCAAACTGGAAATCCAGAAACTTGATTTAAAGGATGCCGGTGTTTATCAATGTATACTAAGCAATCCTGTCGGAAAGATTGTGCAGCAGGCTGTGCTCGATGTCACACGTTAGTATCTTTTTTAGAACAGAATTATATTAGATAATAATTTATTAATAAAATTTATTGCTTATAGCTGAAAAGGACTTAAGGCGACCTAAAATAAAGGAGGGATTGAAAGATCAGTCAGTTGTAAAGAAAAATCAGGTGCAATTCAAGGCTGTCATTATTGGTGATCCTGTTCCAGATATTACATGGTATGAATAAATTTTCAGATATATGTTTATGAAATTGTCCTGACATAATAATGCATTAAACAGTTGCACATGGTTTTCTTTAACTAATAATTTAATTAATAGGTGCAGAAACGGAAAAGAAATTACAAACGAAGAATTTGAAAAGCACAAAATGGTATTGGAATCTCACGACTTTGAAATTGAAGATGGTCTAAAGGAATGCGCTTTTACATTAACTATCCCTAGATGTAAGTAAAATATCCCAATCTACTACAGATGCTAAATTAATTTAGCCACAACTATACCAATCGTTTTTTATAGGTGATTCTTCCGTCGAAGGAAAATACAAAATCAAGGCGAAGAACAAATGGGGTTCGGCCGAGAGCAGCGCCGATTTGAGCATCGTCATGCGTCCGGAAATCGATGGGCCTTATGACACAAAAGTAGTGCCTGGAGAAGCGACCGAATTTACTGTGATCGTCCAAGCCAATCCAGAACCGTACGTAGTCTGGACGAAAGACGATGTGGTCGTTAAAGGAAGCGATCTAATTAAAATCGTGGAGGACAGGGCAAATAAGACGTACAAATTGGTGTTTCATGATGTTAAATTAGGCGACGAGGGTTATTATAAAGTTACTGCTAAAAACGAATTGGGAGAAGCCTGTTCGGAAGCACGGCTTAGGACAGTCAGTAAGTTGGTTTATTATTTTTTATTAAATCTTAAAGAATTCTTCGGGATGTGTCTCAAGAAAATCAAATATCAAAATGTCTCAATTAGTTTCATATTTAGGAAGAACAGGGATTTGCTAAAGCAAATTAATTATTCTTCTAAGTCTAATTTAAAAAAAAAGTTCAACTGAATATGCTTTTTACAAGAATTTACCTCGGATCCAATTCTCTTAGAAACACACGTTACTTACATGAAAAACTTTTATTTACAGAAGAAGCAGAACCAATGAGTAAGTTAAGACTAAACTGGCTTGTTTGGCACACACATAAAGCTCAAAACTGTATTAATATTTTAGAGAAATATCGCAAAAATTTATTTACAAGCTTCCGCCAACTTATTATTCAATTATTATCATTATCTTTAACATGGTTATTAAATACATATTGCGCAAATTACGATTTTAACTACAAAAACTAAAAATTTTATATAATTAAATAGAAATCAACAAAAAGAGTAAATACGCAGCGAATCATTACAGCTTGATTACAACTATTAATAATTCATTTCAGCTTTGAATTAAACTACCAATCTTTGCACCTTACCGATTGTTAAGTATGAATTTTTTGCTTTAGCCGAACGACCAAAATTCATAACCGGCTTAAATGACGATCAAATCGGACAGAAATCGGAGCTGATTCTAATGGTCAGAGCGGACGGTTTACCCAAACCTGAAATACGTTGGTTTTTAAACGGAAAACCGGTAACAGAGGACGAAAACGTTAAAATCGAAACAACCACCGATGCTCAAGTGACCAGCAAATTGATCGTAAAGAACTTCGATGGGGAACATGAAGGAATTGTAAGTTTAGCAACACTATTATTGAGATTCATTTTCTTACATTTTTACTTTAGTATAAAGCGATGGCTATTAACGTTGTCGGAGAAGCGGAAACCACATCAAGAGTAATCATGCAACAAACAGCGCCTTCGTTTGGAAAGAAATTAGATAGGAACTTAGATGTTAGCGAAGGTGAACCGTTAGAACTTAAAGCTAAAATCTACGGAAGTCCTTCACCAAAGGTGACATAATAGTTATCATTTATTTTACATTATTAACTTGTTTTTTGATAACTTAGGTAACATGGTATAAAGATGGAGAGCCAATATCACCAGACGATGAAAACATAACAACCACCATATTACCAGACGGCACAGTAAAACTTAACATAGACAAGTGCAAACCCTCTGACAGTGGAGCTTATAAACTGGTGGTCAGCAACAGGAATGGGGACGCATCTTCTCTTTGCGCTGTCGCTGTAACACGTAAGTATCATTAATTCTTAAAAATACGCTTCTTCATAACCCTTTTTCAGCGAAACCGAAGAGACCAAAGTTCCTGAAATGTTTCAAAGACGCCAAAATACCAATCGGCGAAAGTCTACGCTTGGAAGCCAAAGTGGAAGCTTACCCTCCGCCGGAGATAAAATGGCTCAAGGACGGCGTACCCGTGAGAGCATCCTCTAATATCCGTTTCGAAAACCACCCTGACGGCCGAGTGGCTCTCGTCGTAGATATAATGAAACCAGAAAACGCCGGGAATTATCAGCTTGTTTTAACGAACAAACTGGGCGAAGCGACAGGAGACGCTAAGATAGAAGTAGAGAAAAAACCAGTGAAGCCGGAATTCATCAAGAGGCTCAGCCCGCAAACGGTAGTCGAAGGTTTCCCCGTCAAACTGGAAGTAAAAGCCGAAGGTTTCCCAACTCCTAAAATCACTTGGTACGCAGACTACATGAAACCTACAAAACCAAAATTTCTAATTCTAATGAAACTTTTAGGAGCAGAAATGGAGCTGAAGTCATATCAGATAACAAACACATTAAAATCATCGACGAACCAGACGGTTCCAGCGCTCTCTATCTAGACAGTGCTGATGTAATGCGCGACGCTCTCACCTACAGAGCCATCGCCACCAACGAAGCCGGAGAAGCTGAAACATCGGCACCATTGACGGTCAAAGAAGCTTCCAAGCCGGGAGAACCAGAAGAACGGCCGCAATTCTTGCACGGCCTGAAAGACGTTATCACAGATGAAGGCCAACCTTTGGTCATAGAAGTAGGCTTTACCGGAAACCCCATACCGAGCGTCGAGTGGACCAAAGATGGAGTACCTATCGAACCTTCAGAAAGAGTTTTAATGACCTGCGATGGAAGAAGGGTAAAAACTGTTTGCATAGGAAACATAATTATGTAACTTTGTGTATTTTTGTAGGTTGGTTTAAAAATTGATAAAGCAGTTCCTTCTGATGCCGGAGTGTACGGAGTCAAAATTATCAACGCCTTGGGAGACGACGCCAACCAATGCAAAGCTACTGTTAGGAAAGTGTTTATGCCTCCAACGTTTACCCAAAGATTTACAGATTTGCAGCAAGTAAGTCATTAGAAAATAGGAACTCATGAAAAAGACTACATTGCGACTAATATTTTTTGTAGTTACCAAGCAGAGATGCCAAACTTCCCTGTCGAGTGATTGGCGTCCCTCAACCGGACGTGATTTGGACCAAAGACGGCGAGCCCATCGGCAATTCCGATAAATATACGATTAAAAGAGATGGTGATCTCTGTTGTCTGTATATTTTCGATTGCAACGACCAAGACGCTGGTATATACAGAGCGACGGCCGTTAACCAAGAGGGTCAAGACGATTGCACAGCATCCCTAGAAGTTGTGAAAGAAATGTAAGTTTCTGCGAAATCATGAAATGTATTTAAATGTGAATTAATTATTTGTTTTTTAGCAAACAAGCAAAGAAAATTGAACCGCCCGTCTTCTTGAAACGAATCGGAGACACGGAATTGTTCAAAGCCATGACGGCGAAATTTACAGCTTGTGCTTCAGGCATACCCGAACCTACAGTGGAGTGGTTCCACAACGACAAAAAAATATACCCATCAAACAGAATTAAAATGGACAAAGATACAGCTGGGCTGCTTAGACTTACGGTATCAGGTGTCGATGAAGATGATCTTGGAAAATACACCTGCAAGATATCTAACGAACATGGAAGCGACATTTGCCATGCTACTCTGAAATTTGACGAAGGTAAATATTTAATTTACGTGATTAGGAGAGTTATTTTTTTTGTTATTTTTAGGTCTTGAACAAAAACCGAAACGTCCTATAACCGATCAATACACCGACTTCGATAAATACAAAAAAAGCGGTGCACCAATGCCGATATCTGACCCACCGATTATTTCTCAAATGACCGACAGACATTGCACATTGTCCTGGAATCCTTCGATTCCTTCCGGTCCTAGGGCACCAGTTACCTATCAACTAGAAATGTGCGAATTGCCGCACGGTGATTGGTTTACAGTCAGATCTGGAATCAGAAGTTGCACCTGCGGAGTCAGAAATTTGGAGCCCTTCAGAGATTATAAATTCAGAGTTAGAGTGGAGAATAAGTACGGAATCAGCGATCCTTCACCATACGCTATAACCCATAGGTAAATATATCCAATTTTAAGCTAATACCTTTTACAAAACCAGGAATATTTGTTTAAAATATTTGTCGTTGACAATGAATAATACCATTAGTTTAAAAAAATGAACCAACTAAACAAAAATCGTTAAAATCAACACATTTGCAAATAAAATAAATGTATACCTAATAAAACGTTGTAGGAGTGAATTTGTTGCCATGTTCTAAATCTTGTTTTAGGGAGAAATTAGAGCCCGACTTGCCCAAATTCCGACCCTATTTACCTCCCGAGATCGATTTTCGACCGGAGACATCTCCATACTTTCCTAAAGATTTCGATATCGAACGACCACCTCACGATGGTATGGCTCAGGCGCCGAGGTTCTTACGTCAAGAGCACGATACCCAGTATGGAGTTAAAGATCAGAACACAAATCTGTTCTGGTTCGTTTATGGTTACCCCAAACCAAAGATGACCTACTATTTTAATGACGAGCTCATCGAACCAGGCGGTCGATTCGATATGAGCTACACCAGAAACGGGCAAGCGACGTTATTTATCAATAAGTACGTTCAACAATTTGTTTTTGGCTAATTTCATGGCTTTTATTGCTTGTTACGCTCGTTTTACTCTCTTTTGCTTTTTGGCTTCTTTAGAGAAATTTGATGCAGAAAAAATTGTTTATTGCAAGCATGGCAACAACATATTTTCTAACAAAATCAGACATCAGTTAACACTAAATCGATTACATAGCGATGAAACTTTGTTCAATTATTGCACACAAAGATGCATTTTTATTTCGAAATCGTTTTTCCAGGATGCTCGAAAGAGACGTTGGTTGGTACGAAGCTGTTGCCAGAAACGAGCACGGAGAGGCGAGGCAAAGAGTACGTTTGGAAATAGCAGAAATACCTTACTTCACTAGAAGACCGGAAATCGAGTATGTTATGATTAGAGGCAAAGCCAAATTCGAAGCTAGAATCGCTGGTGTGCCATATCCAGAAATCAAATGGTACAAAGATTGGAAGCCCCTAGCACCATCCACTAGAATCAAAGTTAGTACCTAATTATACGTTTCCTCACTGTTACTTTATCGTATAATGTTTAATGCAGATCGCTTTCATTGAACCTGATATAACCGTGTTAACAATTCACGATGTAATTCTGAAAGACGAAGGCTTGTACTCAGTAAGTGCCCGTAACGTAGCTGGTTCGACATCAGCTAGTGCAATGCTGTACGTAGAGGAAAACGAGCACGAGTATAAATTAAGAAACTACTACAACTTGGCTCCGATTAGACCCAAAAAACGCACCTACACCGATTTCTACGATATCGGAGATGAATTGGGCCGCGGAACCCAAGGAATCACCTCGCACGCCGTGGAAAGACTCAACGGTAAAAAGTTAAAAGTTATTTAACCCGCTTAAGTATTTATATTTTTGTTATAACACAGGCCGAAACTACGCCGCTAAAGTAATGTACGGAACAGGAGATCTGCGTCCTTGGATGTATAACGAATTGGACATTTTGAATGAACTTCGTCATAAAAAACTCATTTCTCTTCACGATGCCTACGAAACCGATGATTCGTTGGCGTTGATATTGGAACTAGCGTCGGGCGGTGAATTGGTAAAAGATTACCTATTAAAAACGGATTATTATCGAGAAAGCGACATCGCAGGATTTATGCGACAGTTGCTCCAGGGCCTGGATTATATGCACGATAGAGGATACGCTCACATGGGCTTAAACGTAAGTTTCTATATCTCAATTTATCTACTTCTCTATTATTTCCAACATTCGAACATTGGCATTTTAGCTAGGAGATCTCCTGCTGTCTCATCCAGGCGGAGACGATCTGAAAATCACAGATTTCAGTCTATCGAGACGAATCCAGCACGGAAGCTTCTACCCTCTAAAGTATGGTATGCCCGAGTACGTGAGCCCGGAGGTAATTAATGGCGATGGAATCGGATTCGGTCAAGATATGTGGAGCGTTGGAATAATAACGTACATCCTTCTATCGGGAAGATCGCCGTTCAGAGGCGACAACGACAGAGAAACGCTTACCAACATTAAAACCGGTAAATGGACTTTCGACGACGAATGGTGGTCGAATATAAGCGTAGAAGGTAGAGACTTCATCAGCAGATTGTTGGTTTACGACGTCGATGGTAGAATGGACATTAGAAGCGCTTTGAGGCATCCGTGGTTAGAACGAGCTGATAAAAGATATAGTGATGAATTCCAAATTAGAACCACATACCTCAGCGATTACTGGAGATTGTACAGGTAGGTTTAATTAATTCACAAGTGAAAGTAGCTTGCTCAAAAAATTATTTTACAATTCGAAAATACGTTAATCTTCACTCCCGACAGGGTGTTCCTATAAACATCGTTTACAACCTAAAATCTCTCTGGATTATATTCTATAAATAAGGCAAGTTTTAAAAATACAATCCCTTGATTACAGGCTTGCTGTAATTATTTCCGTTCTTTCTCGGTCCTCGAATTCCCAATTCTGCGTGCCAAGTTATTTTTAATCGAAAATAAATCGTCTATTGTTAAATAAATAGATCAGTTCAATTCCAAGTCGCGTTTACAATGGATGATTTACAAAAGTACATTTTTGAAAATAACAAGGAACGAGAGGAAATCGAGGACACGTTTCGATACAATATAAAAATATTTAAAGGGCTTGATAAACTCGAAGCGCACAAGAAACTTTATCACATATCCGAGTATGAATTGTATAAAATAGAAACGATATTATCGTAAGTTTTGGGGAAAATCTTTAATATGTTTAGTACATTATTTTGATTTTTTATAGGGAATGGTACGATAATGCTTCGTGTAGAAGATGGTTCAGGCGAAGGCCTTTGGAAGGAGCTTTCACTCATCCTTCGAAAATGGTATATCCTCCAGGAGACTACGATACACCTCGATCTACACCTGCACCTTTGGACAGGACTCCAAGGACGCGAACGCCATGGGAAGATCAATTACCAACGAGGTCTCCTCTTAATTACGAAATCGGTGTTATTAAATCAGAGAGCCAGTAAGTAAATTTATCCTAAATATATCAAATTCTACTTTTCACTTTTTTAGTTATCAAAACGGTCCGGATACTTACCTCTTGCAATTAAGGGATGTTGATTTTCCTGTTCGTCTTCGTGAGTACATGAAAGTTGCCGCTAATCGTGGACCAGGAGCAGGATATATCATTTCAGATGAAAATGGCTACGATTGGAGGGTGAGTTGATTAGATTTTGTACTATTAACATTATGTAGATAATTTAAAAATATTTTTTAATTTGCATTACTCTGTGAACTTTCTTGTTTCAGACTCCCATTATTCGGGAAAGACGTAGATTCACCGATATAATGGATGAAGAAATCGATGACGAAAGAAAAGCGCGTATAAACAGATATGGATCTGTGGAAAGGGAACCTACAACTAGAAGAATTCGACATGAAATCGGTAAGAAATTAACAAATAAAAATTGAACGACCTGTACTTTGCATTTTTTTAGGATCTCGTTTGGACGCCTACGTGGAAGCGGAAGCTTTTCTGGAAGCCAAACAAGATGGACGCCTGCCATTCTTTAGAGAAAAACCGAATTTAACAGCGATGCAAGAGGGAAAAGATTTGGAACTCGTTTGCTTGGCGGTCGGTGAACCTCAACCAATCGTACAATGGTTCAAGTAAGTTTTATTTGTCTCTAATAATTCAAAATGAAATAATCTAATTAATTATCTTCTTTTAGAAATGATTCCATTGTCGCCGAATCGCACAGGATCAAAATCTTCACGGACGCAGATGGTAGATCTCACTTCAAACTAACACCGGCCCTCAACTTCGATCAAGGCGCCTACAAAGTAGTAGCTCGTAACAAAATCGGCCAAACGATTGCAAGAACCCGAATCGTATTGGGTCTAGTACCAGACGAACCGGATAGCCCGGAAGCCAAGCAAGTATCAGATACTGAAGTTTTACTCACTTGGAAGCAACCCAGGTTCGATGGCAACGCCGCAGTAATATGCTATTGCCTCGAATACAAGGGTGCCGACGAATTGGACTGGATAAAGAAAGCTGATAACATCGATCACGAATTCTATCTAATGGGCGGTTTGGAATCCAACAAAAGCTACATATTCAGACTGGCAGCTAAGAATTCGATCGGATGGAGCGATCCTGGTGTACCTTCAGCTTCTGTTACTACTAAACCAGCAGGTAGGAATTTTGCACTTGGATAAAGACTTCTTTTTTATGTCAAAAACATACCAATAATGGATGATTTATAAACTTTCAAGGTTCACCAAAGATACAATTAAGCAAAGCGATGCTACACTTACAACAAATGACAGATAGTGGCAGGGAAGTAGAAGAAGGTGGTGGAGCCCGATTGAACTACTCATCAGAATCAGCACCTGTTGAATGGGAGGAATCGAATGTTCAAGAACAATACAACTTCATCTCTGAAATTTCAAGGTAAGTAATAGCAGATTTTTATGTTTCTGTAACAAAGTATATCGTTTCTTTTACAGGGGAAAGTTCTCGGTCGTACTAAAGGCTGTCGATAAACGTAATGACGCGGTGGTAATCGCGAAAATTCTAGATTACAATGAAAAAACCAGGGAAGATGTTGATGGTGAATTCGCGGCGCTCAGATCACTGCGACACGAGAAAATTGCTAGTCTATTATCGGCATATCGAACGAACGGAACAGCCGTTTTAGTTATGGAAAAGCTGCAAGGTGCCGATATTCTTACCTATTTGGCAAGTCGGCACGAATATTCAGAACAAACGGTCGCTTCAATTATTTATCAAGTGAGTTAAATATTCGTAAGAAACTTGGTAAATTTAACATTTCTTGTATAGGTTTTAGATGGAATACAATACTTGCACTGGCGAGGATTGTGCCATTTGGATCTTCAGCCTGACAACATTGTCATGAGCGGAGTGAGATCAGTTCAAATCAAACTGGTTGATTTAGGCTCGGCGCATAGAGTGACTAAATTAGGAACGGACGTGCCGGTTGTGGGACACCCAGATTATATTTGTAAGTATTTATTCAAGCACAAATTAATATGGCTACATCATTGTAATATGTTTTAGCTCCAGAGGTTTTGTCACAAGAACCCGCATTCCCCCAATCCGACATATGGACTGTGGGCGTTTTGACATACGTAATGCTTTCTGGAACTGTACCATTCCGAGGAGAGGACGAAAATGAGACGCGTCAAAACATACTATTTGTTCGTTACAGGTTCGAGAATCTGTTTCAAGAAGTTACCCAAGAGGCTACCAGATTCCTCATGCTTCTATTCAAGCGTCATCCAAAGTGAGTAATTGAAAGCTTCTAACAATAAAATGCATTCATTCATTCGCATTTTTTTTAGTAAACGGCCGTCTCCGGAAGAATGCCAGGAGAACAGATGGTTATTGCCTTCAGATTTTATGATCAAGAAACGCGAAAGGGCGGTGTTCTTAGGCCACAGGATTAAGGAATATTCGGAAGAATACCACAAGGAAAAAGAGCTGTCTTCACAACAATCGGCAGGTTCATCGGGAATAAAATTAATAAGATCGCAAAGTATACAAGAGGAATTACTGACTGCACCTTAGTAACTGTTATTGTTCTTATGCATATGTTGTAAAATAATGTTTATATGTTGTTACATTGTTTCTATATTATTTGATTTACAAAATTTTCGTTACACTCGAGTAGTTTTTGAACTATTCGATTATTCATTATCTAAAAAAGTTTCGGTCGAGTTATAAAAAATTATGTAATTGCTACATTGTTAAAAATTTTGTTTTTGTTGATTTACGACTTTATTTTTTTTTGTTCTACTAATAAAGTAATATAAATAAAAATCTATATTTTTTAATGAATAGTCATCCAGACTATCCAAAACTTCTTAGCAATAGCCGTTTAGTTCTGTTTGAAAAGAAAGTAGGATTGTCAGATTATAAAAATGTTATCAATTACTAAATAAACTTTAATAATACACTCTTAAGACAAGTATAAAATGTAATATTAACTACTAGCATTATCTCTTTCCTTGTTTACAACAGCCTGAATGTGATTAGAGATGATTTCAAATGGATTTTTTTTAAATGATTTGTCATTTATAGCCCTTTTAAAGAAGTCGATGTTATTAAAATTCTTCTTCTTCCGCTGACTTGCTTTCTCAATGGCTTTTTTCTTCTTAGTTTTTTCAGAATCTTCAAATTTTACTTTTTTCTTATTCTCCATTAGAGACTCCAGAGAAGGCAATGCATCGTGTAAAGGGTTTGTGTCTCCTATAATGGATATTTTCTTTCGCTTTTCTTTAATCTTTTCTTCCTTCTTCAGCTGTTTAGCCGCATCTACTTTTTTCATTAATAAAGATTTCTTCAGTGTTAATTTGTCTTTCTTTTTTATCGGTTTGTTGTCGATTTGTTTACTTAATTTAAGAGATTTATATGTATTACTTTTCTTCTTTACTTCATCTTTTAATAAATCGGGTTTAAGATTACATTCTTTGATTGCATCTGCTTGAAAATTAATTTTAAATCGTTTTTTTAGTTTCTCTTTAACCTTCACAATTTTTCCTTTAGTTGCAGCCTACAAATTAATTATTAAAATCCAAATAGTTTAATAAAAATACGTCTACTGTTGAATTACTTACTTTGGAAACCGAAGCGGTCAATTGTTGTCCATTATTTTTAATTTTTATTTTTCCCATTATTTTAAATTGGGGTACAAAAATGGCAAGAATGTGATTATAACCATAAAAAATCTTCTTATTTAAAATAAATTTGCCTCTAACTGCTTATCTCATAAGCTACCTAGAGGATTTATCAAAACCATGGTCGTATATCATAAGGTCTGGTACCTAAACAATCTGTTGTATCTGGTGGATACAACGACCGGTAGGAGACGATGTAAGGGATATTTTTTGAATTCAAAATTTAGGTTGCTGAAGATTGAGCTACAACTTAGATAATCTAATTATCTAGTAATTGTTTACAGAGCTTATTTCTCAATTATTTTACATTTACCATAGAGGAAGAAAGAACTTTGCCGTATTTTGATTTTGTCTATGCGGGACAATGTCAAACTCAAGTTTCCAGACCTGATAAATATACGACCGTAATGAAAATAGAAGAATTTAGTTATGACAATTGACAGTGACATGACAACTGACAAAATACGTCAATTTTCAAGAAAATTCAACTCATCATCGTTTGTTAACAAAATTGGTTCTGTTTTGCTAAAGTTTAACCGGAAAACTTAAATCATGATGCAAACAGGAATACGTCCCTATTATCCTGACTATTCCACAGTTCCCGTTGAACGTCAGATTAATCCGTACGCTGATAATGGAGGGTAAATACGACGCTTATACTAGCTAATACTTAAATTCCATTTCATTCTGAATTTGGCAAAGGGTTTATTTCACATTACTGATTGTTGTTTTCAAATTTCAGGAGCGTAGTAGCAATTGCAGGAAAAGATTTCGTGGTTATTGGTGCCGATACGCGTCTCAGTTCCGGCTTTTCCATTTACACTAGAAACCAGAACAAGCTGTTTCCTCTTTCCGAGACAACCGTTTTAGGATGTTCGGGCTGTTGGTGCGATACTTTAACGTTGACTCGCATTTTAAAGTCTCGCATGCAAATGTACCATCAAGAGCACAACAAGAACATGTCCACAACGGCGGCTGCTCAAATGCTTTCCACCATGTTGTACTACAAGCGATTTTTCCCTTATTACATATCGAACATTCTCGTTGGATTGGATAATGAGGGAAAAGGTTGCGTGTACAGCTACGATCCTGTAGGACATTGCGAAAAAGCCACTTACAGAGCAGGCGGTTCTGCAGGGGCTTTGCTTCAACCCTTATTGGACAATCAAATCGGGCAGAAGAATCTACAGAAGCCTTCACAAGAAGATCTTACTCAGGAAAAAGCCCTTTCTACACTGAAAGATGTTTTCATATCCGCCGCAGAAAGGGATATTTACACTGGTGATAGTGTACTTATTAAAATCATAACAAAGGATGGAACTAAAGAGGAAACTTTTGATTTGAGGAGAGATTGAATTGATTAAAAAATTTTCATAAATATTTGATGTAACTTACCTTTCTATTATCCATTTAAAGTCTTGGGTTTCCTTAATGTGTTAATTTAATAAAGGTTTTTTTATAGAATATTTTTTCGTAAATTATCAAATTGAAATTAACGCTTTATGTCAAATAAAAGCTTTTGGTAAAGCTAAGTGAATAAGCTTTAAGCCTTATTTAATAAAATAAACATTCTCATTCATAGATCTAACTTTGAGTAAAATGCATTTGATAATTTTCAAGTCAATAACTTTATTTCATATAAAAATTGATGTGGTCTACGAGTTTTGTCAAAATGCGTGATTATAACTAAATAAAATGGTGTCATTTAATCTACAACAAGTTAAGGACAACATAAAAAATAAAACCACCAATTGTTTATTATATTATATAACTAATATTAGTTTACAGCAACTGCATTACACAAAGATTTTACTTCTAAGAAATGATTTAACATTTATATTACCCTACATATGGGTGTAAGATTGCAAGGATTCTGACAATAAATGCAAACTATTTGATTGGTAGGAAAACCACGTTTTATTTTTATAATTTACCAATTTGACATTAGCCCCCCCAGAGAAAACGCCTTACTTCTTCTTTCCTACGCTTACCGGGTTTCCTGGGGGGATTGTAATGGGCTTGCCGACATCTTTTCCTCTTAACTTGATGCCAATGACTCTTTCAATTTTGCCAATTATTACATTGTTGGGAATCCCTCTACCAGCTTCGTAGTCGGTAATTACTTGCGGTTTTTCGTTAATTTTTGTAGCGAGATCTTTCTGACTCAGTCCTTTCGATTGCCTGGCTTGTTGGATCAATTTGCCAACATCCAACGAAATAGTCTCATGTTTTAATTCTTCAGTTTCCCGATCCAATTTTGCGGTATTCTTAGTAGCCACGTGTTGTTTGTTACTGGAGGCTCCCCCTACGACAATAAATTACCATTAATAAATAAAGGCAACCCTAGGTACCAGTCTTACATTTTAACTGTGTGTCAACTTGCAGTCCTTGCCTGCGTGCAGCGTTCACAGCCTGTTCGCTTTTCATGGTGGAGGCTTTTGGGGCCCGTTTCTTTAAAACAGTCACTGTGTCCCAATCAGACATGGTTAATTTCTTTATAATCGTAATGGAAATAAACTGAATTTAATGTTACTGTATTGTATTACGTCTCGGCACTCAAAAGTTCCTTTCTTCTTCTTGTTGTTTTGCATAAAAAATTGACTAGCGCTTCTTATTATTAAACAGAAGAAGAAATGTTAACATTACCTGTACTGAAGTCTTATTATGTAAGAGTTTAGGAAAAAATATCCTTGCTTGTATTTTTTAAATGCTATTTTATTTCATTAATGTTCAGACTTTTACTTACGAGTTTAAAACAAAATTGAAAATTATTAATTTCTACTATTAATTAATCTACAGTTATTTGAGATCAAACAAATCAATAGTTAGGCAACACAAATAACATTGAATTTTGCCTATCATTGTATAGTTATCAAAAATAAATTTTCTTATTAAAAAAATTGTTTATTACCCTAAATTTAATAATTTATAACCGGAATCGATTTAAAGGAAAAAATAATAGAATTTACACACAAAAATAGAAAAAACGAAATGTTTATTTTGAATTTGCCTCGTTATTTTAAACGGAAACTAGAGTAGGCATATGTCAAAAATGTCAATTTGTCGCTAAGCTAGATTTCACTTGTCTTTTTGATAACGAAGTAAGCACGTTGTGGAACACGTAAGTTTTTTTACTAATTCTCTTTAAAATCGATTGGATTTTTATAGAAATTGCTCTTCCAACATGTTGTAATCATTAACCCTATCACACTATTCAATCTGGAATGTTATTTTAGTGATTATGACAGTATGAATTCAAACACGTCATTTTTGTTGTAGCATCCTCCACAATGCAAATTTTCGTAAAAACTCTCACCGGTAAAACTATTACCCTCGAGGTAGAACCATCAGACACCATCGAAAATGTCAAAGCAAAAATCCAGGATAAGGAAGGAATTCCCCCAGACCAGCAGCGATTGATCTTCGCCGGTAAACAACTGGAAGACGGCCGTACCCTTTCAGATTACAACATCCAAAAGGAGTCTACCCTCCACTTGGTGCTGCGTTTGAGAGGAGGAATCATCGAGCCCTCTCTGCGTCTGTTGGCCCAAAAGTACAATTGCGACAAGATGATTTGCCGCAAATGCTACGCCAGGTTACATCCGAGAGCCACCAATTGCAGGAAAACCAAGTGTGGACACACCAACAACTTGCGCCCCAAGAAGAAGCTGAAGTAGACGATAGTTTTAAGAAATTTGATGTATTTCAACACACAAATAATGTTACTTTCAAGATCGAGGAAATAATATGACATTTTCAATATGCTGTTTTATTAAAAATGTAGACTTATGCAAAACTTATGTTTAAAATGAGGCGCTGAATACCGGTCAATGGGTATTCAAATCAATGATCAAAAATACGAATGTTATTAAACATTTATTTACAAATCTATCGGCCAGTCGAGTTCTATGGCTGTAACATCTAAAGCTACAATATCTACAGGATAACCAGTTAATTTACACAAATTAGGATTTGTTCGATGGAAATCTCCGTTTACAAACTCTTTTATGTAGGTACCGGCATCGGATACTACATTCAAGTAGAACAAATCTGAATAATCTGCTACAGGTGAAGCGTTAATTTCGAAGATTTTCTTGTGCCTTCCAAGATGAGTTCTTCGATGCAGGACTCGAATGGGAGTGGATTGTTCGAGAGAAATGGGAGCCGGTAACGCGTTGATTTTATTTATTATTTCTTCAGTGTTTGGAGCTAGAGTCTTGCAGAGTGCTTGGTAGTGTTTGCGTTTCTCTTGCTCTCCGAATTTTATACTTTTCGTAGCATTCTGAGTGACTTGCTGCAATTTTGTAACTACAACGGTGTTCGACTGTGCAATACCCTCTTCGATTTTCCGGCATTGCTCTGGAGTTACTTTGTCGAATAGCGGTTCGTCTATTTGGATGTAAAATGGTCTTCCGTTGCCCAGCATTCTTACATCGGCATCTTCTCTTCCGCTGGAGGAGAATTTGAGGCGTTGTTTGTCGCAACCTAAGGTTTCTGCTACGCTGTTAAATATTACTTCTTGGACTGAACATTCTGTTATAGCTACGTTGTTTACAATGAAAGGTGTCTGTCCCATTTCTCGTGAAAATTTGAAGTATCTTCCTCCCAGGTAAACGATTGTTGAACTAAATGAAATGGTAACATTGGTTTCCTTCACTGGAATGGTAGGAGGTACAGAAAAACGCTTTTTGAATTCTTCATCGGAACAGAGAGAGTTTAAAAAATCATCGATTTTCTTTTTACTGCTGTTTTTATTAGAAGTGATTTTCGAAATGTCTTCCGTCTCCTTGCGTTCATCGTCGTAGTTTATAGTTACATCTAAATTTAGGTTCGAGTCATGCTTGAAAGGTATCTTCAATATTTCAGAGAATATTTGGCTCAAAAGTATTCTAAATACCTTTTTTATTTTCTCAATATCGTTGAAATCTTTGTAAACATCAGGAAATTTTTCTTTTAAATGCAGAAACATCGCGTAATCTCGAATTTGTATCGAAGCTGGGAAATTCAAAGTTATATAAAAGTCGTTGATTTTATACTTTTTGAATTCATCGTTGTTGAAAGAACTAATACTATCGGCATCAAGTATATTTAAGCAGGATCTGCACTGATTTTTCTTAACTTTCTTAGGCTCACTGCAATCTGCATCTTCTACGTTAAAAAGTTTGTTGAAAATACTTCCAGGATTCACAAACGTATCTGTTTCTAGCTCGTTTATTCTGTAACCTAAGTATCTTAAAATACACTTGTCGCACACGTCTAAGGTACTAATATATTTGAATATATTAAACTGTTCTTCTTTTGTAACCAACATCATAAAGGATTTAATAACAGTAAGTGTTCTAAATTTATGTTAGATTGTCTATGATCTAGTAGATCTAAACAAAATCGAAATATGGAAAACTTTGGTTATGTTTACAAGGAAATCTTCTTTCATTTTTAATTATTATCAAGACATTCTGGTCTTTACTTATCACATTTTCTAGCAATTTTAAAACCATTCAATAGTAAAAAGTTGTACGCCAAAGAATAAGTATAATATTTGTAATAATAGTAAATATAATAAGAAATAGTATAATAATAATAAATACTTTATTTTAAACTTTATTTTAAAAACAAACAAATAAAATTAATAGATCAGAAATTGCGATAAGAATAAAACTAAAGATCTTATCTTAATATTTTTCAATCATAGAAATAGTACTTAAAATCACAGTTGATTACATTACTTACATTTAGCATATCTCTCATAGATTTTAATATCATTGGTTTTGGGCATAAATCCTCCCTTTTTACCGATTTCAATATACTTTTTATACACCTCAATTGATTCAGTGGAAACTTTGGGAGGTGTTACTTGAAAACAAGAATCTGATGATAAATCTTTTACACATTGTTGTTTGTCAGAAATTGATTCGAAAAAGCTCTTATTAGCAATGTACGGAACTCTTCGTCCCATTTCGACATATCTGAAAAATTAAGCATGACAAATTAAACTTATTTTCCGATAATGACTAAAATAAATCAAATGATTTTCTTACACTTACTTTTTATAAACCTGAATATCCTTGTCGCTAGGACTCTTCAATTCCATTCCATAAACCTCTTTCATAGAAGGAAATAGTGCTTTAAAAGTAATAGGTTCAGGAGTGACGTCCTTTGAAGATACGGCAGGTGATTCGGTGTTATAGCTTTCTTCATCTTCCAGAGATATTTCGTTGTCAGAACTAGAACTAGAACCAAAATTTTAAAATAAGTAGAGCTTGAAAAATAAGCACTAACGCTCTAGAATCATTCAGAACTGTCTAGAATCAATCCAGATGCACTAAAAACTCTAAAATCATTTAGAATGCTCCAAAATCAATTAAAACTACCCAGAATCATTTGGAACTGTTTAGAACCATTTAGAACGCTCCAAAAACATTTGGAACTGTCTAGAACCATTTAGAACGCTCCAAAAACATTTAGAATTATCTGAAACCGTTTGGAACCCTCGAGAATCATTTAGAACTGTCTAGAACCATTTATAACAATCTATAATAGTAATATAGCTCTAATAATAAGAGTCTAAAAGATAAATCTAGAATCATTTATTTTATCTAAATTTACCTTGTACTCGACGCAGTCGAACTTAACGAACTTTGGCCAGTAACCGAAGGATTTTTCATGATATTCGATTTATTCTCTTCCCTCCTCCTCACGGGTCTTATTCTCAATGTAAACGGGCTATAATTGGTCGTGAAACTGGGCATGAAGTCTCTAATGGAATTGGATACTTGCAATGCAAACACATCACTCAACGAAGTCAATTCGTACGGTCTGTAGTACTCCACGTACGTATCTATCATTTCGGCATCTTGCGAGTGAATCTGTAAAAAAAATTCATGAATTTTCTAAAAACTTTAGCAAAAAATAAGAGAAAATGGATCTAAAACCTTATACAAAGATTTTAAAACCATAAAACCTTTTGCTTTAAAGCAACAGCAGGGTAATCGAAGCAAAACCTCTCTTCCTTCTCCTCTTTATACGCTTATACCTTAAGCAAAAGGTTGTGCTTCTTTTTCTAAATACAGCCTATTGAAGCGATTGCTTCATTTTTTAAAGCACAAGGTTATGATTCTGTTTATTAATAGGCTCTAATGAATCACCTGAATTAATTCCGTACAAGCTTTCGTCAGCTCATTGAAGGCGTAAGGCAGGCTCTTCAACACCCCCGAATCCCACCATTGCGTCAAAGCCTTCGGGCTAAAATGGATCGGTTTGTGATGAAAGTTATAATCGGTATTGTATTCCCATATTTGAGGTCTATCGTCCTCCGGCCGGAACAATCCCAGAAACAAATTGATGGCGTTCTGTTTTTCAGCATCGGAAAATGTATTGCTGTAATATCGACTCAGCGTTTGCATTATATCGTTGCCTTGAGACGTCCAGGGCGCCGTTTTTCTGTAGGTTTTTATGCGATGTACCAACTGGGAACCTCCGTATTGAAGAGCCAATATGTCACCGTGATCTTCGTATAAAGATTCCAACATTCGAACACAATCTGTATCGAATTCCAGATTGGGAGTATCCAGAATGCCCAATGCGCACAGTTGGTACCCTTCGAACATCAATCAATTAACACCCTGTATAAATTTTAAATTCAACGAGAATTAATTTTGTACCTAAAACGCATTTTCCTATAGCAAATTGCGCTGTGTTAGTTCTATCTAAGCAATCTACGCAGTTCGTTCGGATAATGCCGGTTTGCAAGCTTCCCCATTCGTTTTTATTTTGTCCAACGACCGTACTCTCTCTTTGGCTGTAAAACTTGGGCATATTTTGGAAAATTCCGACCTTCATTACAGCATGTCGGGCGATTTCGGCCAAATGGTCCATCACATTGACGGCGTGATTTTTGTTTTTCCGCGCCATATCGAAAGTTTTGTAAATAATCTGGTGTTCCTGCGGGAGGAATTGATTCAAGTATTTAACGGCCGTGCTCAGCTCGTCGCTGAGCAATTTTTCTTGTTTCTTTCTTTCGCGTTGTTTGACTAGATTGAGGATGATGATCGGGGCTCCGTAGCGTTTTAATAGTTGATTAAAGTGGGCGCCGGCGGTTTCGGCGAACGGGTCGTAGAAATCGATGTTTATTGCCGGCTTCGCCACCATCTTGCCCATTTCTTGCTTCCAATGGCCTTCAAAATGGACTCGATTATAGCAATTTCTAACAGTTTATATAGTCGGTGCAAAAGTAAATCGTAGATAACGTGCATTGATATTCGTTTTGCACCGACTATATCGTAATTTTACCTGGTATAGAGCCTCTCATTTGCACGAAGGAAGTAAAATGGCTTTTATTAAAAAATAACGTGCTCGTATCGTGGACGATTTGTTCCGTTTCCACTTCATTCGCGACATCGCCTTGGAAATTAGCACCTCTTTTCAAAAATCTAGTGCCTGCGTATCTGCAGGATCTTCGAGCGATTAACGTAATAAATATAGAGCGACCGAAGACTTTTATATTGGACTGTCCGATAAAACCGTGGATTATATGCAAGATCCAATCCGGATGTAATTCAGTTTTGACTGTATCGCTAAAAGCATCTCTAAATTAACCACGAATAAGCTTTCAAAGAATTCTCGTACCTCAATAAATGAAGATTCCATAGGAATTTTTTGTGTGGCTGCGTTCGAATCCCATAATTTTGTATCCCTACATTCTCAGAATTAGACGAGTTTGAGATTATTGATGATGAAAGATCGGTAAACTCCAAATCTATATCTATATCTTCTTCTTCACTGTCATTATTGCTTGTATCGAATCTTTTCGGGCTGGTTAAATTGTACTGAAGCGTGCGGGTGAGATTGTAACTGTAGCTACAATTTTTAAACATTAATCCAGCAATTTTTCCTATTTTTGGAGGAATTTACCTGTAATAAAAGTTACTAGCCAGATCTATATTTTGAAACATCTTCACGTATCTTGCTTCATCAGAATTAACTATTCGAACAGTCTCATGCGGAATGTATATCATAGATGTATCTTCTATTTTGTAAATAGTGTGATGTCCAATAAGCGATACTTTTCTTCGTTTTGTTATTAAAATGATGTAGTATCCTTCCAGGAATTTTATGAAACCTGAAACGTGGTTTCTATTTAGTATTATAGGGAAAAACACACATTAATAGTTAAATAACAGGGTGTTTCATACATGTCATTTGGAACACCTTGTATAGTTACGTTATAGTTATTAATAGTTAGTATTTACCTACAATTCCAAAGGCAGATATTTTTTTTGAAAAACCTCCTCCAGCCCTTTTATTTCCAGATTCTATCATACAGATTAAATTGTGAATTTCTTCTGCTGTGTACTCAACTTTGTCATCATATATTTCTAATTCTTTGGCTTCCGTTCGGTCTATCTTTAACACTCGAAATCTTGTTTGTGTGTTATTGGAACCCACTAAATAGAATTTCTGAAAAGATGTGCGATTACGAATAAGCGATTCATTTTCAATTGAATGTTGAATACTTTACCGCTTTAGTTTCATAAAGGGCTATTCTTTGAATGGAGTTTATAATGGGGTGAAAAATTGCATCTTTGCTAAACATGTTCTCTTAAATTAACACAATGTTTATTAAGAGTAAAATTAAGCTTTAATATTATAATGGATAATGAGATAAATGTCGTCTTTCTATTCAGTTTTTATTTTATATTTATTATAAAAAAATTCTTATAACCTTAAAAATTTGACATTGACATTACCTCTTCTTTTTTGTTGTACTTTGACATATTGAGAAAGGCATATTTCCTGTCGTTATACTTAAGAAGTAAGAGTCCATGAATTGTAGAAATCTGGGTAAAGTACAGCAAAAAAATATTCATCATGTTTCATCATCAAATATTCAATATGTTTCTTTTCGGACCTACGACTACCCGGATGATTGATTATTTTATTTGCTTTAGGTGTATTAATCACTCTAAATATAAATAAAACGCATTATACTATATTTTTATTCTATTTACTGTAAATCAGTACATAAATAATCGTATTTTTTCCTACTACAAAAACTAATTCAGATCCATCCTGTACGCACCTTTCCCGTCAATTTCGATCTCGCCGATAATGGTTTAGATGTGTCTTTATTATCTACTGATAAATGCGAGTCCAGTTGCTCGTTATCCCGTTTATTTTTATCATCCGTCAGTTGCGGTTCAGGAATTTGCGACTTTTCTTCTATCATTTTGGTCTGTTTGGTTTCGCTACATGATGGTGTAGTGTCTGATTTCGGTTTTTTGTCTTCAACTTTTTTTTCTGTCGATATCTCAGGTGGTGTTTCTGATGTGAGTGATTTAATTTGCTCTGGTGGCTTCTCCACGGCTTTGGCCGATGGGACCTCTACATCTACTTTTACACCTACCGATGAGGCTGAAGTTGTAGGAGCTGGACACAGAGTGAGTTTATTTGAACTAGATTTTTTCGAATTTAATAGAATACTTACCAGGATCCTTATTTAACTCAGGCAAAGGAGAGAGCTTTCCTTCTATTTTATCCTAAAAAAATTAAAAGCGTTCGATGTTAATTAATTTTAGTACGATAAAAGCCTTTTCTAAACAAATACTTAGATGAAATATTATTAGAGAGTTAGATATTTACTTGCTCCTTTATATTTCTATCAACGCTACGCTTTCTATCTTGCTTTTCGGGAGCTACGGCCTCCGATATTTCGCTTGAATTAATTTGAGCGGCTCCTTTAGGAATGCAATGAAAATAAATGCATTAAAATGTTATTACAATTTTCTGCTAAAATCTCCAATGCTAAAAATATAGTTTGTAAACATGGATTTTAAAATTATGAAAGAGTTTCAAAATAAAATCAGTTTAGTAAATAGGTGTTGGGTGAATGATTTATTGCGTCGAAGAAACGTGGATTTGTTCTTCTAGGTAATAGTAGAGAAATATGATTTTTTGATATCCCACATTTTTAAATCGTTAATTGAGAATTTCATTTTTTTATTCAAACATGAGTGTGTTTTGAGATGAGTTGAATAATATATTATACCGAAAGTAACCGACTGCTTTCTCTTGGTATCAGCGGCTTGAGATTTAGAAGGTGCATCCTCACTGACAGGTATCTTCTCTGTTTCCGAATGGTACTCTGTTTGGATCTTTTTCGTCATGAATTTAGCATAAGCCACTCTTGCTCTCTTAGGAATTTCCGTCAGCTTAGGGTTGTATTCTAAAAACCACATAAATCAGCATAGTTTTCCGAAAGGTGCTCAATGCAATCGCAACCTACCAATCAATTTTTCATCGTCCAATTCGGGATTGGAAATAATGTGCTTTCTTAAGCTCTGTCGCTTGACTCGAGCGCTTTCCAATTCCTGCGCCGAACCGATAGGATCGCTTACGGCGTTCTTCTTTACCAGCGAGTTCCAATCCTTCTTCTTCGTCGATTTGAACGTTGCTCTACGCCCTATAACTTTGGCAATGTGACCGAAAACGTTTGTAGTTTCTAGCGGATTCATTTTCATCTCTTGGACGATTCCTTCTACTATCCCTATGTGGAAATCCTTCATCAGTCTTCTCTCCATTACCTTTCCCTTCTTACCAGAGACTGAAATTAATAATTATTAGACAGGTTTTGGTTTAGATTGGGTTGATACCTTGACAATCATCGACGTTAATACTAGGAGTTTTCATGCCGTTCTTTCTTAATATATCAATGAGTTCGTATCTTAAACTAGAGATATCTTGCCTAATTTCCATCACATCATCTTCAGTAATACCGTAATCATCCCTTTTTCTTTGTTCTGCGGTTACGTATCTTCTTACCAACAATTTCATCACAACTTCGTGACGTTCTCGTGCCTGTTCTTTAGATTTTTCCTGCAATTGTAGAAATAATTTAAATGATTCAGTAATTGGATTTGATTACCTTAAAACTCTGAGAACTTCGTTCGCCCTTCTTTAGACCCAGCTGTTTTAAAATAAAATTCGGAGTCGGCATTATGTTGAATGGAGGAGGGACTGTGTCACCGTCTTCGAAATAATTTACCCAAAGTCGACTTCGTGCAAATTTCCATTCGGTGTCAGATCGTTCCTGAAAAGTTCAATTTTGAAAACAATAAATACTGCTCTTGATTTTTGAAGCGTTAACTATATTCTACGATAAATGAGCTTTGTCTTAGGTAATTTGAAGCGTTACATACAATACAAATCTCATCGATTGCACGCAATAGGTTTCATTTGTATTAACTTGGTAACCTAATTTTTATAAAACCAATTAAAAGTACGACTTGTTTTATAACATTATTACTTACGGAAATAATTTGATAAGAATTCGACATCATGGCAATTAGCATATTTAGTAAAACGATAATATTAATTACGGAATATGAACCGAACATCAGCAGCGCCCAAAATCTAGTGAAACCTTTTATTCCCGTTAATTCGAAGCACATCAAGTCCACTAGTCCAAAACTCGCCCAAAATAATGATTGGGATGTTTCGAATAGACTGCAAAAATCGTTTTAAAATAGATAAAATATAATTTGAAAAACTTTTTACTTAGCATATCGCCTCCAAATTGTACAAGCCTTGTCATTATTATCAAAATCAGGAAGACCACTGGGTAAATGATAACATTTGTTTTTTTCTAACTCCGCGTAATACCATAGTAATTGATTCAGTCCTAAAAATTCAACGTGTACTTACAGATTGTCAGTACATATGCAATGATTTTCTCTCATTTCTTTAATATCCTTACCACATCCAAAGGCGAACAGTACCAGCGTGTATATAAAGAAAAATTTAACGATATCTATTATCATTCTTCCTAAAGATATTTGAAGGGGTCCTAAGTGGGGATTGACACTGAAGATGTGGACCAATTTTAAAAAACTAAAACAAACAATATTAACAAAAAATAATCAATTAGAGAGATTTTGGAGGGGCTAACAGGAGGATATTAACAAAAGGAGCATATTTTGAAGAAGACTTAGGAAAAATTAAAAAAGATTAGAATTTTGCTCTTTATTCCAATTTTCCGGGTATTTGTCACTGTGTATCTCTTTAGGTATATTTTTTAAATCTATACAATTGAGCTCAAAAATTTTACATCCGAATATGGCTACTTAAATCAATGTATTTAATCAAGATGAATAGAAATGTGATACTATTTTTCAATTGGATCAATAAAAAGTAATTGTTTTTATAGAGACAGAAGAAACACACCCCGGCCTGAGTTAATTATTTTTCCGGTCCCGTCCGGACATTAGCGATATGATCACCATCATTTAATGAATTAGTATTGCAGTTTCGTGCCTTCTTTTCAACTACACGCTTAGTTAATTTGGGATTCGTTTCAATGTGTGTGTTTAAATTGGAAAATTATATTTGAGGTAAATATTTGTTTAATGTTTTATTTTATCATAATGAAATAATTTTCCACATGTCCGGTTTGCGGTAATGTTAAAAAAAATAATATAATTACAATATAATAATATCGTACGAATAATTTAGAATTTAGAATAATAAAGAATTAATTTTACCTGAAGATCATTCCTGCAGCGAAAGCACCTTCAGAGAGCAGCATTGGTTCAAAAGAATCCCATTCTTCTCTGGGATACCAAGTTGTTTTGCCGGCTCTTTCGTCTCTCTAAAAGTACCAATAAAAAATTGCATAAACAAAAGGAATTTATGGTTATGACCTATCTAATACTTTTGATTTTAATTGATAGGTACTATTAATATTTAGAAAAGTAGTACCCACAATTAATTAATTTAGGGATCTTTAGATATTATAGATGTTTATTTACCCAAGTAATGTAAAATGAAGTCAATCGTAAAGATAACCATATAACGTAAAAAATATTGGTTATAAAATCAACCACGTTCCACAAATCAGAAATGTATTCTTCGAGACCGTCACACCACAAAGATCGCAGTTCTGCCCATATCAGACCTTAAAAATTATTCTGAAAATACTTTCAAAAATACTTTAATTTAGTATGCTACTTACTAATTACATAAAGTATAACACCGCACTCGGCTATTCCAAATAATGCTCCTCTTTCTTTTCGTTTCCATTCTCTGATCATATCCTGCACCCAGTCGATTCCTATTAATTCCAGGAATAAAATTTCGACTCTTTGCGACGCCGCCCCTAGTAAAGCTAACAAATACAAGTAGTTTGGAAATTGCCAATACATTTATTATATCTTATAACTCACTTAGAAAGAACGCATAGGAAGCGGAGTGGCAGATAAATTTTACGAAGGGCTTATTCAAAAATACACCCATTTTAGATGTGGGTGACATCATGTACATCATGCAGTAAAGAGGAAACATCATTCCGATTTTAGCGACTTGAATTCCTTGTCCGATCATATTTTTCCTTCTAAATCCTGGTAAACCTTCATACCAAATAGATGCCAAAAGCTGTTGAACGTTCGGATGCGCGATAAACTAAAACATTTATTGCCTGCAGTTAAAAAGTTTGTGTTAATATGCTACGGTTATTAAAACATTTTACGACCATATTATTACATTCGCAGCACCAGCTTGTAAAAAGATATGTGTAATTAAATCTTTTTACCGCTTTTTGCTTGTATTTTATTGCCAGTTTGAGTCTTTCAAGTGTTTGCCTTTCGCCGGTTACCCAGGTGTCCCCATCAGGATCATAATTTAGCATGATTTCCAATTCATATGAATTTCTGGCATGATCCAAAAGACTGGTTGCGAATTGTTGAACTTGATTTCTCATTTCCTAAAAAATGTTGAAGGTAAAAAATTTAAAACTCATCTTTACTTGACTAACTATATAATCTTGTTTAAATTCCGTTTCCATTCTGCTTAGTCGTCTGAGATCCCAGGAGAGTTCAAAAGCGGTTAATAGTGGATCGTTCGAAGAAAGTGATATTAAAGAGGGCGAAGATAATGCCCTATAAGCGTTTATTCTGGATTGTGAGTGACGAAGGGAATCGGCTTTACTAGAGAAAACACATTCATCGCAACCGCATCTAAAATTAGAATAATTTATATGAAAATATATGCCAATTTGCTATCGGTTGTTTAAAGTTATTGTATTGTATAATTACCTCACATCGTGCGGCATAGGCAGAGTAGCACCTCTGTCTAAAAGTAGCTTAATTATTTCGTAGTTATTTTTGTGAGCTGCTAAAATTAGGGGTGTTATATCTGATGTAAATGTTGACGTTGAACGATCAGTTCTCTCCCAACTCTAACAAAAAATGCTAATTTATATTCATTCGCAACTATGTTATCGGAAATATTCTTACATATTTTTCACCTGCAACATGATGTTGTTCTTCCCAATTTAGTAAAATTTCTACTGCTTCGACGTATTCTTCTTTAATTGCGTGCAACAGACCATCCTAAAGAAATATGTTTTAAAAAAACGATATTGTGAGAGTTAATAAATATACTTACTTTAACTCTAATATTTTCATTTAGAAGAAGTTTGATTAGCTCGATATTTTCGTTTTCAATAGCCGATATCAAAGCAGAGCGATTTAAAGGATCTACACAATTTATATCGAATTCAACAGGATTGTCTTTGTAATCATCTATGATCCTAAAAATACAATACATATTCAAATTGCGTTCTAATAATATTAATAATCAATGAAGCTTCTTTAGTTATTTTTGATGTGCTTACTTTTTGACCGTAGCGCAGTCTCCTCGTTCCGCGTGAAGAAGAAAGGTCTTTTCAACTTGCGATAAAGGCCTATCAACGAGTTCATTCATGATGGGCTGTGTAGTAAGATCATCATCACTTTTACTAATCAGTTTTTCAAGTGAACCCATTTCCTTCATTTTGATAGCGTTTTCTACTTTAAAATCACCTCTAATTAAATATTGACGTTATCATCCTAAAACTAACTGAAACACTGATACAACATGAAATAAAACGAGGCGAATAAAAATTACAAAACCTGTTAAGTGCGATCAGAATCTATCATAAGGCTTAATCGAATTAAAAGTACATAATCTAGAGGAATGGTGTCAATAACAGGAATTATAGAATGTGCAGTCGGTATTTTTCAAGGACGGGATAAAGCAGAGTTAATTATTTACCTTAATAAAACATTTAATGATTTATAGAGCTACATAGTTTGGCAAAAAGTAACAGATTATTAGCAATTTCTAATGTAAATATTTTAAGATTAATTTACCAGTAAACGAAGCAGGAATTTAATTTAAATGTGGAGTAAGTTATTAAGCACACTGTCGATATCGAAAACTGGGGTAATAAGGTATTATATAAAAATGTTCTTTTCTCCATGGATTTTCAAGGCTAGACCTCTTATAATCCAATAATTTAATAAGGCCTATTATGTCTAATGGAATTAAATCTGGGCGGTTTGGAGTTTCATATGATTTTTCATCTTTCATATTCGCAAGCACAACGTTGCTTTCTTGACAATAACATTTTCTTTTCGAGCTCTCCCAAAATGGATAAAGACGTAATATTCTTCATAAATACTTTATTAATACATAAATAGAATTATTTATATTATTCAAAAAAAGTAAGTTATTTTTTTAATAATTTTAATAATTACAGGTGGACGTGGAATCCAAAATAACCCGGAAGGCATTGATAATGCCTAAATTGCCCAATAATTTGACGTTGGAAGAAAAAAAATACCTACTAGCTGTAGAAAGAGGAGATATGCCTAATGTTAGAAGGTAACATTTTGCATTATGTATCTGAAAAAAATTACAGTGCTTTCAATTTTTCCAGGATGCTACAAAAAGCTCACAAGCATAAGTCCAAGATCAACATTAACTGCATGGATAGTCTGGGCAGGGGAGCTTTAACAATAGCCATTGATCAAGAAAATTTAGAAATGGTCGAATTACTAATTGTAATGGGAGTTGAAACTAGAGATTCTCTTTTGCACGCCATCAATGTTGAATTTGTCGAAGCAGTTGAACTACTGTTGGAGCATGAGGAACTTATTCACAAAGAAGGCGAACCTTACGTGAGTCTCTATTAATAATATTTACAAGAAATTGGTAGCAGAACATCATTGAAGGAGGTCAGATTTTACCGATATTTTAATATAAATATTTTTAGAGCTGGCAAAAAGTTGATATCAACATGGCTATGTTCACTCCTGACATAACGCCCTTAATTTTAGCTGCTCACAGAAATAATTACGAGATTTTAAAGATACTTTTAGATAGAGGAGCTACTGTACCCATGCCCCATGACATAAAGTAAGATTTTTAGATTTACTGCTCAATTAGAACGTTAATTCTTATCGCTTTTTTAGATGCGGCTGCGAAGAATGCATAAGACAATCTGAAGAAGATTCTCTGCGACATTCGTTATCTCGATTAAACGAATACAAAGCTCTGGCGAGCCCTTCTCTTATTGCTTTATCGTCCAGCGATCCCCTTTTGACGGCTTTCCAGCTCTCGTGGGAATTGCGAAATCTGGCGTTATCCGAACCGGTAAGTTAATTTGCTTAAGGTTACAATTTATTATAGAATAATCTGATTGTTTTAAAAATGTATCTACCAATTATTTAATAACTTAACCAACATTAAATATGATTCAGGAGTGTAAATCCGAATACATGGAATTGCGACAGCAGTGTCAACAGTTTGCTGTTGATTTGCTACATCAATCTAGAAATTCTCAAGAACTGGCTATAATCTTAAACCACGATCCCGATAATCCACCCTATCAAGAAGGAGAGCACATGAAATTGGCTCGATTAGAATTAGCCATACAATATAAACAGAAGAAGGTATCAAAACAAGAATATTCGTAAAATATTAACATAAATTGTTATCTTATTTCAGTTTGTTTCTCATCCTAATATTCAGCAATTATTGGCTGCAATTTGGTACGAAGGTGTTCCGGGATTTCGAAGAATGTCTTCGAAAGATAAACTTTTGATTATCGTAAGGACGGCCTTGTTATTTCCTTTTTACTGCTTGCTTTATTACATTGCTCCAGATACTAAAACCGGCAAACTGATGAGAAAGCCGTTCATGAAATTTTTGATACACGCTTCTTCTTACCTGTTTTTTCTTTGTAAGTATTTGTAAGTTTCAATTTGATTAAGAAACAAATGTGAAATTATTTTAGTACTGCTGATTCTGGTCTCATTAAGAGCTGATGATATAGTATTAGAATATTTTGGGTCCGATTCGATGAAAGCTTATGTTATTGAAAAATACGAAAAACAACGTGGTAATCCTCCTACAATTTTAGAATATGCTGTGCTTCTCTACGTTATAGGTAAGTTATTTCTACCAAGAAAAACTTAAACGATAAACAAATTTTGTTACTTGCAGGATTTATTTTGGAAGAAACGCAGGAAATATTCGTTGAAGGAATCAATTCATATCTACGTAATTTATGGAACTTTATTGATTTTACTCGAAATGTTCTTTACACAGGCGTGTTTCTACTTCGCGTTGTTTCTTATTTTCAACAAGCAAAGGAAATCCGAAATGATCCTTCTACATCTTACATACGGAGAGAAGATTGGAATGCCTTCGATCCTCAATTGATTGCTGAGGGTTTATTTGCAGCAGCAAATATTTTCAGGTAACAGAACTATAATATTTATAAATTCAAAAACACTGATACACATCATTTTAGCGCTTTAAAATTGGTTCATCTATTTTCAATAAATCCACATTTGGGACCTCTACAAGTATCTTTGGGTCGAATGGTCATTGACATTGTTAAATTTTTCTTCATCTACTCATTAGTACTATTTGCATTTGCTTGTGGTAAGTGGCTTGCTGAGATCCACTTTTAATTATCCTCGCTATATTGTTATGGTTATTTAAGGCCTCAATCAACTGTTGTGGTACTTCTCTGACTTGGAGAAAAAGAAATGCTATCATTTTCCCAATGGTAACCCCGATTTTGATGGCGAAGCAGAAGCTTGTATGAAATGGAGACGTTTTGCAAAGTAAGAAGAAAATAATATTATAAACCGAGTGGATGAAATATCGTTTAAATGTTTCAGTGTTTTCGAATCATCGCAATCTCTATTTTGGGCGAGTTTCGGTATGGTAGATCTTGCAAGTTTTGAGCTTACTGGAATCAAGACTTACACAAGATTTTGGGGCCTCTTAATGTTCGGGTCATACAGTGTGATCAACGTCATAGTATTATTAAACCTTCTTATAGCTATGATGTCCAATTCGTACGCCATGATCGATGTAATTAATTTTATTTATACAAAAAAAAGTAAATACGACTGTACATTACTGGTTCTTGTAGGAGCATTCTGACACAGAATGGAAATTTGCCAGAACCAAACTTTGGATGAGTTACTTCGAAGAAACTGGTACTCTTCCTCCTCCTTTCAACATTTTTCCGAAACCGAAGATATTGCTTAAAATACTAGGTATAAGGAAGAAGGATAAAATGAGAAGAATGTCCACTAAAGTAAGAATTTAATATGACATCTATCGTACGATACTTACCAATTTTACTCTTCATTATTTAGAGGCGAAACCGAGAAGAAAAAGAAAGAGACTACAAGTATACAGCTGTTATGAGGGCTTTAGTTTGGAGGTATGTATCGGCAATGCATCGAAAATGTGACGAAGAATTGGTTACTGAAGATGATGTAAACGAATTAAAGAGCGATATATCTTCATTTCGTTATGAACTCCTTGAAGTCTTAGGTAAAAATGGCATGGATGTTTCATCGGCGGCCAGAAAAGATAAAGGTAAAAAATTAACAATTGCTACACAGGTACCAAATCAATATTTATTTGTACTTTATTCAGCTATTTTGGGAAAGAAAATGAAGATGTGGGAAAGAAGGCTTATGAAAGATTTTAAAGTTGCTCCAATTTCTCAAGAGGAAAATGAAGAACTTTTTGCACCTCCACCTGAAAACGAAAATTCACTAGCAAGGTGCGGTATTATATTATCAATTTAGGAAATATTATGTTCAACGACCAACTTTGCGATAATGTTTTTTAGGTTCAGAAGAGTAGCTAAACTAGCGGTACTCGATTCGAACACAGTTAAATGGAGACAAGTCGTCAAAAGCGCCCAAGTAGCGTAAGATTTGCGATACTTACTATAGTTATAATTTCCGCGTAATTTTTTCAACCGTTTCAGATCTCAAATTGGCCGATGTCATAGGAAAGATTCATTCACTAAACAACAAAATTTACAACGGGCTATCGAAGAAGCCAAACGCTTAGCCTCTTCTAGAAGTCCGGATATTTCTAGAGCTACAACTCCACTAACACCGATCATGTTACCGGATATGAGTGGTTCAGAAATCGTCAAGGTTATTACCGGAAAAAGTGGTAATATTAAAGTACCATACTTTGTAATTATAACATATTAATAGATTCTTTTGCAGGAAAAGAAAAAACTGTTTATGCATTAAGCCCAAATATTACGATAAAAAACCATACTGATAAGTCGCAGATTCAAAGATCTCAAATTGCAACAAGCGAAATCTCATTGCAAAACATCAAACGAGAAACGGCTGGCTCTCCAATTCCTTTGGCTCTTTCGAGAAATGAACAAGATTTGATAGAACTCGATAGTACTAAAAATTCTCCATTACCAAATCTTAAAACAACGTCCAGTCCTTCAATTACAGGCGAATACGATTATGCTGTACCTATATCATCACCTCCAAGTATATCATCACCGCCATGTATATTATCACCTCCAATCATAATATCATCTCCTTCAGACGAGAAATGTACAAGTCCTGATAAGTTTTCATTCAAATCAGAAGACTCCATAGATTCATTTGTTGATCCAAATAAAAAAAGTGAATTGGATGATATATTAGGCGATGACTGGGTTTTATCTAGTGATGATAGATCATTCGATGATATTATACCGAGACCTTCGAGTCCAATTCCTATTCAATTATTATCCGAACCAGATAATTCCAGTTTGTTGGAGCAAATACATTCGAAACAAAAATCTCCAGTTCCCCCTAGTCCTAAGAGAAAATCACCAGAGCCAGTCAAAACCAGCCCAAAGAAAATAATACCTGATGTTAATCCTAACACATCTTCCCAATCAGTCGTGGATATGAAAAGTGACCAGTCCGAGCAAGGAAGCATAGAAAAAATTACCGTTACTAATGAAGCAATTGAAACTAAAACTCTTGTACAAGATAACGTGTTGTTCACAGAACAAGCTGTACCAAAAACTACAATACGTTCTAGACTAACTCCCGAAGAACATGATGTGCCAACCCAATGCAGCATTTCACTTTCAGATGTAAGTAAAATTATTTTCATTTCTTAAATTTAGGTATATGAATATTTGTAGCATATAGAGTAATTCGTTGCTATTCAAACATTTTAGATACAAAAACCAACAACTCCTCAACCAAAATCTCCTGCAACTACACCTTTGGCTCAGAGAAACATACAAAGAATTTACGACAAAAACTCTCAACCTAGGTATGGATGGTTGTGAACGAAGAGTTTCAAAAATATCGCATTAAATAGAAGAATAGATCGTTTTTAAGGATTTGGAAGAAATGTTATTTGGATATTAATACGTAATATCGTGATATTACGTTGTATTTTAAGTTTCATGCTATGCAATTATTTATTTGTAAAGTCTAGATATTCTAAGGAATTTAAATTATTATACATATTATTCACATCATAACATTGGTGTAACCTTAGTTATTTGTTTTATTAAATTAAAAGATACTTAAATTCAAATAAGAACAATTAATTTATTGCAGAACTGACGATGAATACGGGTCAAGGAATATCAAAATAAAAGTGGGAAATGTAGCCCAATGAGGATATACTATACATATGTTATGTACATATTCTTCGACTGGACGGATCTTCGCAATTCACCAAAGCATTTTGTTTTACAGCTATACCTACTCAAAAAACGTTCAATAAAACAATTAGATAGTGAAAAAAAATATAAATATTTATACGAAATGCATAATTTTACCGACAAGTCGGCGTAAACAAACATGAAAATATTGTTTGGTCCAACGTTTTTCTGGAACGAACTTTAATGTGTTTATTTCTAGTGTTCCACAAATGAAGTTGGAAATGTTTTCCACGATCTAGTTAGAAGCAACATGTGATTCGTCTATTTTTCTGTTTGGTTTGGGCGTGTAAAATTAATACGGAATTCCGTTGAAATGTCAGTGTTTTTAAGAATCCAACAGCTCCGAAAATCCACCTGAGTGGTGACGTATTAAAAACAAAACGCATTCGTATAGTAGCTGTGTTGCCCATTTTTTTTACGTTTGAACCTGCTTTAAGGTCAAATTTTCCAGAAAATTTAAAATGACGGTGGTTTTGGAAAATATTAAGCCTTCAAGCATGAGTCTTGTAATTCCAATAGTGCAATGATCAAGTTCATGACTTCATCAGGAATGTCTAAATTTACATAAGCTGGAAGTAAGTGCGTATCTTATAAACAAAAACAAATAAAACTCCTCGCAGTTTCGTCATATTTTTTTCTGCAAAATCGCCGTTTTCGTGTGAACAGAGGCAACGTCGTCGGCTTGTGCTGAAAAAGCAGTAGCTGATATTTAAAAGAAAATAAAAACGCTGAAACACGCGGCAAGTCAATATAACGCAAAACTTCGTTCCAGTGTTTAAATTTAGATAAAATTCTCATCTGCGATCTTTATCGACACAATTTGAAAATTTTCACAGTTCGAAGCAACGCGGCCCATCAGGAAAATTTAACGTTCATTTGTGTGCTGTGACGTTGTTATAATATTAATTAGTTTGGTAATACTTTTGTGGAAAAATTTAAAATGCCTTCGTTGTCGTCGCCGACGCAGTGTAAGTATTTTACTCTTAAATCTTAAAAGTAATTAATTGCCTCATTTGCTGGAAAGTTATTTTAGTACGCTACCTTTTTTTGTATTTGAAAACAAAGTGTAATTCCAGCGAATAAAAGAACTTAGAGGCAGATTATTAGAAAATACGAAAATAAACTCGAGCTTTAATGCAAACCAATTTAATGCGTACATATTTGAAACCCGTGCTACTAATTTAGAACATAATAAATTTTTGGCTGTGAAGGAAAAAGTCGCATCCACAATAACTCTTAAAGCAAAATAACAAACAACCTTTTGAGACGATTGAGGTGATAGTGGTTTATTGTTTATTAATTTTGATCCTGACTCATGAAAAAATCAAAATAGAAATATCGCAGCAGCTGTTGCTTGAATTACAAATTAGTTTCTGCAGTAAATTTGGTCAGTAAAATTAGAAATAAATATTGTACGGTTTATAGAGCAACATTGCATTTAGATTAAATAATTGTAATTTAATGTTGTAAATTTTATATTAACTTCCATAATTAAATAATTATGGAAGTAATTCTCTAAAAATCGATTGAAACTGAGAGGATAAGAGTTTTGTTGTATTTCATTTTAAACAAAGTAGGTACCCAAATAATTTTTGAAAGCGTGTGTGATTAATTTTTGTTTCAATTATAGTTTGTACCTATTACGAAAGTTTTTGAAAAATTCAGTGACACCACAAATCCTGAATTTCATAAAACATTTAATCTTTGAGTTACGGCTGTTTATCATACATAAACAATATTGCTGTAAAATAAACACCAGCACTAGCTGCTAAACTATTGCAACATTTGTTATTTTAAGCAAGGTAAAATGTGTAGTATAAAATACATTTTTTGTAAAAAAATCCTATTGTTATACCGCGGTAGTATCGGAATGTCACAAACATGATGAAAAATCCTAAGTTAAAATTAATTATTGGTCAACGTTCTTTCTCACCCGGACTTTGACCTGACTCACTGAAAAATTTAGGTGAGGATTGTCGGAAAATCACATCTGGCTTGCTGGTTTTTCCTGCCAGTCAGTGAAACGGCGCATCGAATCGAAATATTTAGTGAGTAAAATAAGCAAATAAGCAACGCAGAAATAATTCGCAAGTCATATTAACCTAAATTATTTTTTGGCAATGCGACGATCCTTTCGCACAATTAAGAAGTTGCTCCATACCTACCTACAATTCGCTCTATCTTTGTCGCATTAATTAGATTTTAATTAGCTTATTTTAACTAGTTACCTAAAATAGGCTCTAATTTTAATTTTAGCTATGGATATTGTTTACCCGGAACCCATGTCGAGGCTCAACAGACGAGTAATTCCAAAAAAGCGGAGAGGTGGTTCACTAAGATATCGAACACAGCCAATTACATTTTCGGAAATACAGGTAATAATTTTTTAGATGCATTGTAAAGTAATTAAATTTCATGTTTTCTACAATTCACCGCAAAGTTTTTACAAAACAACTCAATTATTGGCGATTCCTTTTAGGAAGTGGACGAAGAAAACGTTGCAGACGAAACCATACCCGAATCGACAACGTCAAAATCCGAACTTAGCCTGTTAATGAACCAAAAGTTCGAAGAATTCAAACGATCCAGGGACAATGATTTCAGTGTTAGTGACTTCAACGAAGAAATTATAGTAAATAATTCGAAAGCCAATACGCCTTTAGCGTCGTGTAGGTCAATAGGTCGATTGCCATCGCGGCCCTCGTTTTAAATATTCGCAAGGGAATTCGTTTTAGTGTTTTTTTACGAAGTGATAACAATTTATGAATATGTAGATTTTACGGTATTTCAATTATTATTATTTCCTTGGAAATTATGTACGTTGTATCGAAACGAATAATATTTCTGATCAAACCATTCGTTAAATCTCTTTTTTAACTTAATATTCAAATGATTGTACAAGAAAATCGTGTACAATTTCCAACAATACCTTTATGTAATTGGCTTGTATCAATGAATCTATACTTTTAATTAAGTGGTCATAAATTGTAATAATATATTTATTTTTAAATAAGTTATTTTTATATGGTAAATATAAATAGGTTAAATAATAAAATCTTTTGATTTAATTTTTTGTTAACTTTATTTAATTGTTTTGAATATATTGAACTAGGAGGTAGATTTGTATACAATAAATAATTTATATTAGCAATACTATGGTAAAACAGTACGGAATTTTTATGTAAAAGTATACACATCATTTTTTGGAACGTATTCTGTAAATATATTTTTTTATGATTATAATCTGAATTTTAAAAATTATCACTTTATTTATTTTATTACCTAAATCTAAACATATCACGCATTTTTTTATTAAATACAAATAAATAAATATACTTACAAAAAATATTAACTGATCTATGTATAACTAGTGTAAAGAAAATTTGGTAGTTGGGTCCAGGTTTATAAATTTACAACAACAAACTTCAGGTCATTATCCTGCAAAAAGATCTCTTTGAAAGTTTTTCCCTTTTTATATTAGTAAATTAAACCAATATAAAATTGCAGGATTTAAGTATTCTTGGTGTAACTGTAAACTCGAATTAAATGGTGTTGATACAACTCATCATAAAATAGACTCTTGAGATTATGAACGTTTTTAAAAGTACCAGCTTTCAAAAAGAGCAAGAAAAATAAAAATTAATATCATCTGAAGTTTGTTGAATTTTCCAACCCGGGATATCTACTATTTTTTGGTAAAAGCCGCCTATTGAGCGGTCTATTATCTAGAAGAGCCATTGCTTCTGCTATTGTTATTGGCTTGACTAGTATCGACTTGATTACTCGATTCCTTCGTAATCTCCTCTTCTTGCGATTGCTTGATGCTCTCCGGTGGATGAAGCGTGACTATGGATTGCCTTCGAGCCGGCGTTACAGTCGTCGAATGCAAGATGGCGTACAAAGGACCCTCTCGCTCTTTGGCAGGACTAACTAAGATCGTAGGACTAGGACTAATTATAATAGAAGGTTGATCGTCTTCTAATTGCATGCTGTTCTCAGCTGCCGAAGGAATGGTGGTGAGAAATCTTACAGTCAGTCTTCCTGGAGAACCTTCAAACACACGAATCGTAATATTAATTTGCGAAATTTAATTCAGGATTAATCGTACTTGGCGGTTCAGATTCGTCTTGTATGGCACATTGTCGGGTCAATCTGGGCTTGACTCTCCCTCGAGTAGGTTCGCTGGAATTACTGGATCTCGATATCCTCCAAGTGCTCGTACTTGCCGTCGTCGCCGATCCAGAAGAATCGTTCCTCGAACTGGACAAGGTAGAATCTTGTGAAGTTTTGCGGGTGATTAACCACGACGAGGCTCTTCTCTTCGGATCTAAAAGACGGAGAGGAATGCCACAATGGTGATTGTGGCGCCAAGAATCCGACCTGCAATTAAGAAAACTAGTAACAAGTATTGGTATTTATTTATGTAAAAACCTCGAGGAGCTGAAGTTTTCGCTGGACGAAACCGAGGAGGCTCTTTTGTGTTGCTTCTGCTGGATTTCTGCAATTTGGTAGGTGTATTGATCATTTCGAGGCCTGTGCCTGGCGGGCCTTCTGACACAAAGTAGCCACCGGGCTTTGTTTAGTAGCCACTCTCGCGTTGTTGTTTTCCTGTCTTTTTTGTTCTTCTGCTGAATTTGATTATCACCGAGTAATTTCACGTTGCACGTGCATTGGGGAACGTGATGTTCCTGCTTCTCCCTCGACGATCTGTCTGCTAAACTGTTTGTATTGGCTGGTGTTTGTCTGTTGCTGAAATTTGAACTATGCCTGCATCTTCCGATACCTCTGGTCACTCGACTTTCTTCTATGGCCTTGCAGATCATAACGCAGTCTTTCTTGAATTGTTTAGTGAGTATTGCGTAGAGAAAAGGATTACAACAAGAGTTTAAAGGTAAAACGAACACTGTAAACACTTTGGCTTGTTCTAAGGAAATAAGTTGCAGTCCGAACGCTGCTGTAAGCGAGAAAAACGCTATAGGGGACCAACACAAGAAGTCGGTGAATACGAGTAAAGCCATCCGTTTAGCTATTCGGGAGTCGTTCGAGTTCCAGGCCTGCGAGCCTCTAATGGCACAATACATTTTTAAATAACAACCCATTAGTATCAAAAACGCTACTCCGTTAATAAACATCAAAAATACCACGTAGGTCAAACTGGCCGTATCGCTTATTTCAAAGGGAAGACAGATGGCGAACTTCCTGTAGTCGGAAATGTTAAATATCGGCATGATCGCCATGACTATGGCGAAACTCCATCCACAAATCATGATGTAGCCGGCGTGCTTCAAGGAAAGCCTTTTATTAAGATGCATCGCGTGAGTTATGGCGTAGTTTCTTTCTAAAGTGATTACGGCGAGAGTCCACACCGATAATTCCGAGCTCAAAACGCCCAGGAAACCGGAGAGTTGGCATCCAGCTGACATTTGCCAAGGGATTGCGTACATGCGGAATTCCCCCAACGTCGATGCATCTACTACAGCTAAAAACCCTGCAATAAAAACGTAAATATGTACAGGGTGTTTCAAAAATATTATGCCAAACTTAAGGAGGTTATAGGGGACATTGTGGTGAACAATTTTTGCTAAGATACCATTAATCAAAAATGAGCCGTTTTGGCTCCTTAACTTTGGCACAACCTTTTTGGAACACCCTGTATAAATACTTATTATTGTTTGTAACGAGAATAATAGTTACCCAAGTATATGCCCATGAAGAAATCAGCGGCGGCTAAGTTGCACACCAAAAATCTGGGTACATCCATTTTGCTTCTCGAAAAAATTAACACGAAAACGACAGTCCCATTGCCAAGCATGGCGCATAAGAACACTATCCACACGCCGCAACGCAGCGTCCACCAGTCGAACAAATCTTGACAAGGCAAAAAAGGCCCGGGCAGAGGCAAGCATTGTATTTTACCCGAATTTCCGTTGGTTAAATCACCAGGTATGCGCAGAGTAGGATCATCTTCAGCCGCGTACTCCTCCATGTACGAAGGAAAATTTCCCGGATAGGTAAAGTCCGATCGGATGTTCTCCCAAATTTCGCCGAACTTCTTTCCGAATTTCTGGCTAATATTTTCTACATCAAACATGAACCGTTTAGTGTAGTATTAATCAATTGAATGGTTGCAGTTGTACTTACGTTGGGACGGCCAAAGATCGACTGAACTGTTCCAAAAATTCAAATCGATATCTTCGATGTCTGGAAACACGATGATGTCTCGGGCTTTGGCAGGCGGTGGGTTGGACGGTATGAGAGGCAGGAAAGCGCAGCAGTGATAGGCGTACGCCAATACAAGCGTTTGAATTCGAGGAAAATCGTTGGGCGGCGGAAAATCCCTCAAATTCGGATTGTTAAAGGTTTTCAGGTGCAGCAAACGCTCCAGACCAGCGGTTGGTAAGTAAGGGAAAACGTTGTTTCCCAAATTTCTAAAAAACGAAATTACACAAACAGCCATAAACCCAAAACTGCATAGCATATTTATAGAAAAAGAAAGATTTTACGATGCTATTTCAAAGATTTATCAATTTGAGAACTCATAAAAGTATGTAAAATCACGCTAAGTCGGTATAAAATATCTTTATAGTATGATTTGTCGTTGTGCGCAATTACTTTAATGGCAAGATTCAATCAAGATAAATTTAATAGGATAACTTATTACACTGAAATATGAAAGTCAAATATGCAATAAATAATAAGAACTTTTGTAATTCTTTTTGTAAAACATGCCAGATTAATCCCATTTTGTTTAACGATTTAAAGGTATAAATTGCATAATGGAAGTAATTAATAATACGTACAAATCTTCTATCCTTGAAATCGGCATAAACGCATCGGGATGTATAAAAGAAATATGGTTATCTTCAAGATTCCTAAAAATCAATAGAAAGCATTTATATCAAGTAACTAGGTTTAAAATTAAACTTACAAAACTTGCAATTTTGATAAATTATAGAAAGCATCGTGAGGTATCTGCTCTATTTGGTTGTGGGCTAGAAGGAGATCGTGCATCATATACATGCTACGAAACGGCTTGCCATCGATGGATTTTATGAAATTACTAGCAAGGTCTCTAAAAATTATTTTATCTGAAGAAAGTCTACGGTATTAGGTACAATTTCATATACTTACAGTACTCTCATTTCCCTACAATTACTCAGATCAGGGATGACGGTTAGTTTGTTAGATTTTAAATCGCTGAAATAAAAGTAATATCGAAAGTCATTTACACTCAATAATGTAGGTAATACAAATAAATAAAGCAGTGTCTCACTTACAGACTTTTCAATCGGGGACAATCCGTACACAATGAAGCTGGAACTGAAGATATACCGGCTCTGTCCAGTCTTAATATTTCCAGGGCGATGGTTCCGTTTAAGTTTGGAAATGTGGATAGCTCTCTGGCATCCGAAAGGATACTGGAAAAAGGACCGTAAATCAAAACAAATTAGATATTATTATCATTATTACATTCTGCCGGTGATTTATTTGCTTGTTTTTTTCCGTATTGTTTCGTGAAACAGAATTCGTATGGGGGGACCGTTGGAGATTTTTAATTTCGAAAACTTATGGATTCCAGCAGGAATTTGATAAAGCAACATTGATCCATTTATTAGGTAATTTATTGAATCCCAAACTTTAAAGCTATTAAATTATTTGTTCATAGAACATATTTGTTCTATGAGTAAGCAAAAAATCTAAAATTAGGCAATTAAACAATTTCTGATATAGATAATATTCTAGAGCAATTAGCGTCAAAAACGATTACTACCTCATTAAGTTTTAGCCAACGTGATCGAGTCAAAGTACGTGGATATGATTGATTGAATACTAAAGAACTAGTTAGATGGATTTATGACTGAAATCGGAAAATAATTAAAGTCCGTTTCGATACGAACTCCTTTTTTGCGAAAGGAATGCCACTTTATTGTTAGCAGATTTTCATAAGTCGCTTTTAATGAAAATTTATGAACCAATTAGAATGTTTTAGAGGGAAATCTCAAATGGGCACACAAAAAATTGTTCGTTTTCACCGAGTAAGTTTTTGTTTCAAGGCGGGTTTCGAGCCTTAACTTAGGCGATAAAAATAAGTAAATTGAAACATAATACTTGCAGCTTTCGGAGCCGAGGAAGGAAAGAAAAAGCTACAGCGTCCACTCCAATCAATGGATTGCCTTTAAGCTCCAGAAGGGCCAGAGCTGGTGTCTTCTGGAGCAATCCTCCCTCGATGTACTTGATGCGGTTACCCGATATCGAACTGCAAAAACAATCAGAATTCCAGAGATGCAGTTTTTACGAATTGGGATATTTCCAAATCGATATAGAGGCTGAAGCCTCAAAAATAGAAATATGTTCCGCTATGAAAAGCGGAAAATGTTTTAATATAATTTGAGGTATTCGATATGAAAACCGCTCACTGCAAAATTTACCGTAACTTTCCGTACATTTCGCTGAAAAATTTAATAAAAAAACTTCCTCTCTAACTATATACCGGTATGTGCATGTGCCTGCAGAAGTCCCTAGAAAAGGAGATATAAGCTATTAGTAGTTTTTTGTACTTACAATTCTTGGAGATCGGACAGTTTCGCGATTGCAGCCGGTATTTGTGTCAGGAAGTTATCGTCCAGTTCTCTGAAACAAAAAGTTTGTTTTCGGGTCATTTGGTTCAGAAAATAGAGGAAATGTAGCGGATATCATTTGAAAAGTATAAAAATTAGACAGCGTCGCTGTTAAAATGTGGTTTTGCAGACTCCATTGGGATTTGGCTCGGATTGGAACTTATTAAGAAAATAGTAAAAAACAAAATAAACGTTCTATACGATACAAAATAATTACTTCATATACTTACAGAACTTTTAGAGACGTTACGTTAACGAAAGCATCTTCCGAAACGAAAGCAATTTGGTTCCGTTTCATTAATCTAAAATAAAAATAAAACATATTCAGAATTGATTTTGATTATTTTTTTATAAAATGATTGGAATTGTTTTTAAATGCAGATATAACTGAGATATACAGGTTGGAACTGATTAACAGTAAGATTGGTTTAATAGAGTCCCATTTCAATACTCTCACAACTCCTAATCTACGACAATAAAACCGAATTACACGTATTCCATTCGAATGCACCGAATTCGAATAACAGCTGCGATACACGACATGATACTAGTTTTGCCCTATATTCAGATATATTAGACTAGCGATGTTAGAGCGGGTCGATGAGCTCCTATTTCTATCTCTCTATCATGATTTACAGCTACAGCTGCATAGGAGCAATTTACTGGAAAAAGATGCTAAAATTTATGAATCTGCTCCTCATATTAGTTTCAAATTCTACAGGATAAGAATTTTTCAGCATTGAATATAAAAAGCTTAGTCAACCTTAACTTAAAATTGCGTGCAATTAATGTAGTACTTTTACACCAATTACAACAGCCGATGGAATATTTCCGGAGGTAATTTCCACAGGACGAATTACTATGTTCTATTCGGTCACCATTCAAAATTGAAATAATAATTAAATGTAAATCATTGGAGTAAACAACCGAATTGCATTACATTGTGTAATAAACAATCATTAAAAAATTCTCCGCTATTGTGACAATAATAGTAATAATTGAATGTATAACACACATTTTTATTTCCCAATATTTTGATCAAATGGGACAATTCAAAATGTATTAATTGGATAATTTTAACGAAACTCTGGGAAGGTTGTTGTATAATTGAAACAAAAATTGAAAACAATAACATATATTTTTATAAGTTACAAAATCGAATATAATAAATATAAATAAAATGTTATAAATAAAAAACTCGTTTATTTAATGAACACAAGTGAATATCACTTAAGCTATAACAATTTTATTGTTTCTGATATAAGTACGCAGAAAGGTATGTATAAAATTCGTCCAGAAAATCGAGTCAATTCCAACTTTATTTACCCTATGTACTAGTCTGTTTTCTCAAACTTAGTTGAATTTCTTCTAAAGTCTTTCCTCTCGTTTCAGGGATAAAATAGAACGATAAAACTACGGAGGTGACATTAGATAGAGCGAAAAATAGGAAAGGTGCAAATAACCCAACATAACGATTTAAATTGAATAAAATATTATTGGTTATGAATATCATCAAACCGAAATCTATCATTAAAACGGTCATAGCTTTTGATTTGATGCTGGTCGAAAACAATTCCCCCAACATTAGGGTCGGTATCACTGCCATTCCGAATGAATTGAATATTTGGTAAGCGACCATTGCAACTATTGGTATCCAATTATTCTCTCCGATGCTGGAATTCGGGTAAAACTGGTCGACATAAAAGTACAAAGTCAAAATGAAAAGCGGAATAGCAGATAGAGACAAAGATGATATGTAGCAAAATCGCCTTGGGAGCCTATCAACAACAAATACAACTACGATTAGATTCATAACGAGACATAAACCTAAATAAATCATAGACGAAGTTTCTGGACTGACCACACTTTTGGCCTTCTCGAACACAAATTGCGTGTTCATTATAAAAACGCTGGTGCCTCCTAATTGTTGAGAAGCTCTCAAAAATACAGCAGAAATTAAAGCTTTCCTATTCGTTTTTATACAGAATAAATCTTTCCAAGTTCCAGATTCGGACATTTGCCTCATCACATCGCTTTTTAGCGATAAGTAATCATCATCCACATTCGGCTTTCTAGTAAGAAATTTAAGTGACTGCTTCCCTTTCACGTCGTCGCCTTTCATTATGTAAAAGTACGGAGATTCCGGCATGTAACAGAAGAAAATGAAGAACAAAACCGTAATCGGAATACAAACATACGCAGTTTGTGATACGCTCAAGAAGGTGCCGATCACGTGGATTAAAAATTCGCCGAGATACATGGATGTCACCATGCCGTTGCCCCATTTGCCCCTCACACTCGGATTGGCCACTTCCCCGATGTACATCGGCAACGCCGCAAACATACATCCATCGGCGATTCCGGCGCAAATCCTGGATGCGTAAAACACCCAAACGTTTCTGGCAACTGCCGAAAGTATCCAGGATAATAAATGTGGAATAGTTATGAGCAACAACGTCTTCTTCCTTCCGATGCTGTCGCACAAGGTGGAGAACAATGCGCAGGTAACCATCATGGCGGCGGGGTGGATAATGGTGAAGTAGGAAGCTTCTTCTTCCGTAATGTCATAGTTAACTTTATCATTGGTTATTTTCAATAAAAAAGGAGATGACCAAGAAGTCAGCAAACCGCTTGTTAAAGCTGATAAGCAACCTGCAATAAAAATTTGTTCATTATTATATCTAGGTACAGCTGACAACGTTTTCAAACTTAACATTATTCAAGACCAAAGGTTGGTGAAACCCAATTATGGTTTGTCTCAGATCTCGGGGAGTTTAATTTAAGCTTCTGTTCCGAAATTGAATAATTATAGAATAATCCAGGGTCTGATCGCTTGAATAATGCCGTATTTATAATCCGCACAACATAAAAATATAAGATAACACCTATGTTTCCAATATTAACAGCTACCTAGCTTAAAATTGTAGCTGTGACCTGAATTTTATTTTAATGAATAGTAGCAATATTTAGTTCAAGAATAATTTTATAAATGGCTGTCGAGTGTATATGGCCATCTTTTTGATAAAAGCACCTGTTAGATAAACTTGCTTATATGGAAACGATGCACTTTAATATCCATGTAAACAATAATTATTAATTATGGTATCTACTACATAGTAGGTATTATCATTCAATATTCCAACAAAACAAAAGTACCTACCTACTATCAACCAAAAATAAACAAAAACAATAGTTAAAATTTTTAACTAATTGGAATTAGAAAAGATATTACGTATAAACATTTTTACAAGAAGCCAATCTTAATTTTAATTATGTATTTTCAACCTGTCTGTATTACAAGATAAGGGATTAATCGCTTGTTAAATAATATACGTATCTAGCTATTATTGATTAAAAACTGTAGAAAAAGAAATTAAAAAGTATTTAACTACTACCCAGTTAATTAAAAATAAAATATTTCGAAAACATTAAAAAAGTAAGTAAAAAAATAGACGCCATTTATCTGTAAGCATTAAAAGACTGCAGAAACATAGGTAATTTACGTTTGTAAAACATACATATGTCTTAAATAAACACAAATAACATTTGACGCTTCTCAGGATAATATCTTCACTTGCAGAGATAAAATTTGTTATTCCTTCAAAGGCTTTAAAAAATTCTTCTTGTCTGTTGCTAATTGACGATTTTTGTAAAATTAGCAGTTTAACTTTGGTGCTTATCATTTTCTACTTGCTTATTAATTTTAAACAATAATTGGTAAAAATAAGTAACCGACTAAAAGTATAATTACCTATTTAATTGTTTGTCAAGAATCGAGTGCTAAGTTTGCACATTATGTTCTGAATAGTAAAAAAAACTTTTATTAAACAATCCAAACTAATAAACTACCCCAAATTACTAAACTTCAGAACCATATTGTTTGACAATTAATTTTTTTAAAGTTACACCAGCCTTCATTAAATAATAATTTCGCCCTAAACAAATTAATTCCGTAAAAACTACTCTACAAAATTTAAATAATTCCGGAGAAGTTGAATACTACTTCATAAACACCTCAAAGCGTGCACATAATTGAAAGACTTTTGAGCAACTTAAGGATTTAATGAGCACACCAACATCCAACCTCTTAAGTTATTCTTAATTAAATTAATGTAAAATTAAGTTTAAATAAATTCAGCTTTTTATTTTATCATAGAACACTTATTTTATCCTGTATGACTAAAGTTACACAGGGTGAGAAACCAAGCTATGTGAGTATTTTATACTTTACCTACCTCTAAGGATTTTTATTTTACATCTGCAGTAATGATAATAATAAAAATTTTTACTTACTGATAACGATCGCAAGAGCTTGAGGCCATTCTCGGCCGCGTTCACCACCATCGTTGGTATTTTTCGCAATGAACAGTGTCGACCACAGAAAAGCTTTGACACCCATAACGTTTTGCTTCGAACACGCACACTACCGGACAAACAGTTACTGAATGGGAACTATTTATTTAAATTTTTTATTAAGACTTGATTGGAACTCGATGGGATATTTAACAGATGACCTTTTAATTGGCGCTAATGATGTTGGGATAAACATATTTTTCGATACAGGATATTATTATTGTTCTAGGAATAATTTGTACGCATTTATGCCCGTTGGTTATAATTAATTCTATTTTAATGATTTTCTTATTTTGCCACGGTTAAGACAACTAAAATTTGGAAATTGATAACAAATATCTAATTTCAAGAAATTTTGAGGACTATTGAACCTGCTGACTAATTATTGAACATTCTATGAATGAGAACATTATTAACATTGTAATTACTCAGCAAAAATAAAACTTTACAGTCCTTACTTCGTTCATTAAATTTTTGTTAACGTTAATCTAGTAGAGTTCATTTTTGAAAAATGGGAAAATCGAAATTGGTACTTAAGAATATTGTACATATTTCAATTTCTCAATTATTCATATTAGATAATTATAAAATTTAACATAGATAATAATAATGAATACAAAAAATAAACAAAATGCATAAAAATATTATAAATATAATAATATTATTAGTTTTTAAATATGACAAAAATGTGTGCTATTCGAGAAAACAAGGGCACTCTTTCTTTCGAGAATTTGCTTAGAGAGAAGAAATTTTAAATAAGTCTAATAAACTTTCACAGTTAATCAGTTGAATTAAATATATGGCAAATTCGATGTGTATCCATTATGCAAACAACCAAAAAATCGAGAAAAACTTCTTATTACACTTATTTTCATTATCAAATCTACTCTCTTTGTGAAGTACATAATCTGTGTATAAAGTAGGTAATTAGAACTCGTTCACTTAAAGAAATCTGCACTGAATATAGATATTATATAAATTTTTTTGAAAGGTGTATTATATTTCAATTGATTTATAAATCGCAGCATTAAAAAACAATTACCAATTACTCTCAGACGATACAGTAAATGTGTACCTCTAAGGCAATACTATTTTAATAATATACTTACAACACTACTAGATTGTCCATTAATGGAAAAGCATCTGCAGTTAAACTCGTAATCATGTTGTTACCGATGTTTCTGAAAAATATACTTATGTAACGATGATCACAACTTAGGACAGGCCGTGACAGTAATGAATTAAATAAACTTGCAAAGTAAGAGCAAGAACATAAAGATTCCAAGCGAATTTTGTGTTTGTGAAATTTGCTATTTTTGAATAGTTGAATAATAAATTATTTTTAAGACCCACAAAATTAAACATTTGCGTTAATTATGCATAACAGTTATTTTTTAATAAAAACCGTAAGCATTTGCTAATTTTGTCGTGATTTATAGGTATTTCACTAATACAAGAATTCGCGAGAAAATTAATATTTTTACTTGCAAATATTGGTGGCACTCCTATTGTGCCTACCTACAATAACATTTTTTAAATTCGTTAAAACTGGATAAATTTGGATAATTTCTTAATTAATTACCTATATAAAGGTAATAAAAATATTTGCTGTTATAATTTGTATGTAAGAAATTATTAAATATGATTATTAGGAAACGTGGATTTAAAATAGATTGTTACAACAATGTAATAATTAAAAAATATTTATACGTTTTTATTTCAAGTTCTTTATAAAATTATATGCAAATATTTTTATTAGAAATATAATTTAAATTTTATAAATGCCAATTGATAATTTTGGAGCTAATGATGTATTGAGTGTAAAATTTGATATTTGTGCTGTAAATTAATTTGTTTGTGATATGTATGTACAGTTGTATAATATCAGTTATTATTATGGTTAGTTTTTTTAGACACAATTTCAACGAAATCTCTAATTAAAGGTTATTAAAAATATTTAAAGTATTACTTTACGATTTTACTGGAATTTTAAGTTTTAAATGTCTTAGCTTTAACTGAATTTGTGTCTAATATTTCCGTTAGTGTATTTCGAGAAGCAGTCTTGGTGTTAGGTATTAATAATTTTCCGAATTTTATCACTACGCGCAGATTAAAATTTGTAGTTACAAAGCTTAACAACCTTTAGATACATTTATCTATGCACATTTTGTAAATACGTACTTTACGTAAGTGTTTTCAAATGAAAAATACAAATAGTCATCATGCAAACCGATCATTACCTTTCATATTTTACTGTATAAATGATATTTTCCGTTTTTCTAAGACTATTTTAATGACTAGCGAATGTTTTGAAACATAGTAACTGGATGCTGGATTGATAAATGTCTGTCTATAGGAGATAAGATAAGGGTCAGAGCAATCTACTACTGTCAGAGTAAAATGCAAGTAGTACAATAGCAATACATTCATGCTGGGGTCCTGAGACGGATACTCACAGGACCTCGAGGTGCGTAAGTAGAGCTAGAGCCTCGGTTGGTACGTTGCGCAATCGATTGCCGTCTAGACGCAAGCTGCGCAGCGTGGTAGCCACGTTTCGGAAAGAATCTATTTCCATTTGCCATATTTCGTTACTTCCGATTTGCCTGGCCCAACAATCATAACAGTCAGCACACAAATGATAATGGAAAATGTATAACATGCTCTTGGAATTCATTCGGCAGATACTTATTAACGAATTCAAAATTAGCGGAACATCGGAAAGCAACATAAACTAATTAGGTACTATTGGTAGGTTATTTTGTAATATTGCAAAAATTCAAGGTGATTGATAAGAAATGTATGGAAAGTTTCATGTATTTGTTTACCGTTGCTTTTCGTTTGTTTTGTGTTTACAATGAGATTAATATGTATATTAAATTACTTCTGGAGTATTTTCTATAAGAAAAAAAAATAGGAACAATTGAACAATACTATATGATATTTATTAAATTAAAATTATTGTATAAAATTTTCTTTTTCAACTTTCTTCTTTACTGTAATTCTTCCTATTTCATTTCTTATGTACTTCAGTATGAAAATGGTATAACTTCATGTGTTACCTACGTGATTATTCACATGTCCTTGTAAACATTCAGCTATAGGTAGATATGTATGCTTAAAGTTCAGCAAACAAAAACAGAAAATTATTATCAATAGTCTGAATGAGAACTACATAATTTAAGATTAGTAATACCAAGGAATCACAAATTTTGATAACTTTGATGTTAATGAGGATGTATTATTGATGAGTATTTTCATTTGCTGAACCTAATTCTTCAAAAGTTCAATAAAAAGACTTCTCACATCCTTTTATTGAATTCTATAGCATATGATACCCTTTAAATAGTAGATATAGTTTCTGATCATTTCATTTTGTGAGTCATAGCGAGAAGACGCAAGCAAAGGATGATCCACTGTTTACGGAATACACGGAAAATTTATAAGAACTCGATAAATATTACATGAAGAAAATAATGTTATGTAAAATTAGCGAGTTGTTTGAAATAAATCTATTAGTTACACAACAGGCACCATTGATCTAAAAAGTAACAAAAGGCTATCTATTATCTTTCTATAAAAACGCTGTTAGCCAATCAAATTTCTAGTTGATACTAAAAATCGTCTTAGATCAAATAAGCTATTTATAAACCATTACTTAGTTAATGATACCAACCATTTTTTAAATTGGTATTATTAAAAGTAACTACAGGATTTCTTATTCAAACAAAGTCCCTTTATAGATAAATGGTTGCAGTTAAAATAAAACGGGACCAATGGATATGATTGAACTTTTTTATTTCCAATGCAAATGACACTTCCCAATTAATTTATCGAAATGCATGATAAGAAACAAATATTATATAAAAAATTTGGGCGCCCGATAAATTTAATCAATGCTCGACATAAAATTTACATGATTCTTAAAATAATAAATACCTATTCAATAAAAATAATAGACACTTGATAAATAAATTGATTGCTCTCTGCTAAATTTAAAAACTTCCTCAATTAGGTACCTATTAAATGTTTATGATTTCATAAAAAATAAAAGGCGTATCTTATTATTCATACTGCATTATGAATTTATTTATCAAGCATTTTATTTTTTTATTCGGCAAAGCGCATTAAATTATCGGGCGTTAAAATTGCAACCCAATTAAAATTAGTTACATGAAATATGTCGGCGAAAAAAGTGTTGGAAAATAAAAGTAAAAAAAAAGTGTAAATAATAATTAAACAGTATTTAAAGTATAGAAATACTGTAAAAACGAGGGTGTTATTTATATTGTTTATATTATAGGAAATATTCGAGTTTATTGGCATAATTGGAACAGTAATTACGAAAATTACTAACTAATCATAAATAATCGGATATTATTAAATAGGAACTTTCCAAAAAGACATTAAAAATAGTACCTGGCACAAAAATAGTTTAACCATTGTGACTTCGAATTATTCATGTCTAGTAATAGCGTATGTAATATGATAGTAAACTAATAGATAATAAAAACAGCGTTTCATGTTCCTTATTTTTCTGATTCCTAAACTTTAATTTCATACTTCGAATTTAATTTATATGCGTACTTTTTTGTAGAGAAATCAAAGCTTAGTAAAATTAGTGTAAATTAGTGTTTAACATACATATGGAAAATAAAGCAGTAGATAAGTTTGGTAGAAATTTCATTAATATTTTAAAATGATATTATTTGGAATATTTTCACTTCTACGAAATAATTGTCAAAGCCAACATGTTAACTGCAAAATCTTTAGGTGGGCGTTTGATTTTGCTTAATTATTTTTTTAGTCGTTCTTAAACGGATATATAAAAATATTAATTTTTGACCTTTAATCGTTTCTCGCGATAAGTAGGTATTCAGTATCAATTCTTATGTACAAAAAGTATGTATTAGTTTTCTTATAACATCAGAACATAATATGGAAAAATGGACGTAAGTTTTTTAAGTCTACAGGTGCCCTTTAAATAGAGGAAAATTTCTAACAATAATTAGGGTATAATAACTATAACTAGCTCATTTAACAAGAGGAATAATACAATTTTTCATTCAAATTTTGCAGTTTTTTTAATATGAAAAAATATAGGAAAAAATATATGAAATATAGGATTTACTTTAGTTATAATTATCATTCAATCATCATCAAAAAAGAAATTAATTAAAATCTGGGAAAAACCTAAATAATGCCAACTAAATCAGCTGACATTTATTTAACATTGAAATTACTGGCTTTCGCAAGTGCATTTGATAAAAATATAAATAATATTATCAAGCTGGGCAAATTACGATTCCGAACCATTTGGAATTAACATGTGCTTTGATGATTGATTTGGAGACTTGAATATACTCGTATAAACAATATCCTGTCAAACAAACCACTAGGTAAATGTTATTTTTTATTAACTGAATTTGTTTATGTGTTTAATAAATTTTAATCATTTATCTATCTTGCAACCATAGTTTTTTGTAGATAACACAAATTTATAAATCGACATTAGAACAAAGCAGACTAATTCTCTGGTGAGAACTACGAAAATTGAATCTATGGTATTGTGAGGACAATAAAAGAATTAATGGCGAGAGGAAAATCATCCCTGATTGAAGGTGATGAAGTCGAAAAACCTTGGGCACAAATAGTTGCCATTTTAATTGGTAAGTAATTAAATCGTATCATAACCTAAAATAATAAACATGCGTTATTGTTAAGTTCCATAATTACGTATGAATCTGTATAGAATGGAAGTTAGATTTCATATTAATTATAATAAATGGCGTATTAATAATTAGAATAAAAAATACTTAAATTGTGTACTTTAAGGTTCTTTGGCTGGTTTTACTGACGGATTGCATTACTCATGGACATCTCCTTTCATAGTAAAAATAGTAGAAGACAAGAAAAACTACAACATTTCCGAAGAAGAAGCGTCGTATTTTCCGACTATCCAACCGATCGCTATGCTGCTGTTTTGTCCCATTTTCTCCGTACTTTCCGATAAAATCGGCAGGAAGAAAACCTTCTTATTGATCGCTTATCCGCAAATCATAAGTTGGCTGCTAGCTGCGTTCGCCAAAGATGCCATGGGATTTTACGTTTCGAGATTTTTCGCCGGCATAGCCAACGGCTGTTTCTTCGCAGTGTTCCCTTCTTACGTAGGCGAGATCTCCAATCCCACAATCAGAGGCACTTGGGGAAATGTGGTATCAACGTCAATGTATTGCGGAGAGCTAGTCATCAATATAGTGGGAAGTTATTGCGGCGTCCGAGAAACTTCTTTCATATTTCTACCTTTGCCTATTTTATTTTTAATACTGTTCTGGATGATGCCGGAATCGCCTTATTGGTTCCTCATGAAAGGAGAAGAAAGTAAGGCGAAGGAATCTCTACGATTTTTCACCAGAAAGGAGAATATTGATGAGGATTATTTCAAACTAAAGTTGGATGTCGATAGACAAATGTCAGAAACGGGAAGATGGGTCGATTTAGTTAGAATTCAAAGTAACAGGAAGGCTTTATTGGCGGGAGCTTTTTTGAGATTAACCCAACAAACATCTGGAATGGGTATATTTTTAGTTTATAATCAATTCATATTCGAAAAATCCGGGAGTAGTTTAAGCAGGGAAATTTGTTCAATAATTTATTCTTCATTGTATGTCATTTTAAATATTATCGTAGTGGTTTTCATTGTAAATCGTTTCTCACGCAGGATATTATATTTTATATCACTGGCAGGAGCAGCTGTAATGCTTTATGTTTTAGCTACGTATTTTTATTTAGACGATCATACGAAACTAACTTCATTCGGATGGGTACCTATAACAGGTACTGTAATTTATCAAGTATTTATGGGTACTGGCTTATGCGTCATCCCAACATTAATGATGAGCGAACTGTATTCAACCAGTATTAAAGCCAAAGCGATGATAGTGTTGACGATCAGTTTCGCTGGTGGAAACATTATAATCAACCCACTCTTTTATTATTTAAACACCAGCTTCGGTTTTCACACGCCATTTTATTTCTTTGCCGTATGTAATACTATAGCACTTGTTATTGCATATTACATCGTGCCTGAAACTAAAGGAAAGACGCTAGAAGAAATACAGCAGATGCTAAAAGTCAGTAATGTAAGAGTAAATTAATATGTACTTTTTAATATTGATGCCTAAGACAGGTAGTGCAGGGAAATTTTCTTAGTTTTATTTAAGTATGTTAAATTTTATGTAAGCTTTTTTAAATAATATGAATAAATTACGTTTGTTTTTATCTTATTTTGTTCACACTTATTTTTAATAATAGGTAACATGTGTTAAAAAACTGATTTAAAAATAACATAAATGCTGATGAAATCTTATTTAAGAATAAATCAGACCCCCCATTATTGTAACAATTTAAATTTTGTACACATAAAAAAGATAGCTAAAGCAAATTATTTTCAGACAAAGCAAATACAATTTTGAATTAAATGCTTTAAAAAATTGTATCCGTTTAATTGAAATAGAAATGCTAACATTTGAATTGAGATTTCCGAAAATCACTTTGACGCAATTGGTCTTTAGGGGGGGTCTTTCTAAAACAAATTTTGTATACATATAAAATCCTGCAAATCGTCCCAAACCACAAATTCATTACTTTTACTCATCAGTATGGCAGTCATAGTAAAGTTTGCTCCTTCTCCTAAAGAGAATGAAAAACATTGGGCACAAATTCTCACCATTTTAATTGGTAAGTACCACTTTAAATACTTAAATTTAATAGTAGGTAGCATTTGTATAGGTAATCTATAGTAATTGTATTAGCAATTATCTCAGATAATTATACCTCAACACTATTTTTACCTAATTAGAGTAATACTATCAGTTAATAATAGTACCTATGTACATTTTTTCTTTTTTGGAAAATATTAATGTTTCTTAATTTAATTGCAGGTGCTTTGGCTGGTCTCACTAATGGGCTGCTGTTTTCATGGGCATCGCCCTTTTTAATCAAGATTACAAATGATAAAGAAAACTATGACATAACAGAAGAAGAAGCTTCGTACTTTAATACAATTCAACCGATATCTTTGATGTTAGCGACTCCGATTTTCGCCAAACTTTCGGACATCATCGGCAGGAAAAGGACGCTCATGCTGATTGTGATACCGCAGATGGCTAGTTGGTTGTTAGCGGGATTCGCTCGATCAGTTTATACATTTTACGCTGCACGAATATTCTCCGGATTCGCAGATGGATGCTTATTTACAACTTTGCCAGTTTACATCGGAGAAATAGCCAATCCTTCGGTGAGGGGTACATGGGGCAACGCCATACCAACATCCTTGTATGCTGGAGAATTTCTCATAACGATTATTGGCAGTTACTTTGGAGTCACCATGACCTCGTACATTTGTCTACCATTAACTGTTTTGTATTTGGTTTTGTTCAGTATGATGCCGGAATCGCCCTATTTTTACATCATGAAAGGCGACGACGAAAAAGCAAAAAGTTCTTTGAGGTTTTTGAAACGAATTAAGAACGTCGACGAGATATACATTAGATTGAAAAGTGATGTACAACGACAACTTTCCGAGTCAGGTACGTGGAGGGATTTAATCCAGATTAAAAGTAACAGGAAAGCGTTGGTAGCGGGTCTGTTTCTGCGCTTGAGTCAACAAATGTCGGGTTCAAGTGTCTTCTTAACGTACACTCAGCTTATTTTTCAAAAATCAGGAGGGAACGTCAGTCACGAGTTAGCGTCGATGGTTTATATGGGTTTATGTCTCATATTAAATGTGTTGGCGACGATATTTGTAGTTCCTAGATTTGGAAGAAAATTTTGTTATATGTCATCTACTCTTTGTTGCAGTGTAATTTTACTAGCAATGGGAATTTATATGTTTGTTGATGATAAATTAGATATAGATGTGAGTGCGCTAAATTGGATACCAGCAGCTAACATGGTGTTATACCAAGTCTTTGCTTGCTATGGTATAGGCGTTATCCCCACTTTAATGCTCAGTGAATTATATTCCACCAGTATCAAATCCAAAGCTATGACTATACTAGTATTTAGCTTCGGAATTGGGAATTTCGGTACTAGTTTAATCTTTTATAATTTAAATACTATTCTTGGATTATATTCACCGTTCATATTCTTTAGCATTTGTTGCATTACTGCTGGAATATTGTCATACAAAATTATCCCGGAAACTAGAGGTAAAACTCTGGAAGAAATTCAACAATTGCTCAAGGGTACCCCTAAATAATACCAAGTAAACGATTTTCTATTACTTGTAATATTTACTAAAATATTTAATTACTATGTAATTTATTTATGTACATAATTAATAATTATTCCTATTGGTATAAGTGTTTTAATAAAATTATTTTTCTATATTTTGTTGTTTTTATACCTAAATAACGGCCAGTAATGAAAGAGTGAATTGGACTTAATTAAAAAAATGATTTTTCGAAATTTTCAAACATTCTTAGGTATTCAAAAAACCGTCTAATTTCAAAATTTGATAATAATTTATTTTTAGGAAAATATCCAATAATTCTAATTTTTTTAATTCGAAGTACACTGTGTCGACTTAAGTTCGCACCATGAGGAAAACTTTTTTATTATTAATTTAAAAAATTATTCCTTATAAAAAGTTCTGCTTGGTCCAAAACCTAAAATGCAACCATCAGATAATTATTTTTTCCAGTCGTATACAAGGTATAGGTATATCAGAAAATATGAATTTTGCTCAAGAATGAAGTACCTTTATTTTTGACAATATCGAAAATTGTTATTAAGAAAAGTTGATAAAAACATTTCGATACATACATATATTTCGATGTAATTGCATATTTGAACGTAGTTTTTAGTTCTTATCAACTTTTCTTAATAATAATTTTCGTTATTGTCAAAAATAAAGTATATTAAAAATAATTAATAGTAAAAAAGTTTTCCATATTCCATAAAGTTTTCCATTTCCAACTTAAGTGGACACAGTGTATATAAATTCTAAAATACTTTAGCAATCAAAAATAAAAAATAGCATTAAAACAAATATTAAGTGTAACTTTCATTAAGTTACTTTCGTTTAACAATTAATATTTGATAAAGTAACGAAAACATAATGCCTATATCTATAAATATAGGCTTAGTACTTTCTTTAGGACAAATTCAGAATCATATGATTTCTTATCTAAGGATTATGTAAAATGATTATTAATGTACACTCTTATTTAACTTTAATAAGTAATTATTGGTGCTACTAATTTAGTAATTCTTTTTTTAATCTTCATTTGTATCTACTAAAAGTAAAAACGAACTAATTGTAATTGCAAAAAATGTGACATCAGCTATATCAGTTAATACCGATCGTCCCAGTTCGAGCGGTGGAATCATTAGAAAGAGAGAATCAGTCGAACTTAGGCAAGGCGTGGCTTCGACACGATAAATCGGCGGATGAATGCAGGGTTCTAAGGTGACCGCTCGATATACCGAGTTTCCATGTTCGAGCGCTGCAATCAGTAGAAAGAGAGAATCAGTGAAACTGATGATAAAACGGCAGACGAATGTAGCGCTCGACCTTGGACACATGGTACATAATGTATGATAAAACAAGTTCAATAGAGTAGGTACTAGAAAGTCATTTGTTATACATACAAATATCTATGTTTAGGTGGTACCTGCAGTAACCTGACACCGAAAATAATAATTAGCAGGGTATGTATATATAATTATAAATACATTATTTTACTGTTACATTGTTTACTTTTTTAAGTCAATGATAACTATACTCTGTTCCTTATCAGGAATTAGTAACAGAAACTAATTTTGCATTCAAACGTCAGATTGATTTAACTCATCGAAAAAAATCATAAAATCCCAAAATAGAATGATTTTGTCAGTGTAATAGTAATGTTTATTTTACTTTAGTGTAGTACCATCCATTCATTATACATTTTCTAATCAGATAAAAGTGACCAGAACTCGATGCACAATCGTAATTCTGAGATAATAAATAAGTACTAAAAGGATATAATAAAATTAAAAATTACTTACAATAAATAAAATTAGGCATCGCTTAATCGCTTAATTCAATAGTGCCCACTTTTAAATTATCTGTTAGTGCGCCTATGGTTTATTGCATTAAGATAATACCTTTATGCTTGATAGCGAATAGAGTATAAAATATGCTTTATTTTATTGACAATATTTTAAATAATTGTATAAAGTTAATTTTTCGGTTAAAAATAAAGCATTTAATAAGATTTTTAAAATACAGAGATCTTTGTTATTTTGCTATTCTTTAAATTAAAGATAAAATGGGTTTTCAAAAAAATGTTTCACCTCCTGTAGCAGAAGTGGAACAAAATTGGCCTCAAATCACAACAATCTTTATAGGTAAGTAACGCAAATTTACTTTTATTTATTGACGCATATGCTTCATAAAGTTATTATGCGATGTTAGGTAGGTATATTCTAAATTTTAGGTGCACTTGCTGGACTGAGCAATGGGCTACTATTTTCGTGGCCTTCTCCCTTTCTGGTAAAAATCGCACAAGATAAAGTTAACTACAATATATCCGAAGAAGAAGGTGCTTACTTCAGTATAATTCAACCGATATCAATGATGATCGCTTGTCCAATTTTTGCAATATTAGCAGATCACTTCGGAAGGAAAGTTGCTTTATTATTGATTGTCGTACCTCAGCTTTTCAGCTGGCTATTGGCGGGTTTTGCAAAAAGTGTTTACGTCTTTTATGCGGCTCGATTTTTATCTGGACTTTCCGACGGATGTCTCTTCGTTACTTTACCAATGTATATCGGGGAAGTGGCGAATCCGACTGTAAGAGGTACTTGGGGAAATTTGTTGCCTATATCATATTATATCGGAGAATTTCTCATTAATGTGATTGGAAGCAAATTTGATACGAGAGTAACAACTTATATTTGCCTGCCCTTACCTATTTTATACCTGATTTTATTTTCTTTAATGCCGGAATCGCCTTATTACTACATCATGAAAGGAAAGGAAGAAGAAGCGATTAAGTCTTTGAAGTTTTTAAAGAGAATGAAGAATGTTGATAGCATTTACAAGCAGTTAAAGTTCGATGTAGAGAGGCAATTATCAGAACGTGGTACTTGGGTAGATATGATCAAAATTAAAAGTAACAGAAAGGGTTTGATCGCTGGAATGTTTTTGAGACTTTCGCAGCAATTATCTGGATTTACCGTTTTCCTAACTTTTACCCAATTGATTTTCCAAAAATCAGGAGGCAACGTCAGTCATGAGGTTTCATCTATACTTTACTTAGGAAGTTCTTTAATTTTAAATCTGATAGGAGTGTTTTTAATTGTGCCATTTTTTAATAGATTGACTTGCTTCGTCACATCCAACAGTGCTTCTGGTGTAATACTCTTTTTGATGTCAGCCTACATTTACATCGATGATAATACGAGTGTAGACCTAAGCAGTTTTAAGTGGATGCCTTTAACCTTCATGATTTTATACCAAGTATTCACAAGTTTTGGTCTCTCGCTCATACCGACTTTAATGCTTAGCGAATTATATTCGACAAGTATTAAGTCTAAAGCTATGGTGATTTTATCTATCACTTTTGGATTGGGAATTTTCGTAGCCAGTACAATATTTTACCAAATGAATATTCACTTGGGTTTCTACTCGCCATTTTTATTTTTCTCTGCATGCTGCTGTGTATCCGCGATTCTGTCTTATTACGTCATTCCAGAAACGAGAGGAAAAACTCTCGAAGAAATACAGCAAATGTTGAAAAAGAATTAACTTTTTATAATATATAATGTTTAAGAGAATATTTCGGTATTGGTGTTTATTGCCAATGGGTGTAAGTGCCAATTTAATTGATGTGTACCTGAAGTGAGTTGGAAAACTGGATCGATTAATTTAATCTATATTATATGTAATTAATATTTAATAGTTTTATTCTATCAAGTAAAGCAAAACATTTGAAGTACTCGAATTTTGAAGATTTCGAATTATGAAAATTATTACGAATAACTCGAACCTGCTTAATTTAGCATTTGTAACTTTTATGTCAAATTGGATATTACTTTAAAATATCTTGGATTTATTTATTTTTTATATTAAGTATGTATTAAGTATATTCCGGGGGAAATATGAATATTTCGAAGTCACTTTAGTTTTTACAAATACCTGTCATAAATATACCTACAATATTAAAAATACAAATCGAGATAAATAAATATAAAATTAATGTACTTACAAAGTTTGTAATTTTATTAAAGGTTTGAAAGCTTCAGTCGGTACTGACTTTAATCCACAACCTTGCAATATTCTGAAACAGACAAAAAAAACAATACTCCTCTAATAATAACTTTATAAAATACCGTGTAAAAAATAATTTATTTCCAATAAAACATGAAATGAAACGAGTTTTATGAAACTCTCTTTGCAGTAGGAAAAAATCCTGTTAAAGTAGAATTAACTTATGATATCTACACAGAAAAAATCCCCCTATATGATTTAGTGATGGATCCCTGTGGTTTTATATTGTCAACATATTAGAAACGAGGATTTATCATGGTACATCCCGTGGAGAACAGGTTTGCTCAATCGAGTAATAAAATGAAGTAGTAATAAAGGCATTCGGAATAAAAGCAAGGAAAATTCCAAAATTGACACGGGTATACATACATGTTTTTGTCGAATTTCACAGCAAAAATATGTACCTATATAAATCCTTCTAAATATTACAAAAGATTAGATAACTTTTGCTCAATATAGTGACATCAATGTGCTAAGAAAACATTCACTGAATTGCGAGAAATCAGCTTATGGCTGAAACCATTAAATTGCAGGAATTATTGCCTTACAACCGGCACGTTTTAACACAAAACGCCGTATTTATGAACGATTTCTTGAGCAATAACTTCCAAACGAACCAGTTCGAATCCAATGCAGATAAACTGCAAATCTTCCACGTGAAATAAACGATATCGAGTAATATCTCAATAACGCGAAATCGGTTTTTTCCTCTAAAGCAGAAAAACAGTGGCGCAAAGGAGATTCGACAAGATTAAGGGCGATAAATCTGTCCTGCGGGCGATAAATACATCCTGTGTTAAGTTTCCACTTTAACAAATATTCGTATATAGAGAAAATGGTTATGCTTGAATAACAAAGATTTTGGTTAAAAAAAAAAAGAAATGTTTAGCAAGCAAATTTGATAAAAACTAAAAACGGTGAGTTAAAAATAAAATAGTGTTGGTAATAAGACGATAAAAAGAATGATAATTCATTTAGATCCAACTAGAGCAATTTATTCGAACAAATCTTAATAAGATCTTGGGAACATTTTGGAAGATTGTTCCATTCACAATAAGAATAATAAAGTTAAACTTTGATCAAAATGCCCATAATGAATCAGGACAACTTTTATTAAATTCGAAAATGTGGAAACATAAATAAAAAAAAATCATTTTATATTCCAGAGTGTACTAAAAAATTAAGTGTGTTTTACGACATTCATATTCATCGTTTACTACACATTCCCATGTACATACTAGTAGGATATATATTTGAAAATTAAATAATCAGCTTTATAAAGTTATCCTTCGTTTAAAAAGTCATGCCTGATATATTCAGAATTTAATCAATGTGCATTCTGATAAAATGGATGTTTAATATTGTAGAAAATTGGGTAGTCTTTTGTAGCTAACCTTTCCTAAACTAAAACAACAAATTTTTTAACAAAAAAAACTGTATTAAAGAAATTAATTTCTCAACCCATTCTCAAACTAAGTAGGTACGTCCAAATCCAGGAAACAAATAATATATACATAATCCCGGTGTTACTTGCAACTCGGCTAAATTCTCATCCATATAAATCCAAAATTCATAAGAAGTTGAACCCTCTAAAACCGGAGCATGCACTGCGCTTATCACAATAAATAACCAGATCAAAATGAAGTGAACGACTTCCGGTAAAGAGATTCCAGTTACCGAGTAACTTCAAGAAGTTCGTACATCGGATACTTGGGCTATAAGTGCTTCGTTCATTTAGTAGTTAAAGCACAAATTATTTACTATAACAAATAAAGTGATATAAACCAAATTCATTCTATTTCGATTTTGTTATTATGAAGTTATTAAATAAGTACAAGAGAATATTAAACCATCAAGAATTTAACTAACACCATAAAAATCGCAATTATGTATGTACACATTCTATTAGCAATTTTGTAATATTCTTTTATCTACTTTTAGTCGCATAATTGACTTTGGAATATGAGCTTATTTTCGGAAACCCCTCGTAATATTGCCGAGAGAAGGAAATTGTTCCCTTATCGCAACTTCTCCACGTAAACGGGCCACACTATGACCTGCATTTAGAAACCATGATGCCCTATATAGGTGAATCCTGACAGTATCCGATGCAATCTATGCAATCCTAATAGGATGTGAATAACTTGTATGTAAATTTGTCTGTTCGGAGTTTTATGGAAGGAATAGGATAGATCAGAAGTTAATAGAATCACGTCCGCGAGTTCGCAATCGAAATTTCTGGAAAGGAAATGGAGTTAAAAGGTTTTTTTTAATCAATAGAAAAACGTTTCTACCGATAAATGTTAATCAAGGAAATATAAACGAAAGTCGCTGACTTAAAGGAATAAAAACAGACAATAGAGAGAAATACTTACAATCTTTTGAGAAGAGTATTGTTACTGAATGATCCTTTGTGGATGAAATCAAGTTTGTTATCCGAAAGTATTCTGTAAAAAAGATAAATAATTAATATAGCTTTAGTTAACAGATAGCACCACATATATTCTGAAAAAAAGTACACGGAAATTCTGATTTGAATTACCTTCATTTAATATTTTTAAATATTTCTGTATGTAGGTAACACTGTTCTTAATTAGCATGCAAAAAAGAGAGAGATTTCTTAAACAGTTTGGTTAAGAAATAATAATGAAGATTAGAAATTTTGCGTTTTATTCCAAATTTCCGGGTACTTTTTTTGTCACAGTAGTATACGTATAAAAAATCATTTCACATTGGTATAGATTCTGCGCAAGTTTGAACAATCAGTTTGAATTATTCATTTTATATATCGATGAAATCGTTGCAACACACATGTCACAGGACGATTTCTTGTCAACACGGTCCATCTCAAAATAAACAAACCGAAAAAACAGTGCGTTTCATTAGAGTAAAAGCTTTATATTAATTCATGATGTTGGTGTCAGATTTAGTTACACGGCGCATACCCCAAAAGAAAAAACATTCGACGTAGGCATTAGTTTCGCTACATTACTTGTTGTTTTCTTTGCTGACACGAATTTTCAGTCCATTTCGCAAATTGAATGTGACACGGCTGATTACAATACAAAACTAGCATTCAGAAATAAAGCAAAGATTAATGTAAAACAATTTATAACGTCACAAGATAGAACAGAAGGAATTCGTTCCCTCCGAGTTGAAAGGAGTAAATACTTCGCTACATTTAAACACAATTAATAGGGCTACCTATATTATACAAAATTATAATTTTTCCGGTATTTTACATGTTATCGTTCACTCGCAATTTTACTCACTTCCTTCCTATTGACCTCCTTACTGATGTCAGTGACAAATTATAGCGCTGCAGCTTAATCAAGGTCTTTAGGACTCTACTTCTGCCCATTAACCCACTGATGAGGGCATTGCTTACATAGCCTGACAGATCCTTTTGAGAACGCTTCTCACTCACTGATTAAGTAATTTTCGGCTCAATACAATAACAGTATAGAAGGAAAAATTAACTTTCAATATCCGAAATAACGACAAAAGAGCGAATAATAGTCCATTTTTTTGGTAAATGCGGTAGGTGGGTAATTAATTTCTATCTGAGAAGAGGGCTTTCAAATTTAGAGCGTCTCTGGCGAACGAACCAAATAGAAAACCTTAATACGTCTAGACGATGTTAACGCAACGGCAGATGAAACATATTAAAGTATCTTTGACTAATTAACGGAGAGGCAAATCCCCCGCCGAGGCACGAAATAATGAAAGGTACGTACACGCAGCTTAGCGAAGATTAGAAAATGTTCATTAATTTGCATAGACTCAGGCGCTCTCGTGTTTTGACTGCATAGGTTTTATCTCTAGCTCTTCGCGGTTGGCATTGTTGGGCGTACAGGATTAGCATATACAGTGGCCGTTGGGAAAAAAACCTGCAGTAAACGCTCGTTATTTATTAAAACAAGGATGGAAGTGGCTTGATGGGTATTCTAAAAAATAGGGAGAGAAATTATTTAGTTATTTCCATAGACTTCGATGAATATGATCGTAAAGTATGTGGAAATAATTTTATTAATTGTGCTCTAATAAATTTCAAATCAAGAGGTTTTTAAGTCATTTTAGGTAACATAAACAATGATATGGTGATTCCGTCTCTAAAAAGGGATCTATAAGTGTTAAATTGCGCATATTTGCGGGAGCAAATGGGCTAATAACTTTACATGAAAACACAATGAAGGTAAAATATTCTCAACCCGGCATTAAATCGCTCTCCATTGTTCAACCGGCCGACCCTTTTGTGCTTTAATTTATCGAATTGATTCATCTGCAGTTATACCGACGGGGTTGAAATAAAAACGCTGCTAATCTAATAAACTCCAAGCGATAACTAGTGTTTCTAGAAGTAATGACAATTAAACGTCCGCAAGGGCGAATTATCTAGATCTTTTTATAAAATTTACGACTAAATAGCCGGCACGCGAAATAGCTGGTTGGTATTTCATGTGGCGTGTGGGAGTATTAGATTTTCATCTACTATACTGAATGTAGACCAGTGTTAAGCAGTTTTTTTTCTAGAACACATCGGAGAATTACTAAACGTTGTTCACTTCTAGCACTAAATGGTTAGCGACAAATATCTGATAGTTGTAATTAACAATGTGATTTTGCTTTAACAAAACAACGGGGAATTCGTCAAACGCTTATCTCGTTTAAAGCGTTTAGGATAAGCATTATTCAATTTCTGCCTTTTCCCTGCTCGATGGCATCGGACTATCAAACAGGGGTCGTTTCCTCACCTGATGAATGACAAAAAACGGAAGACACGAAAATGAAAAATGTCACAGGCACTATCTATAAGACACTATATTCCGAAAAGCAAGACATAAATTAAAGGGGGAGAAGCGGAATTCTTCCACTAGAACAACTCAATATTATTATCGTGAATAGTCTATATATCCATCAGTCAATTCCGTAGAAAGCACAAAGTGATTCACAAAGGATAAAAATAAATGTTTGTCATTATTAATGGAAATATAATACATACATTTTAGGAAATCAGGAAATTCTCCCTTATCTTTTTTTTGCCATAATTTCAGAGTTACATTATCAGAAAAGTAAAAGAATTCTGTCCCTTTAATACGTCCGAGACGTCCACAAAGCTTTGCATTTTTATGAGAATTTTATCAATTCAACCCACTTGTTCATACAAACTTGGCTAGGATTGGCGTAAATATTTAGCTGCATAGATAGAAAGTTTGCACAAACTTCGCCAGATACACTTTAAAATGGAGTTATCCGGGAGATGCGGGACTCGTTTTCGAAACGTTCGGCTCATCGGGATTATTTCCCCGGCTTATTGACAGACTTTGTGTGCCTCTATAGAAGCTACCAAAAAATTTATTTCCGATGGAAAATGGATATCGAAAGCAAAGTCGGAATTAAAATGGAATTGAAAATGACAATGATTCCGAACAATGTTCCAGAAATTCGATAAATACATTTGTATAACTTCAATTCCATACCATTCAATTGCATTTAGTACAGAAGTAGCAAATAATCCTCTCATCTGACATGCAGAATTTTCAGATTTGATTCTATGGTGTCCATTGCACTAAACTTATTCTCGGGTGCAGTGCTGGCGAATAAAGTGATTGAATAGGATTGGGTATCAAGCAGGGACCGTCTTTGGGGAATGTGTCTGGGGCAGGTCTGTTAAGAAGGTGACTGTCCCCGGAATTACCGTCTTTTTTATCGTTTGCCACGCCATTCGGGGACTACGACCCGCGAAAAATTGGAATATTTTATACTTACAGTTCCTCTAGGTGAGCGTAACGAGCCAACGACGTTTCCTCTATTCTCGTGATGTTGTTGCTAGTGAGATCCCTGAAAATTAAAAATACTAGAATTAAATTTAAGATTATGTATTTTTTATGGTATTGTAATTTTTAAAAATTGGAAAACTTAGTTAAATTTTTATATTTCTAAAATTGCTAAAAGTTTAAGATTTGTACAATCCAGAGAAACAGTGTAATAAGTCGATATAAATTATATTTCAGAATAAAATTTGTGATTGGTTAACATAGTTATAATATGCATGAAATGTGAACCACAATGAAAATTATATCATAATTTGTCTTTTTCTGTGGCCAATATATTTTATTTAGAGTGGCATAACAACCATTTGGAAAATTTATTGACGCAAATACAGATATCAGATCCAAAGCAGATATTTATATTACCTATGTGATATGTATGAATAACAAATTATTCAATTATACAGTACGATAATTTAAAAACTTTATACTACTAGATAGCATTTTTATAGGCTTTTAAGTGATCACAAGTAGGGGTTTGCTATTTAAATTTTTATAGTTGGGGTAAGTGAAGCCTTGTGAGTTGATGGGAGTGAATTCTTTTTTATGTCATTTTAGTTCCCCCTTCATATCTTAGGTTTTAGGCATTTTTTGATATCATCTTTCGTTTTGAGATACAACCATTGTAAGTTTTTAAATTGTCATACTGTATGTATATTTGTGAGTAATATAATGGAAGAGAATAAAATCACTGAATCTATACTTTTGACATGCGATGCAATTTGCAATAACATTTAATAATAATAGTGCATTCAGCTAAAAAATTTTTAATGTTTTGTTAGATACCTACTCGGGCATATTTGAAACATTTTTATTTTTTAATAATTACAATCACATGTTTTTTTTTGAAAGTTTTACAGAAAATGTAGGTATTTAAATCGTGACCAGACTACTCAATCTTAAATCTTAGTAATTACAGCATTAAATATTGCTGCAATATTATTATTGTGCTCATACAATTGAGTACGCAAATATATCGGTAATACATCAATATTGTTCCCTAAATTTCAAGCCCAATTATGTCAAAAAAATGCAAAGACCTCGTTTAATACCTATAATTTAGTATCTACGCTTGCAGCTTATACAATGAGAGTCATTAAATGTTTTCAGTAATCAAACGAAAAAAATAATAAATTATTAGGTTTAGTACCCCACATGGGCACAATCAGCTATCTATATTGTGGAAATATTTTTAAATACCTAAGAATAAGGTAATTAATTAGATGAATGAATGTAAATGGTGATAATTCGTACAAAAGTAATACTTCGTTAGTCTTCGAAAGTGGAACCAAAATCTTTGGAACTGCTGACTGTAATAAATAAACTGTACTAAACGGTATTTGAAGCGTATAAATTTGGAAAATCCAAGCGTTTAACCCCGACTGCCGACTTTCCTTGGCTTTAAATCAGTTGAAATTGTAGTATAAAAACAGGAAATCTAGGCTACACTTCTCAGGCCTATAAGGAATGGTATATGCATTAGGTCAGTTTTATTTATAATAGCTCTTTTAATGCACCATATTGAACTTTTTTATTAAAATATTCTACTATAATTAAAGCATTTCATCTATTGTTATAACCGCAATGCCTTTCTAATTAAGCATATACTATTTGTCGAGCGCAGTGACCAAACTATTTTCAAACCACAATCCAGAAAGTGAAAGGCTCCGGATAAAATATAATCCCGCCGAGAGACCCGCACAAGTAGAGAAAGGCGAGGGAAGACCCCAAAACCATTTAAATTCTTCCCTATATATGAACAATCTAGGCCATGTATACACAAGATAATAATATGCTTCTGCCAGTGATATGAGCCATTATTTCCTTGATTAATTGTTAGGAAATGCAGTTTAGCTAGTGCATATGTGGGAAATGTTAGAGAAAAGTGGGTGTTTTGAGCATGTGATGTGACAAGAGATAAACTACAACAGTAGTTATGGTAGTGCTCGTGCGAAAATATTATCCAAATATACAAAAAAAGTAATTGTTCCATGAGAAAAACTGTTGCTGTATTTTTCAGGTTTCAATATCGACGGAAAATTTTCCGGTCCATCAAATTTATTAATAATTCATTACTCATTCGATCCTTAAATGGACTGCCAGCACGACCCAGATCTTGTGAATTGCGCATTTCACATAAATCTAGATTTAATCCAGAGAACAACCGCGGTAAAATAAACAAATTTTCCCATTAACGACTAATCCTTCCTCACAAGATAATCACGAATCGGTGTCTTTTCGCGAGAAAATCCTCCCAAAGCGGTAGTTTATTGTCTTTAGCAACCCGAATGTAAACTCGGGAACAGAAACTGTGCGTGTGTGTCAGTAGACAACCTATGGACCTTTTATTGAGAGATTTACATATCGGGCTAATCCGCAAATAAACTCCTCCAGTCGTTCACCGATCGATTCTGGGCAAATGCTACTCGATGGTTGGTCTGAATACTGATGTGGGTGTTAGAAAACAGGAAAAGGGAGGAAACGGATATCAACTAAAAATATACCTATCTATAGATTTAAGTTTTAAAAAAGTAATGGTGCATAAGTACAATTCACTTCTTTATATATATTATTCTATAAATAAAATAATCGGACATTAGTATTCGTTCTAAAAAAAAAAACTAATTTCATCAATCTATGGTGATTTATTAAAGCAAACACCTTAAGTTCTTTAGCAATCCCAATGGTTGCTTTGATCTACTTTTCCAATGTGATATGGTGGCAATCGCTCAACAATGCTCCCAAAACGGTAAAAATTACTGGGAACGACGATCGACGATCGATGATTATTCGGTGTTGGCTTGATCTTGAAAAACTACTTTCTCTTTCGCTATTATAACAAGACACACATGGCCTACTTGCGCTAATCGGCTCCTTTACGTTCATTCACAAAATCGCTTCGATTATGAGAATACAGAGAGAAAATAATATGTTAAAATCAGTATATTGCAAAAAAAGGGAATATAATTTTGCATTTTTACATGAGCTGCGCCTATATTAAACTTACATTCGAAGTTGCCTGGCTAGGTATCTAATATTTCTCGATAAGATTAGAAGTTAAACGGAAAGACGGAGGATGAGATTTAAAGTTAAGCCGTTTAGTCTGGAGCGGAATTTGATAGGAAGGAAAAGGTCATCCCATTTCAGGGTAAAGGTCACGACGATTATTTCCTTTGCAAAGATGTCTGCGGCGATAACATTAGAACGTATTTAAACTATAATGAGAGATTAGAACTGAATCACAAGAAAACGGCAGTGTAAAAACCTATCCAGTTCCTCTATTATAGAGCTCGAGTCGTAACCACTTTTCCGATAAAAGTGCATTATTCCTGCACCAATTGAAGTCGAAAAATCTTTTATACTTTTTAATATCTCCTCTGAAATATCATGCTTCCTGATGATAAAGAAGTTCTTTCTCTCCAATGCCATTCTATTTTTACACTATTACAATTCCAATACAATATTATTAGACAATAACAAAAGTATAACAAAAACCGCAAGAAAGGCGAATATTGCAATTATCAAAAAAATCAACTTTTTATTTCACCGCTAACTCGTATACAATAAATTATTGTAACTAGGTAATTGACAACAGCATTTTCCTAGCGTCAAAACGATTACAACGTAAATTCATTCTGATAATTTCAAATATGTATTCGATTGTAGTAAAATCGACTCAAAAATTATCGCAATTCATCAAACCTGCCGCTTACCGGCCCAGCAGGGGTTTGGCGTCTAAATTGATATTCTCCGAATACGGAGAGCCCGTTAAAGTAGTGCAAAAAACGAGCGAAGACGAGAATGTTCTGCAGCCGGACAAGAACGAAATCCTCGTGAAAATGCTGGCGGCTCCGGTGAATCCAGTCGATATAAATGTGATCGAGGGAACGTACCCGGCGAGGCCAAGGCTACCGGCTGTTCCCGGCTATGAAGGCGTTGGAATCGTAGAAAAAGTCGGCCCCGAAGTCGTGGAAATCCAAGAAGGAGATCACGTTATACCTATCCACGGGTTCTTGGGGACATGGAGAACACATTTAGTCATGGCAAGCGATAAAGTTCGTAAGGTACATGTATATCATTTACTCTATTAAATGGAATCTACATTATTATCCTTTATTTGAAGGTACCGCAAGAATTAGGTCTGGCTGAAGCGGCCACCCTAACTATCAATCCTTGCACAGCCTACAGAATGTTGAAGGATTTTTCGAATCTGAATGCCGGAGATTATATAATTCAGAACGGGGCAAATTCGTCATGCGGTCAAATAATTATTCAGCTTTGTAAACTTTGGGGTATAAATTCGATAAATATCGTAAGGAACAGACCAGATTTGCCTGAAGTTAAAAATTATTTGACTGAATTAGGAGCCACCTATGTTTTTAGCGAGGAGGAATTGCTTCAAAATGCTATACAAAAAAATGACATTCAGAAACCCATACTAGGATTGAACTGCGTCGGGGGAAGAATGGCTTTGGAGATTGCCAAATATTTGGAAGATGGAAGCGTTTTGATAACATATGGCGGAATGTCCAAGGAACCTGTCTACATACCTACGTCAGCTTTAATCTTCAAAGATATTGAAGTAAGAGGATTTTGGATGACCAGATGGTTTAACGAAAACGACGATTCTGTAGAAAAAGAAGATATGTTTGAAGAGTTAATTACGATGATAGGCAATAAGGATCTTCAAGGTTCTCTTTATGAGATGGTAAAATTTGATGATTACACTAAAGCATTGGAGCACACAATGAGCTCCAAAGGAATGGAGGGAAAGAAGTTTATCTTGGATTTTACCTCCTAAGAATGTTAATTTTAACATTTCTTTTTTGTAATCTTGAATAATTTTGTATTAAGTGAGTTTAACACATTTAGCTTTCTCTTCAATCAAATGAAATAATTTGAGTAATTTTTAAAGCACACTTAAATACATTTTCACTTGGGCATATTACTCTACTAAATTTTTCTTACCTTCAGTATATGATGTGTGCTTTATTATACTACTGAATTAGCTTATCTAATAACCTCTTTGTCAAATTTCTTGTGAAATTCTAACGAACAAAATTTTTGACAAACAAAATGGTAAACTGTATTCTATACTAATGTACATTTTGTGAATTTATGCAATATAAACTAACCATTCATATACCATTGAATCGGATTACAAGCGTATAAATTTCATATTTAGTACTCGACTTTATCCACATACCGAGACTATTTTGCATAGAGAGAATTTGCAATTAAATTACACGAATGTTGTTTATTATAGAGTTTTGATAATAAAACTAGACGTTTACTAATAATAAATGATCGTTACTACCTACTTGCAATAACGTATTATTGCTAATCAATAAAGTTTATAAAATTACCGAATAATATTCACTCTTTAGCATTAGTATTAGTATACCTTTCGTTAATGCTATAATGAAAGCAAATAAATTACTATAATTTTAATATATTTAATAAGCCGAAAAATAGTAATCAATCCGCATTCATAAATTTAACTTTGGCCTCTTTCAGTAGGATGTATTCGAATTACAAATTACCATAAAACCATAAAACCATATTTTGGCTGTTGCTGTTAAAACTTTTGATAACATCCTCTATAGGGTAAAATTTATATCTTTTGTTCGCTTGGCCGTAAATTTGAATTTGGAACAGAGAAAATGTCGAAAAATTCACGTATCCACACCATTATTTTCATTCAATTGTACGGCAAATAAGCAATTCTGGGTGATAAAATGAACAGAAATGGTTTTATAAGCAACTATTTTACTCAAATCTAAACTGTTTACGTGCCCAGTATTTTTGTTGTAACCTTTCATCTCTCTTTTGCTACCTTATAAAGTTAAAATAACAATTTATATTAATGTATTCCCATGTTTTGACGGGCCAATCGAAAACTCGCTTTAGCGTATCTAAATGGAAAGCTTTGAAAAAATAACTGAGTTTAAGCATAATTTAAAATATGAACAATTACCAGCTTCTATGCGGCCGCTTTTAATCTATTTCGATCCATTTCCTTATCATATTTAGGGTATAATTTTTCTGACCTAGAAACTTCAGAGACGTCTTGCGGTTTCCTTAATGATCTTTGAGTTAAAACGGCACTTCCCTTTACTCAGGAAAGATCACGAAACGATAGAAAAGGCGGGCACCGGAAGATACATTGCAGACATAATTTTATGCAGCATCACTGCTTTGTTATGATGAAAGTTTTTTAAATCGATCTCACCAGAAATAATTTTTCTTAGCCCAAAATTTTAATGTCTTGTATACTTAAATCAAATTAGTGCGAGATTAATTTCTCGAAAAGGGAGTTATCCTGATAATGGGCTTGATGACGATGAAATTTCCCTGATTGTTGAATAGCGCACAACACAAAATTCGTGACAAGTCTTAAGCGCTATTGAGTTAACGAACCCTTGCTATTTGCTCCTTCCTGCTTTGATCATCGCCCTTGGACAGGACAAAAGTAACGTCTCCGCCATGAAATGGATGATAAATGATTGTACCATTCGAGAAAAGGCGAAAGTGAGGGTAGAAATAAATGCTTCGAATTATATGCACATGTATTAGGAAAGTGTTGATATATTATACTAAAATGCCCATCTTAAATTTGAGTAGGGAAATATCAAACGCGCGAATTATTTTTGAACTAGAAAATGAAATCTGGAAGAAACGAGGCTAAAGAAGGTGTAACCTACACTATATCCATCAAAAATTAAATAATGGGTATATAGGTATTTATTATCAAATAAAGTAAGTACTACTGTAAGTAGTACGCCTGTCGAAATAATTATATACTGCAATTTTTATTAAGCTTAATTCGTATCTGGGCTACTTGTAATTAATTCCAGCAAAGGCAATTTATACATTTTTTGGTTAATTTTGATTCTGTCCGGCGCGCCGGTTGAATAAAAGTAAGCCGATTGAACGAGTTTCGGCGAACGGAATAACACAAGTAATTGAGGTATAATTATTAGCATTTTCTGTTCGATGAGGACATTTATGTAACTTTTTCGAATAAATTCGCAGATAATAGTTAGTTTCGGATACATATCTAGTTATTTTAGAACGTTTTAAAATTTGCATTGATGTATTTATGTGACTGTATACGTTTTACAAACCTGATGACGATATATTTTTATGCAGAAATTATTGTTAACTAAATTGAATTTTTTATAAAACCAATCCATATGGAATTGAAATCAATCTTGACTTATGTGAATAAAAAACATGTTATTTTCGATATTTTATAAAAAGTGCATACTATTTAGAACCATTTTAACATACCTACAAGAGAGTTATAACTTATAAAGGTATGATTGTACACACAAAATGTTTTGCGTATTATATGTATATGAAGTTGAAATGCCACTGGTCATTTATTATTTGAAATGTCTTTTGTTAAATTGTTGTATTTTGAATATGTGTATTTTATTAACCACACATTTTAAGTCTACAATGTATAACATTCGATTTCTTAGCGCTTTCACCAAAAACTACCAAAAATGTTTGCACAGTTATTGTACAAACCGAAAAAATGGCGAATATTTCTATAGATGCATCATCTGCGAAACATTAATACAAGTTGGTAAATCATAAAACTTTCTATTGTATTACTTTTCTTTTCCTATAAATATTCGCATCTTTTCGATCCTTTGACGTTTTTCAGCGCTCCCTTTCGGCTCCGAAACCCTTGCGTACTTAAAAAGATATATTGTTTCTTAGCGGGCAAAAAAGCCATCCCTTCGATACAAACATTGAGGGATTTTCTTGTAGGGACATGACGAAGAAAGATTAAAGTTAACACTTTATCAATTCTTAGTTTTTATCGCGAGGGATCATCTTTAAAGTTAAGTTCTTTAATAAATTCCAGTCAGCTACAGGATCTCACTAATATTTATCATTCGTTATCAGGTTGTCATGTTTCGGAAAATTCGGGACATAAACTCTTTTATTGGATATGAAACTGATAAAAGAAGTATCAGAAAATTGGATAGAGCCGACATTCAATAGTTTAGGAACTTCCCGATTTTCAATCTTCTTTAGGTGGATATACATCGAGATTAATTTAAAAATATTGATTCAGGAAATTGGCCTTCTTTTTATAGCTGTATTAAAGTAATTAATATAATCGAAAAATTCCTTAAACCTGTCGCAAACACTTTCATCCACTACATTTTATAATCACGAAAATTAAAAAGGCTCCAACTTCTATCTTTGTCAACTCAACGCACCATCTCAATAAATTATTCTGCAAAATAAAATTTTTTGTCCATCCCGACAAAAAAAGCTCGCTGTCTCCAAGAATATCGAGGCAATTTAAAAAAGGGTGCGCATTAAGCCCTTGCAGCTTTAGGTGGCGTTATTTTAGAGTCTGTTCCATTTTTTGAACGAGCCGACACCATCTAAATTGAAAAAACGTCACTAATTTCATGAAAGATTTATGGGTAAAATCGCCAGTTTCTTTGTTGTTAAAAAGAACGAATCTACTCCAAATTTTTTGTTATGAAATAATTTGGATAAAACCCTCCCAAAAATGAAATTATACGTTGGAAATTTGTCCAAGTATACTAAAATGATAATATAATGCAGACATATGTTAAAAAGTGTAATCGAGTAAGTAATTAAAGGGAACACGACAAATTCCTATATTTCTTTTATGAGTAAATTTCGAAATTTTCCAATAAAAATTTGTGACTATTTAGTTCAGCTATAACCTTGCACAAATTTTGATTTATTCGTATAGTGACCGACGGCTATGAAATTCATCGAAAGTCGAATTGTTCTAACGGCGATTCGGAATATGTGACCACTGAGATCGGGCAAGTATCTTCAATAACGAGCGTTAATCAAATTTTATTGGACCGAAATCCGAAGTGCCGCTTTCGAATATGATTACGGCCCGTCATCTTTTACTTTATTAGTAGATCTCGAGTTTAGTTTTCACTTTATTGGATAAGTTCCCAGTGAAATTTACTTCGAATGATCTCCCACAATTCTATTGTACCGATGGAGGAGATAGGAAACGATAACGACCCGAGAACTTTTAAATGATGGAAAAAGGAAGTTGACGAAGTTTGGTTTTTATGGATTGAATGTCTGCCAGTTGATAATAACTTTTACTTAATTGTGTTGTTAAATATGTCGTATTAGTAGATAATTCATAGAGAACTTCAAAAATACACTTGCGAAAAACTACAAGATAAAGAATTTAGAAGAGTTAATGAAACAACACAAAAATATTGCTATACTTCTTTCGCCATCTGTAATATTAATAAAACCTAACTATTTATGCAAAAGACAGCACCTTAAAATTTACAAATTTCCAAAACCTTAAGGCTTTTACCGTTGTGTAATAGAATCCCTGTTCTAATTCCTTCAGATAAATAGTGACTATAAAACAGTGCACACTCATGCTTCGAGGATATTAAATAGATACTAAAAGTATATAAAAAATTAAAAAAAAACTTAGATACAATGAAATTAAACATCCTTTTCTTTGATATCTGAATCGATATCGTGTACTATCAGTAATTATTACGGGAAGTTGTTATTTATTTATCAAATTATTAATTCAGTAGTGCCTTATACTTTTTAATTACTTGTTGGAGCATGCATGGTTTAATGCTTTAAGGTTTTATTAGTATCTCCTGATCACGAACGGAGTATAGATAATTAATAATAATTCTTCGTGTTAAAAGATATGTATCTACATACATATGTATATTATTGTTGAAGTATTGATTGAAGTGTTTTCAAACATTCCTGGAAATGTACTGTAATTTTATGCAACAGTAAAAAAATTAAATAACAAAATTTAAAATTCAGTTATTTTCGGAAGGGGTTACTATCCTGTAATATGTCGAATTTTCATAACCCGACGAAAGTGAAAGCCCTTCAAAACAAGTTTTATTAAATCATAAAATCCGATTCCCTAATCCCCTACACTCAGAACTATCCTGTTTAGTATAATTTATTTTTCCGTCCATCCATAAAACTCTATTATATTTCGCGGAAACAAACTGAAAAGAAATGCAAATTTCTCGGGCAAGTTTTATTCGCTAGAATAACAACACATTTCGAAAATGAGGACAACATACTTCGAACAGGCTCTGGACGACTTAAACAA